TGCACTGTACACTGTACTGTACTGTTAGGCGTGTGCGCGAAAATCCAAAAAAATTTCGGTTTGTTCTTCTCATTTTTTGCTATACTACAGTGTACTACTATGATATTTTACTGCCTCAGGCCGATTCATTTTCGTTCCACTTTCAGTGGTGTATAGGATATAATATTTACACTTGGAGCAAATAATAGCGCAGCCTTGAATTTATACTGTTGCTAAATTTTAACCATAACATCGTGTACAGTGTAGACACTACCATAAATGGAAATGCAACGTTGATGAAGATCATATGGGATTCACTAAAAGCAATCAATGACCGTAGATGGTAGAACGAAGCACATTTATTAACACATTATACGTACAGTACAGTACAGTACATGTAGGTCATTAAGTACTTATCACTATTGATATGGTCATGAAGAAGCGAGTAAGCTAAATTGTATTGCAGCATGCCGAAAATATACCAATCTTTACATGACAATGGAAATCGACAAATAATATCACAGCAAATAAATTAATTATATTATTATTAATCTGGTATACAGTAACTTACATCATGCATCCGATGGCGAGACTTGCAAAGTAATATTAGTTCAATTTGTAAATACCAGTTGCTATGAATACAGCAAGGCAAAGAAAAAATATATTAGTTCAAGATATTCTGTTGAGACTTGCACGGTAATATTAGAGTCCAATCTGTCAATACCAGTTGCTATGAATACAGTAAGGCAAAGAAAAAAATATTGACTGTATTTTTAGTTTAAGATATTCTGTTGAGACTTCTGTAAAATACCAGTTGCTATGAATACAGCAAGGCAAAGAGAAAATAGTTCAAGATGTTCTGTTGAGACTTGCAAAGTAATATTAGAGTCCAATCTGTAAAATACCAGTTGCTACGAATACAGCAAAGCAAAGAGAAAATAGTTCAAGATGTTCTGTTGAGACTTGCAAAGTAATATTAGAGTCCAATCTGTAAAATACCAGTTGCTACGAATACAGCAAAGCAAAGAGAAAATAGTTCAAGATGTTCTGTTGAGACTTGCAAAGTAATATTAGAGTCCAAACTGTAAATACCAGTTGCTATGAATACAGCAAAGCAAAGAGAAAATAGTTCAAGATGTTCTGTTGAGACTTGCAAAGTAATATTAGGGTCCAAACTGTAAATACCAGTTGCTAGGAATAGGCAAAGAAAAAATAGTTAATTTTTAATTAGAGACGTTCTGTCGAGACTGCCTATAACACTGCCATTGGTGTACATTCATTGCGAGTTATTTTCTCAAGGTTTTGCTTGGCAAGTCAAGCTGACAAGGGTCACTCGAGTCTAGATACGATGCTACAACGTAGTACACCTGCTGGACGGTTCAGTCTACGGCATTTCATTCGTACGCGAGCTGACAACATGTGTAAAATACATGTCGTATAAAAATCGGTGACACCGTGTCAACAAAAGCTTAACTTGCGACATACATTTTACACACAGCTACGACGCGTCTACTTAATACAGTATCGTACACCCAGTAACGTAGACTTCCGTCAGCCAATGATCAAAGGAGCACGTCCATAATTTTCTGGAAGAAGAAGAATTTTCCTGGGAAATTGCAATGGAATCTCAAAGTTTTGCGTTAAAATTGGTACAGTACAATTTAAAAATATTGTCTACTAACGATTTATTGGTACACTTTAACCGTTGCTAGGGGGAAAATAGTTCGAGTTAATCTTAAAATCAACAGAATCATGTTTTTCATTACTATCCATCAAGACCTGGAAAAGGCCAGTCGTACAGGATTGCAGGGATTTTCAACTTATTGCACATTACCAACTACGCCTAGATTTACAACATTAATTAATAGGCAGTGATGCTCGTCATGAAGGGCTATATGAATGTTCTAAGGTTGCAATAACTAATACAAAATAAAAAATAGTATAATAGCAGTGTAATTGAAAGTAATATAGAGCCGACTACTGAACAAAATACTGCCCCAGCGTACCTTTTGATGAACTGGAGTGGAGTTAAAAGTGAGCAAGAAACCACTGTTTGAGTAGTATAGCAGTTGAGCAGTATACAGATACAGCACGTCGTGTCAGCTAAAGATGATATATCATATCGAAATAGATTGCAATAATTCAATAATTCCTACGATACTAGAACTTATCATTTCCAATGAATAAATTATCAATGTGCAACTACTGTACTGTATGATGACAGGCAGGGATGACGATAAAGAATTCAACAAGTGCTATAATTCATGGCTTCATTTACTGAAGAGCATACAATAAATCACAATAAGTTACAAGTTTACAGTATACATATACAGTATCATGCTAATACAGCGCATTAAAACATACAAATTGGCTATAAATCAGCCTGGACGTATCACTGACATATATCGTACCAGGATTGTTACAACCCATCATTTTCACTTAATTTACTGCCACTTGTGGATGTACATTATACAAAGTAAACAGTTACTATAGTTATTAAATTATTACCCTCTCTGAAAATTGCTACGTACTGAAATGAAGTTATTTAAAGGGATTACTCGAAGGGAGACTCTTCCTTTTGAGTAGTGCCTGTTATTCATAGCATAAACCATTCTCGTACTTTGAAATTGCAGTTTCCACAAATTCATTTGTATATGTCTGAGATTGTGCTTGACTACAGTACCTGAAATATCTATTAAGAATCTTCAAATTGATGCTGTTAGCAATGCTATACTTAATGGGTGTTGCATTTATATTGTCAATATAGGATACGGTGGAAAGGTTGCTACAGCAAAGTTTTACCGATCCTAAAATCAAAAGTTAGTATTCGGTTATTTGCTACTCTTCTGTATCATATATCATACATCCATTATATTAAGGCAATTGGAAAACTAGACAGTCAATTCTCACTCATTCTTATCCTATACCCAAGTCAACGGAGATGCTCAAAAATTGGTATCCTACTTGCTCAACATTTTCATTACAGGTTTAAGATTGATGCCACTTTAATTTATCTATTGAATAAAAATATGTATTTAATACATTGATATCATTTATACCTTAATCATTAGTAAATGGAGGATTTAATACTCCAAATAGATACTTGATCGACTTTAGATTGCTACTTACATACTTAGTTTGCGCCTTTTATTTGTTATTGATATTCTGTAGAAGCTGCGGGTAGAGCTGCACGATTAGCTAAGGTAGGTAATCTATCAATAAACATATTATAATGCTATTTGTACATTGCTTTACATTCATTACTGATAGCTGCTAGCAATACTATGCAGTTACTATTGCTCTAAAGTTAATTCTTCATGTTTATCTGCACAGATGGAAAGTACCTCTAACAAGGTGGAAGTAGAACATTTTGAAAAAATATTAGCTCAGTTGGTAAGTAATAATATTCGATTAGTAATATCTATATGCGTTCTACGATACGAATAGATAAAGCTAAGCCTATATAATTAATATTAATACTAATTATTATTCAGGGCAGTAATGACTGCTTGATTCCTTATTGAATAATATTGACGTACTACCTCATTTAATTCTATACCAACTCCATTGTATTGATTGTATTACAGCTGTTGGATTTTAGCTAGGCAAGCTATGCAGAATGGTTCAAGCTGTCTTTCATGTCATTGGGTATACGCCGGTATCGGAGTATTTGTTAGAAGTCATTCAATGACACGCGCATTAAGAAATAATAAAACTATAGTCAAGAATTTTTTTTAATTTTAAGAAAGTATTATCGTACGTCTCCTTCCATACTTTCATTTGATGTTTAGGACTGTTACAGCTTTAAAATAGCCATTGATTTGAGATGACGCACCATTTATAATGTCCAATACATGCGTACGTAACACTGCGAGTCTATGTAATGAATATCTAACTACTAACTATAATTGATGTATAACTTGTTCGTAATAAGGGTAAAAATGTATATATTGTCCATTAATTGTAGTCGTAACATCTCGTATACAATACTAGAAATTGAATAAGAAATACTGGTACACTGTAAATAAAAGTTGCGATCAATAATGATTTTGCTTATCAATTGTTGCACATATTTGCGAGAGATTTTAATTTTAATGGTTAGGGCCATTATAACTTACTCCAGGTATGTGGTGTCTTTCGCTGATTTTTCAATATAGCATATTTTAATATAGCCCTGTAATGAAGTTATACAATGGATGCAACAGAGATTACAACTTTAGATGAATTTGTATTTATATAAAATGGTAATACTGAATTGCTATAAGTCACTGAATTAATGGACAGATTGCGTAGTAATCAAGATGCTATAGAATAGATTACATGTCAAATTTAATAAGTCTGCATATTAAAAATATCATACGTATATCATAACATCCTATCATTCATCTGTAATTTATGGAATACTACCTAATTACGTAATATACAGTATTGAAATTTTTAGCCAAAATTTCATAGGAAATAGACAAATAGAATTCTCTATAAACGGTGTATATGTACTGTATATTCGTACTGCTACTTGTCGAATAAAACGTGCATATTTTATAGTGTACTACATTTTAAGACTTTAAAACCAACACATCGTCGACCCAGTAAGATAGAAACTTTATATATTACAATACATCATGATTAGGTTCCAAAGCTCGTATAGTTACATCTTTTCTCATCTCAGCACTATATAGGGCGATTTTCGCTCATTGATACAACAGATCCATAAACACATGCATATTCGTAAATGCTGTCATGAGATATACATAGATACTGTATTCACATCAATCCCACTTAATGATTCCTCCAGTACCAATTTTATCGCTCTCAGTTAAAAAATTAGGATCGAAAACAACCTTATCTTTTTTTAGTTTCTCAGAATGTTGTTTCTTTATTGCAATAACGCCGGATCGTGCGGATAAAAGCGCATCGATAGCGTGGCGGTCTTCTTTATTAGTGGATCTATTGGAATTAGTAACAGAAGATGACGTTGTAGAATTTTTAGCATGCATTTTGGCTTTCTTTAATTTTAAGGATTTCTTTTGTTGATTTCCATCGCCTTTCTCTATCGAATCTTCGTTGCTTTCTGATAGGGCAGCCATCGATTTTATGTCACCTTTTGCTTTACGTTTTTTCGATGGCTTTAAGATGTCAGCCTTAGCCTTTGCATCAAGAGATTTAGGAGTATCCATTTTCGTGACTTTGGTTAGGGTATGTTTTTCTTGATTTCGGACTTTAAGGCCTTCACTAATAGCAATCGATGGTGATGCATCGATGGTGGTAGAGGTATTACCTTCTACTTTAATGGCATCAACTTTGCACCTCTTCTTTAGCTTAGCCTTACTCTTCTTGTTATCGGTTTCTTTCAGTGTCTCGAAAGTATCTGATGTAACATTTAAATCAGCATTTTTTGAAGCCTTCGTTTTATTACCGGTCAAACGCAATCGGTTTTTAGTTGACTTTTTACTTTTCTCTTCGCTATCTGAATACAGATCACTACTTTTATCCTTTTCAATATTTTCGATTCCGATGCTGATTTTCTTTGGCTTGTGTGATGCGGATTTTATCAGTTTGTTGCCTTCTAGCTTTGCAGTTTCGGGCATTTTAGAATTACTGGACGTGAAACTGGCTGTAATGCCAGATTCAGCAGCTTTTAAATTTTTCATTTTAAACTTTTTAGACTTTATAATGATTTTACTACTTTCAACCAATTCATCTTCTTTCTTCAATTTTTTGAACTGTTTAGCACGTGGATTTTCTATCGAAACGGTGTCATCGTCTGCTGTTGCTTTCTTTGCTTTTTTTATACTTGGTGATATGATCGCATCATCATCTACTGCTGTTAATTTTTTAAGTATTTTCGAATTAAAATTATTAGTTATATTTAATTCTTGAACTTCTGCGGCAGCTAAAGATCTCTTTCTTTTCCTAGTTGTACTGGATTGATTTTCTCTGCTGTCATCTTGAGAATTCTGTCCATTATAGTTGCTATCTCCAGTCCCTTCCAAACTGATAATTTTTTTAGATTTTTTAGCATACTCATTAAAGTTTCGATTCAGTTTTGCGCTAGAATTATCCGTCAAAACAGCATCTCCATGGTCTCCATTCTTTCGTGAAGTATTGTCACTTGCGTTGCGATTTACTTCAGGAAGCATCAACCCATTTCAAAGATCATTCATTTTACGATGACGATAGCAGTTCATCATATTATTAAATAAAATAAACAATCGTTCGTTAAAATTATAGAATAAATAGCTATCTTTTATAGCGTCGTAAATTTAAGGTCACTAATACCCGTTACTGTATGACGTGATCTCTTGCCGGATTTTTTCTGCAATATTCGCTTGCTATTGAATACTTGCAGTTTTGGCAATTTAGAAAGCTAATAAATATTTTATTGAAAACTGTTAGTAAATTCTTCTTTCTTGCAAATGGAATAAAATTCCTAAGTAAGTTAAAAGAGGAAAGAATAGCTAGATACTATAAATAAAGTGAACATTTCCTATCTCATTTATTTACTTCCTCATTGATGGAGTCATCGCAAACTGCGTTGCCTCTCATGTTTAAATTTTTCAATTCCGTTAACTGAAATATCACTTTAATTTCTTCAGTACTTTTCAGTCGGTTATTCCCTAAATCTAAGATTTGTAGCCTGTAACGAAGAATAGAGTAACTATTCAGAGTTCCAACAAGGAAATAGATAATAATTATAATAAGTTATGTATCAATTGTATGCGCATATTTAACACCAGATCCAGAAGTGAACTTCCTGCACCACAGAATATCGCTGCCTCAGGTCAAAAGCCTACGAGCATTACCTTGAGTTTAAATGTAAATCTTGACGAATAGCCATTATCTTGTTATCGTTTAATCTAACATCCTTGACTTCTACGTTATGCTTTAGGTCCGGAGTAGCGCGTAACTTGTTGTGAGATAAAGAGAGTTTTCTTAAATTGACAAGCGAGGATAGGTCGATTTCTTCGATTTGATTGTTAGACAAGATCAATGTATTCAGCATTTTAAGCTTGATAACATTAGTTAATTGCGAGATGCTGTTGTTATTTAGGATTAAGACTTTCAGATCTAAGAGCAATTCAATGCAATTATAATTATGGAAATGTTGAGCTTGAAGAAATATTCTGAATACGTCAACTACATTAGATACTGGATTGTTAACACCAGTAGTAAAATTAGTAGTGAACTCTCGATAACATATTTATACATGGACCTAATTGATATCTTACTTTTTAATTTATCAAGGAAGATAGTACTTGTTAAATGGTTATGGCTAGCATTAAGTATGGATAACTTTCTCAGCTTCCAAATGTCACCCAGTGATTGAATTTGATTGCTGCCAACGTTCAATGTCACCAGCGATTTACAATGAACTAGGTGCATTATTTTAGAAAGGCAACAGCACAGGCAACATTAGTTTACTTTGCATGGGCAATAATATCATTAATACGTTGTATTACTTTAATAGGAATGCTAATGTTAACTTACATATGCCTTTTACATCAGTTAATGAGTTCTTGGATAGATCCAAATAGTCTAATTCCACGCAGGCACTGTACAGTACAGTACAAGAATGATTTTATTACAGTGTCAGGTACCAAAATACCACTAAATTTGCACAATATATACTTATCCTGTACTGCTTACGTACATATTCTAAGCTTATCACTCATTCTATCAGCTTTAATAGTGCTACTTTTATACATTATATATATAACACGACATGATTTTATGCCTGCAAATACATCAGCCATTGCATAGCACGCGATACTGTTCTGCATGGCTCATGTTGAATAGTAATCAATATTTTTACCTTATATCATCAAGTTCTTCTATCCCTTTATTACTAGCATTAATTCGTTTAACCTGGCGTACATCTTGACCGGATAGATCGGAGACTTTAGGTAAAGTTAGCTTACGAATTTTATCCTGATTAATTTCCATACTTGAAGGAAGATGTTAATCATTCATTTCATCATCATGGCCATCAGGAAGGTTTAAAGCGACGAGCGGACAGATGGACGTAAAACAGAGACTCGATCGCCTTCTCTAGGCCACGTGACCTTTCCGAGTACTAGTTTTCAATAATTGCCACTTTGCTATGGTTTAGTATAAACTTCGAACTACCATTTTATACAGAACCCTATCAGCAGACCTAACTAAGGTTGCTGAGCTCAATTATAATTAACAGGGGTCGTATACACAAACAGTAGTGAAAGCCCATACTATACTGTACTGAGTCTATTCACCTTTCGTTATTAGACTGTTCCAGGTAAGCTGCAAAATGCAAATGCTGAGCTAATCGACGATAACCTTGCTTGGAAGATCTCTGGATGACTGGATGATTGTACAAAATCTATTTATTTCTCTGGTTAATACAGTTACTTTGCCATACACGACTGCATAGATCAATGTTCATAATCTGGAAGGAGTAAAAGGATTGATTAATTGCTACGAATTTCTATTGATTAGCTAGATTTGCAATATAAAAACACAGTTGATGATTATCACGATTGTGGAAAAGCAGCTCAAGATTGAAAATCCAATTCAGCTAGCTGAAAAGTAATAAATTGCAAATAGTTTTTTGGCTGGATTATTAAGTTAAATATGGATCACTCCAACAGTACAATTAAACAGATTAGTCAAAAGCATGTCCATCAAATCTGTTCTGGCCAGGTTATTTTAAATTTAGCTGCAGCAGTTAAAGAGCTGGTTGAGAATAGTGTGGATGCTGGTGCTAATCAAGTCGGTAAGTAAATAGGTGTCACTAGAGATCAATCAGTGCTCAAATTTTATACGGCAGACGTCATTAGCTATAGCATTACAATTTCTGAGAACGTATGCTTCTGTAAAATTTACACAACTGCAAGATGATCGAAATTCTATTATAGTAATACTTGAGGTATACTCGTACGTGGTAAACACCTCAGTACTTTAACAGCAAAACATCAACAGCTTCGAGCTATCATGCGACTCTATCACCGTAGGGCTACCAAGATTAACTGTTACGTAGTTAGATAGTTGATATGATTTCGTCGATGTAATAGAAATAACAACTCAATAAATTTAGTATGTATAAATTTCCTGAAAATTGCATTCAATTCTAATAGGCAGCACTCCATTTACTTGTGCAAAAGGCTTAATATTTATCTAACCATCTTACTATATTGTGGTAAACAAACCAGTATGCATTCTTGACCTTGGATTGTCTTATAACCAATTGCTTGCAATGCAACCTACTTTTTTGTTTAGATGTTCGATTGAAAGACTACGGTGCAGATACTGTTGAAGTAAGCGACAACGGATCTGGGATCCATCCTGATGATTTCGAGGTTCTCGGTAGGTGCTTGCAACATACGAGTACAGTGGCATATCTGCTCATGAAGTTAATCTCATATTTTATATAATGGGCAAAATAACTTTTGCCCATTATTAGATGAGCAAAATTTTAAAAAAATGTATGCAATTATAGTAAATGAATGAATCCAATTCAGTATCGATATACATTTAACAACCTAGACTTGCGGCCTAGATTAAAACCCGCATCTTTTTTAAATGCTAATAGCACTAATGCATCACACATCCAAGTTAAAAGAGTACGACGACCTGATCGGGGTAGAAACATTTGGCTTTCGTGGAGAAGCCTTAAGCTCTCTATGTGGATTGTGGTGAGAATCTAGCTTATCTTTCCAATAGCTCTCCTTGTAATATATATATATATTTAATGATGGTTTTAACAGTTCTATTCCCTGCTTCAATATAATGTTTCGATATTAATAACTATCGTAGTAATGTTGCCATCACTACACGTCACAAATCTCAACCTAACGGAACCAAAATTGAATATGATCATCGAGGTATAGTGAAATCTAAATCAGCTTGCGCTAGACAGGTTAGCAAACAATCAATGATACAGCTCTACACACTTTTAGAAAATAAATAACTCTAAAGTAATAACAACTTACGTACTGGTGTCTTGCCATAAATTTATAGCAAGGGACAACTGTAACGTTACAAGGATTATTCTCTACCTTGCCTGTCAGGCATAAAGAATTTGTTCGCAATATTAAAAGAGTAACGCAAAACATTCTGTTAATTCTTTGATCGAAGAGCTTCAAATTATTAGTAATTTAAAACTCACTTTTTTATTTGCATTAATAGGAATTTAACAAAATGATCCATGTTTTACAGTCTTACGCAATAATCTCAATTGGCTTAAGACTTACATGTAATAATCAGCCTGTAAAGAAGTAAGTTTACGTACGGTGTAGCTAATCGATTGTTTTATGATATGAAGTAAAAACTCTTTAGGTATCATCGTAGTACAGATCACTATAGCTATCTTTTATTGGTATAGCAGTTGTATATGACTTCGTCTTGCAATTTTTCTTTTAGTAAAAGAATTACTGTATTATCGTGTCAATCGAATAAAGGTCTTAAAGAAAATATAGTTGATATTTTTGGGCCAAAACAGGTATCAAAAAGTGCAAGACTTTGTAATTATGTATGCTGGAATGAACTACGCGCTAAATTTTAAGGCTAATACGACTTTAGAACTGAGTAGATTTCACTATTGCAGGTATCCTCCTTGATTCCATTTGTTACCCATGCTCCTTCTGAAAGCGACTGTGAGAGTATGGGCATCAATCCGAAATTAATCGATATGAGTCTCTTCAGGTAACATGAGCATTCTTATTATTTTTTCATATGTTATTAATTATAAGCTAATAGCAAATCCTCCGATTTTAACAATCTTGTATTCCTTAGTATTTCTGGTCTTATTTCCAAATGTGATCATAGCAGTGGTAGAACGGGCAATGATCGACAGTTCTTTTTTATTAACAAAAGACCTTGTGATCTAATCAAGGTATAATCGTAGTGATTTGTTGCTTTTATTTGCCTTTGCTAGTGGTATAATATTAAATTCTTTTTATCAATACTGGCAAGAATCAGATTTCGAATAATCAGAAACATTTTCAATCTTTACATGTTTTGATAGGCAAGCAGAGTTATCAACGAGACTTATCATATGTACAATCGACACCAATATCCATTTTTCGCTTTAGATATATCTTTACGGAAAGGTATTTTCATCAATACTAGATTTACGGTTAAAGTGTTGATAATCAGTTTTTATCGTCAACTGTCGCATTGATATCTATTAGGAAAATACCGATTTCTTCATATAAATGCATTGAAAGTTAATATAGTGATTACAGGTTCATAGGCTCTTTCTTGTCTCAGGTACTGTGGACGTTAATGTTACACCAGACAAAAGGCAAATACTCATGCAAAATGAGAAAGCTCTGTTAACGGTCATTAAGGTAATATTGTTTTTAATTATGTAGTAAGATCTATTCAAATTTTGAGTCCTATATACTGAAGCCAATGCGTTATTTTAATTAAAATATTTCTCCTCAATTAGGCGTCATTAGTTCGTATGTACGATCCAATTGCTTCTTCTTACGAAATAAGTAGGGGAATTACTACAGGAGCCACTACCTCTACTCAGTGTTAGTATAACAATCTAGTAATATTAAAAATCTGCTATCCGTAGAGATAGCCGCATATTAGATACTAATCAATTGTCATGTTTCTTACTTCTTAGCCGCCGCTGCTGATCAGCATGATAATGAAAATAACGACGAGATTCAGATAATATCGGAGAAAGATATCAACAATAAAAAGCATCTAACGAATGATGAATGTGAGCTTTCTGAGGTAAGTAATAATAGTTTGCGACAATGCCGGATACACGGATTTAACCTCGCGTACAAAATTCATTTTTTATACAATGTAAAGCCTACTGAAGTAAATTCAAAGCCATGCGTAGAAATCGTGACTGAAGGCAAAGTAAGAATGCAACAGACTTGAAACGTTATGAGAAGCTCAATTGTTAATACCTAAATTTGATATTGTAATTATAGGATTTTCATAAAAGTCTATTAAAATTTAAACGGTAAGTAATTATAGTCGCGAAACCGATCGATAATGTCTTTCTTTCGTTACTTAATTTTCTTTACTCCTTACATCAAAGGAAATCAACTTTTTCCGCCGGTAACAAAAGTGGGCCTAAGCGTGAGTAAAATCAACCGAGTTTTTACCTAATAATTTAACGAGCCATAACAGTTTCTTTTGGGATTAATATTATTAATAAAAATTCAATTAATTACTTGCTATTTCGTCTATGACATTTCTTAGAGTCAACCTTAGCGTCATTTGGTTGGCGTAAGATATCATCAGAGTATGTAACAAAAGTGATACATATGAAAATGATTTATGCCAGCTACTTATATTATTAATTTTATTTTATATTGTTTTAGAGAATCGCCGTCGCTGGAGCAAGAAAAAAATGTTGAAAACCAAATACGATGATAATTTTATTTAAATATAATCAGTTTTCTTAATTTATTCAGTATATAACTGATAAATAATTTCTTCTTATGTAATGGTGGAGTAGATTGTTTATAATCTATCTAAATCCACTGAATCCAGCAACAACATGGAAGTTACTGAGTCTAAAAGCGAAATTAATGAAATTCTTAGCAAACCCTATACATCTACAGCCAAGAAAGCAAAAATTGAACTAGCTCCTAACTACAAAGTACTAGAAGCTGTTGATCCGATTGTTCAAAATATTAATGGTAATTTTTTTATTTTGCAAAGTAATAAAAAGTTCTTGGCCTACATATTATACAGTAATACTTGAAAATTGTTACTTTATTAGCGAGAGAGAATGTAGACGAAAACAGTGATGATATTCCTAATGATGACGGGGAAGAAAATTCAGAGGATATAAGCTTGCCAATTAATACAAAATCTAGCAATAACTTATTGCAATTTGATTTTGAGGAAATACGAAAAATTAAAAGTAATGAATTATTTTTGTATTTACTGTTTTCTCGTCCTAACATCAGTAAAGTCATACATTTCTGTTACTGTCTAAGCTTAATAATTTATATCGGTATTATTTAATAGCAGGTAGCAAAGCTGACCAAAACAGTGAAAATACGAACATAGGCAGTTCTTTCCATGCAACGATTGCTCCAGATAATAATACAGCTGCAGAGAATGAACTACGTAGAGAAATATCGTCAGTTAATTACTGTATTATTGCAGAATTAAATGTTGATGTCGTTTAGCAGCAAATTCATTTCATAATAACCATCTTTTTGTACCTATACACCCCATCTAGGAAGGATATGTTTCAAGAAATGGAAATTATTGGTCAGGTAAGATGTAATGTTGAGAGCAATCACGATGCGTATCTGTGCCTGATTGTAATGACCATTATGCCATACTGTAGTTCAATTTGGGCTTTATAATTGCCAGACACAATCAGGATTTATTCATAATTGATCAGGTAATACAGTAAACTTCGCTATATGATTATTATGGAAGAATATACTGTTTAACTAAGCTTGTATCTTTCAGCATGCATCTGATGAGAAATACAATTATGAATATTTGCAACTAAATACGAATTTGAAAGGACAGCAATTGATACAGTTAGTAAACCTTTGTTGATTATAATTTTTTGCAGCGACAAAAATTTTTACTGAAACGTGTTAATAAAATTAATGAAATAACTGTAAAAGGCCCAAACATTTGTTTCTAACACCTACTGAAGAAGAAGTACTAATGGATAATGTAAATATCTTTGAAAAGAATGGTTTTAGCTTTTCTATAGATCCAGATGGTATGTATGTGTACTTACTTTTTACTTTGCTAATTAATTACACGCATTAGTGATATGACTTTGATTTGATATCCTAATATGTATACATAATAATATGCTTCTATCTGTCTTAGCGCCACCAACAAAACGAATTAAAATGACTTCTGTTCCTTACGGTCGAGGATGTATCTTTAATGAAGAAGGTTATCATAATTACAGATTTATTGAAGTTTTAATATTGTATTTAATGTTTTTTTGGATACTAACTATTTAGATGTGCAAGAAATGATAATGATGTTAACTGACATGCCGGTGAGTTTTGATTACATGTATCGTGCAATACGATTATTTTCGATACACTATGTACCAATAAGTATCTAGTTTGTAAGCTAAATAAGTTGCTCATTAGTAAATTAGAAGTAATAGAAAGGCTTGCAATAATACATATATAGGGAGTCATGTGTAGACCAACAACTGTATCAAGAATGTTTGCAACTAGGTCTTGTAGAAGATCAATCATGATTGGCACTGCATTAAATACTTCCCAGATGAAAAAAGTAAATCTTTAATTGCAACAGTGGATAAATTTCGTACCTTTTGGAAACGTCATTCTGATTATCGCGTTATCATTTCGGTAATTTTTTTAGATCCTTAAGCATATGGGAGAAATAGAACATCCATGGGTAAGAATTTTTCGTGAAAGATTTTTGAGCTTATTTTTAGCCATTTGCATTGTTTTAAATAAAAGTAGTTAAACTCGCCTTAATTTATATCTATTTCACGATATATTAGAACTGCCCTCATGGAAGACCAACTATGCGTCATCTTTTTAATCTCAATGTAGCTACAGTTTCATTAAAAGAGGATTCTGCTAATAAATGATGGTAATAGATATTGTTAAATTATTATTTTTTCTATGACTGGCATGAATTAAATTCATGGAGATGATTTAAATGTGAGATTTTTATAAATTGAAATTGGATATACAATGTACATTGTACATTAACCTAAGTAATTTTATTAAATTTATATTTGCTCTTTCGAAGCACCTTGCTCACAAGTATAGTCGTAACTCATTCTTGAAAATTTCAAATATTTAGCACGCTATTATGCATATATATATATATATATATATATTATGAGATGATCCCCTTATGTTATGTAATGAGCATTGTTAAACTTTTTGGTCACAATTAAGCTTGATCATATCTAGCAAATCTATCAAGATATCTACTTGGCAATATGGTATTTTACTGCATATTGATCAGACAATAGTGATTTTATCTTATTCTCGTATCTTGTATTACTTAATTATAGTGTAGTCTGCTTAGTACGGTAGTTGTAATCTTTCCGGAATCGGATAGAATCTATAAATGAATAAGTTACTTAACGCTACTTTCAATTCGACTGAAAATAATCGGTCGATAAATAAGCTGCTTCAAGCCAATCAGCATTAATAGTTAAGTAGGCGAATCAAGACTTATAGTATACTAATTTAAATTTTTATATTGTGCTTAAAATGAGTTTCAATAAACCTGCTTGAAATTTGACATACCTACGTTGCTTTTGGTAGTAATCTATAACTTTTAGTCCATATGCCTGTAGTCATAAAGACTGCATGAATTATTATAAAGATGTTATTTGCTACTTTTACAGGCATACAACAGCTGTAAGGTATGTAAGGTTGCACAGATTTTATTCAGTTAAGAAGAGCCGTATTATCCAATAATCGCGATAGTTAATAAGCACCATCATGATTGTCTAATTTGTGATATCAAGATACGCCCCGTGATACGATGAGGTATACTCAATTGAATTGGATCAGCAATTTAAAACTAAATAACATTGATTTTAAATAGATCAGTAATCAGCAATAAAGTGGCTATTCCATTCTACATTTCATGGTAGAGCAGGGTATTTTAAGCTGCTAGAGTTTGCATCATGCTCGTCAATATCTGCCAAAGTACCAATTAATTGTCAAAGCCAAGAGAATATATCAATATTCAATCGGAATTTCACTAAGATAATGCACATCGTCACTTTTATCCTTTCCTACTACAACATAATCATCTCATTTCAACAAAGTAATATGGCATTCTAGCCACAATGCTCTACAACAGTTGCACCCTTATACAGTATCGTTATGGCCAATTCAATCCTTGTTGATAACTCCAGCATCGAATTAGCAATAAGATGTCGTGGCAAATTTTTTATTGATACAAATTTAAAAGAATTACTGGTTGACGTTTACATAGCAAAAACGACGAAATAGTTATTCCGTATTTTAAAAAATACTATTTCAAGCATCATTCCTTAGTGCAGTCTAGTAGAAAGTATGATAAATGGATAGCAAGATACATTATGCCACATCTGTTTTCGTTTCTTGCAACTGATGTTGACATACTCTCCAAGCATCTTCGTACATTTGTACGCTGTATAGTACAATAAATTATTTTACATTTTTCATTTGAATTAAAGCTTTTCTTCAACGCCTTCTCTTTCAATTGTAGCATTCTATTTTATCAGCTGTCTACTTTTATGATTTTCTCTACCAATTTGGTGGAGGATCATCAGGTCGACGGATTGTAGCTAGATTAGATAAGAAAACAACAAGGAATCGATTATGTTATCATATGTATAGATACTCGCACATGGTTTATCTTTTGCCAAGACTAAACTTAACTTGATTATGACTTGGTTCTTTATCGCTATATGCAATGTTATAGTATAATACTCTACAGTTCCAACAGTGTGCCTACAGCAATCGACAGTACTGACTCCCTAGCGCTACTCAAAGGAGCATATTGATGGACAAATTATGGATGTACTAGCTACCATTATTTATTCTTACGGATAACAGTCAAGCAAAATAAATGTTAATATTGATTGAATTGAGAAGTAATCGTACTGTATATCCTGCCTAATCAGCATACCTGGATAAAATTTCGGGGTTTTCTTATGCGCTTCCATAGAAGCTTGCGTTCCAGGTCCAAAGTAAACGCATAATGGTCCTATCAATTGACAGGTCAATATCCAATTAGAAATAGGAAAGGTTAAGATCCAAGTTTAAAATGCATCATTGGTTAATTACCTGCAACACCGAAGAAAATAGAGACAAACAAAATGGGTTCCTTATCCCAAGCTTTTCTCAAGAAACCTACAGTAGAGCGAATCAACGACGCCATGACAGTCCAATCCCACACAGACACAGTGCGGCCTTCTTGCCTTAACTGTTAGAAACTGAAGCATGCTCAGTATTGTCAGGTGCAGCGTCTTTTTCCGACAAAAGGGTACAGTGTACAGTCTACAGTCTACTGACACTGTACTGTACACTGTACCGACAGCATGCAGTAGTGTCAGTGACTAGCGGCTGTTCAGTAGAATATAATCAGGGAGCTTATCATTTTTCTGGTCATTCTAGTATACGCTACCACCGAAACCGTATACTATACTGCGGCTCATTCTAGTTTTGGATGACAATAGTAAGGGATACCGTCGCAGTCAGAATGTACTGCCTAAAGCTGTGTAAAATATATGTCATCATTAGCGCTTTTACACTATAGGGCACAGTTGCCTTCATTGACGACATCTGTTTTGCATAGTGTTCCCAGTAGAGAAAATACTGTACTGAGTCGAAACTCGAAAGTTCTGGCGGTTTTAAACTATATTAGTCACCAATGTAATTTAACGTCCTAGTAAAAATTGAATGGAAAATATCAACTTTTCCATCATTTATATGACTACACAGTTAGGGTTTTCTTTCCAGCTTACTCACTCAATACAGCTCAGTACTCCTTACAACTTCTGGTTTAATTCCTTCAACACCAATCTGCCTGCCATGTTGCAGTGTACAGTACAGTACTGTACTGTATTTTACAGTGTACAGTATAAATCATACAGTACACGTACTGTACGCTACAGTGTACTGTACGGTATAAAATAGCTCCCTTAAACAGTCGACCGTTCTCTAACTTTTCGACACGTAAGTATGGCGGAGTTGCTGCCATCTTGTTTGGCTAATTTGTATCTGTCAATTATCCTCATCAGTGTAGACGAATCTACTGTTGTTTGGATATCATTATTTTAGCCATGTATTTTTTTGCATTTTTTCTTAAAGCAGTTGTGTAATAGATCATTCTATCTTTCTCCCTATAGCAAATGGCGGACGCAGCACCAGCCGGTGAACGAGGTGGATTTGGCGAAGGATTCGGACGCGGCCGAGGACGAGGCGGAGGCCGAGGCCGTGGACGTGGACGTGGACGCGGTCGCGGTAGAGGCCGTGGGAAGGGAGACGAAAAAGAGGTAATCCAATCTATGTTTACTATTCTGTACATAGTTTTACACCTAACTCAACGATGAAGTAAATTGCATTGACGCTGTCGTTCTTCTAACCGCAATGAATTCTATTCTTTGACAGTGGGTACCTGTTACTAAACTCGGTCGTCTCGTCAAAGGTGGCAAAATCAAGCGCCTTGAAGATATTTACTTGTTCTCTTTACCCATCAAGGTAAACCTATTTGACGTAACCTATCGTATTAGTCTGCTTAAAACAGTAAAGTACGCTAGTAAGCAATGAGTAATCAATGATCTCTATTTTAACCGACTACTTGCTCGTACAGGAGGCCGAAATTATTGATTTCTTCTTGGGAAGCAAACTTAAAGATGAAGTTTTAAAAATCATGCCTGTACAGAAGCAAACTCGTGCTGGTCAACGTACTCGCTTTAAAGCTTTCGTCGCTATGGGTGATTACGATGGACATGTTGGTCTTGGCGTCAAATGTAGCAAGGAAGTCGCCACATCGATCAGAGGCGCTATTACTTTAGCCAAGCTATCGATTGTACCAGTTCGTCGTGGTTATTGGGGTAACAAAATCGGTTTGCCTCACACTGTCCCTTGTAAGGTGACTGGAAAATGCGGTTCCGTTAGTATGAGATTAATTCCTGCTCCAAGAGGTACTGGCATCGTATCTGCTCCTGTGCCAAAGAAGCTCTTGCAGATGGCTGGCGTTGAAGATTGCTATACATCATCAACTGGCCAGACCAGAACACTGGGTAACTTTGCTAAAGCAACTTACAGTGCTATTGGAAAGACTTACTCTTACTTAACTCCTGACTTGTGGGAACCAACCAAATTCTCCATGACACCATACCAAGAATTCACCGACTTCTTGAGCAATAAGCAAATCCGTACGGAACGCCCGCGCCCAAGAGCTTACTAATCAATACGTAATACCCTCATGAAAAGGATGACTAATGTTTTCCTTCATGTATACTTTATAATTTCGGTGCCAATAAAAGAGAATTAAGATTAATATTTCAGTGTGTCTTCACAATCGAATGGATTGCCGTACCATTTCGGTATGATCGTCTCCAAGTTAGTTCAACTACGTATACTATTATCCAGTGATGACCATCGGATAATGTAACATATCCTTGATCACTTGCATGCTAAGTCGCTAATGCGGATCCAATGTACAGTACATTTATAATAATTCTTTTTATGTTTACGCGTATTCATCAAGTTTTAACCGAACCTTTCTCAGGTCTAGTGGTAATGCGATCTGTTAGCACAAACCTTAGCTCGCGTAAATCTACTCTGATATTCTACCTCTGTTGCATGCATCATTATAGTAAGTAGGCCATAGTTCAATGTCCTTATAACTGAATCAAGTCTTAAGTTTTTATAGCCGGCTCTGCAGCAAATACAGTAATAGAAATTTGTTAAACTGGTATAGTGAAATCGGCCTAAATTGAGATTCTACGTATAGTATTTTTTGAAATGCATTAGTGTTTAAATAATGTAACTTGAGACCTTTTAAGAGAGCTCAATTACGCTTTCTATGATAGGTTTAATAGTTAATTGGGTTAGTAAATCGATCAACTAACATGGCTAATTGATACAATATCGATTAGGAACTGTAAATTCTCGGTAGTTTAGTCGATCTAATTGATCATTAGTGTTTAAATAGTGTAACTGAGACCTTTTAAGAGAGCTCATTTACCCTTTATATTATGGGTTTACAAGTCAATTGGTCCGTAAAATCCGTCCACTAATATAGCTCATTGATACATTAACGATTAGGAAGTATAAATTCTCGGCAGTTTAGTAATCCATGCTAATACATATACATGAACCGTTAAAGATGCATAGAATCACGCTTTCTAACAGAGCACAGTAAGGTAATTTCTACTGCAGTTCATGCATCTTTACAAGATCGACTATCAGGTATAATTTGCACAAAAATTTAACATAACATTGCTCCAACAAGCATCCAGTGCTTGCATTTTTCTTACACCAAATAGACACACTCTTTTAAGATTGGAATACCCATAGAAAGCAAGGGAATCATCAATATCGCGTTTTATTCTTACAACATCGCATGGAAAATGATGCTTTATATCTACTAAATAATACGTAATTGATGAAACTTGTAAACCAGAAATTGTGATACTATTATGAAAATTATAAATGACATTCTAATATACAAATGTTCAAGACTACAATATTAACTAGGATAGTAGCCAAATATAGATTTATAGTAAGGCATACTCTCATTATTGTGAAGCTAAATTTTGACGGTGGTAACGCAAATAAATCAGTCCTTGATTGACGGCAACAGCTAAATTGACCTAAAAGATATATTCTAATTATGGAACTAAATTCTTACTGTAGTAACGCCAATATTCAGTCGTTGATTTTTGCTTAAAAATTATAATTTCAGAAACAACGTATTCAATGTTAATGGGTGCATGAAGGATTTTTAGCAAAAATGATAAATCTGTTTATTGATCTGGTATAGATATCGGTCTTGCACCATCACCGGCAAGCGTAGTAAAACAGGTAGCATTACTGTAGCCAGCCTAAGAGATAATCACAGTTAGAATGTTATTATCATCACCTAAAATATAGTCTATATGTGCTCTATACAGCCAATGGCTTTTGCAATATGATTTAAGTGTCTACCTTAATATGTTTTATAGCTCTTTCTACTGCTTTTTTCTCCACTAAAGAAACAGAACAGCCACCAAAGCCACCACCAGTCATACGCGATCCGTATACGCCGTCCACTTCCATTGCTAGTTTGACGACAGTGTCTAGCTCAGGACAGCTAACTTCAAAATCATCCCTAGTATAAAATGATAGATTGTTACAATCTAGATACTTAACTAGAGACAGTGGTAGCAAAAGGATAGATTTATAAGACTAGCAATAGAATGAATACGATCTTTACTCAGGGTAACAAACTTCAAAATTTTCCCTAGTCTAAAGTGATTGATTGTCACAATCTAAATACTCAAGTACAGACAGTGGTAGCAAGATTGGTTAGACTAGCAGTAGAATGAATACAATCTTCATTAACGACAGCTAACTTTAAAATTATCCCTAGTATAAAGTGGCTGATTATCATCACAATGTAAATACTCAACTCCAGATAGTGGAAGCAAATATTACAGATTGATTCGACCAGCAGTAGAATAAATACAACTTCAAGACTTTAACCCATGATGGGTACAATTAATACACATCCAAATTACGGCAATGCTTACGAATCCTGTAACAGATTCGGATAAATGTTGCAGCTTGAGTAGTGGATAAGACGATTACCTTAATGATTCATGGCTCTGCACCATCAATGTTCCAAACGTCTCAAAATCACTATTTTCTAAAGCTCTTGCTGCTTGCTCACAGCGGATGATTTCAGAAACGACATGGCGAGCGCGGCGATACATTTCTTGGTCAGTAAATTGACTTTGAGCTTCTGTAGTAAGGCAATATAAGGCAACATAAAAATTATTTCCCTTATTCCACGGTCATTAATATACGAGTACAAAACATTCTTAAATGAGAAATCTAGTAGCATAGTTAGAGGCAATCAGCAAGCTCGCTTAACTATTAAATCCTTCATGTTGTACTCTCAACTGAGAAGTGCCTTTACAGCACACGGTTTATCTACTGTTGTTGCATTAAACAAAACTACTATGTCAAATAAAAACAGGCGATATTAATAGCCCGTAAGATACTACTGGGCAAAATGAAAAAAAAAGACCAGAGCGATTTAGAAGATGTGGAACTTACCTTTAAGTTCTTCCATGGTGACATCTCGTAAGCTCTTTTTGCCCAGCAATTTAGCTGATTCTTCACATTGGCGACGACGCGATGGATACTCACTACCAGTCAGCTCATGATGGACATTGGTATTGGTGATTAGTACAACTATATTTGGATCATTCATCGCCACTAAACGAGTTTCCAGTGATCGACAATCAATGAGCAACGCTTTACCTTCTTTTCCCATAACAGATATAAATTGATCCATAATACCACAAGGCATGTTAGCAAAATCATGTTCCGCCTTTTGACACGCCAGTGCTTTATCTTTATCATCGATGGGATTGGGAGTAGGTGCCAGCTGTTGTAGAAAAGTGAAAAAGGCAACTTCCAGTGAAGCAGAACTGGATAAACCACCTCCAAGGGGTACTGAGCTTGCAATCACAGCATCGAAAGATGGTACCGGACCTGGATAATTTGCAATCACTCCTTTCACATAGTTGGCCCAAGAAGGTTTACCAGGTTGTAACGGTTGATCTTTACTATGGGGTAAAAATTCAACCTCATGGGGAAGATCAGCTCGTTCAGCTATCGTTGTAATACGACATTCATTTCTCGCCGATAGTCTGCCAACAACCACCGTTGCGTCTTGCAATGCCTGCATCAACATAAGTGAATCTGCTTTAATGTCTCTTAATTAGCACGATAATACTACAGAGTCATTTAGCTTTGATCAATTAAAGTACAGTACAGTAATCAAGATGGGGAGTACTTTATGATTAATAAAATGCAGGAGGTTCAAAAAAAAAAAAATGGATGTATCATTCTATATCCAACACACTTTATAATTTCAAGCAAGAGGTAAAACATCCATATCAATCCATTAAAGTTAAGTAACGAAATAGCAAATTGATCATGTCAGTTCTACAATCATAATGCCGTTGGTACCATAGGAAAGACGAATCCATCATTGTAATCAGTATGTTCTCCGATTAGATTTACTCTTCCTGGGCCGCAGCCAGCTACTGTTGGCTTTTGTTGATATTTGCTTTGGAATGTTTTGCAAGCCCGTTCAAAAATAATATCGACAGCCATATCGTGTTCGCACGGTACTAGTAGTTTGGTGAGGAGAAATTCTTAAGGCCTAATCATATCAAGATACAGAATAGATTAGGAAATTCAATCGTAAAATATCTATCGATTTTTACATCCACGTAATCTAATATCATTTCTGCAGAGGAATATACACGTACACAACGAGTAGAGTAGAATTTACTCTTGAAATGACCGCTTTCACAGGATTGCTAGATGATCGAGAAAGATGCTCCCCCAAAAAAGAAGCACGCCCAACTTAATCCCACTATCAGCAAGTATTGATCTCTACCTGGAGAATTTATACGTACGCGATCAGTACTATACACCCTAAGCCTAACGCGAACGCTAACACTGTATAAACAAATAGACCAAGTGAGGTCATAAGCTATAAAATGCCAATTAGTATGATGTTGACAGTAAAATGGAGGTCAAAGTCGTGAATAATATTAAGGTTAATTAATTATCATAAGTCAAGAGGAATTTTATGCTAATAGCACAACATGACAGTCCATTATTATGCCTAACGTGTTATGCAGTTGCCTAGAGCTCGGTGCGTTACCATGCAACAAGAACACTATTGCAACGTTTTGCTAGTATTGTCTGCTGAAGGTAGAACTATATTTAATCCTGAGTTTACCGTCTTAATTCATGATATCGCTAAGCTATAACTATCCCAAAGTATGGGAGATGTGGCGATGGTACAGGCGAATCGTTTAGTGTAATGGCAATCGCTTGTGCATGTACAATATGAGATATTGACATCGAAAAATGTGTTAAAAAGATGTCGTTGAAATTATGTCAAGGCTGTAGACTATAACGTAAATTGCCAATTCAATTTTCGACATCTGTTTTACACAGGTATGCAGAACTGCAATTGCTATCGCAAGAGGCAATCAGTCTTTTCAAGACAAGTTAACATTGCTTGTAATCTTATTATTAATGACAGACCTATGGTGTAAGTACATAGAATCTTTTACACAAGGCAATAACGAGGAGAACGAATCTTCTAATCCAAAAAAGAAAAAGACCATCACCAAATCGAAAATTAGTCACGCACTGTTAACAGTGTATTTAACTTAATTCATGACCAACAGTCGATAGTCGATACTACCACAGTATAGTATAACGAATTGAACGTATAGAATCTTTTACACAAGGCAAGAACGAGGAGTACGAATCTTCTAATCCAAAAAAGAAAAATACCATCACCAAATCGAAAATTAGTCACGCACTGTTAACAGTGTATTGACTTAATGACCAACAGTCGATAGTCGACACTACCACAGTACAGTATAACGAATTGGACGTATAGATTTAGTATTCCATGCAAATAACGTTTTCTGGGTAAGGGATTTTAAAGCAGCCCTGCATGGATCATTGATTCATCAGCATTTTTTACTTAGGCTGTAGACAGGTGTACAATTCCGTAAAAATACCATCACCAAATCCAACATCGGTTGCGGACTGCGGCAATGAATTAGCAACAAGAAATACTAGTGCAGCATACCTAAATGCGTAGATTTAGTACTCCATGCATTTTTAATAGAACAGTAAAGAGGAGCGCAGTTCCTTAATTAACAAAAAAATGCCACCGCGAAATTTAAAATCATCCATGCTATCGTGACGCCAGTGCTATGTTACCGATCAACTTTATCGCGATCTACGATCCAATAAAGCAATCATAGATTAGCTATCAATCCATTCCTTTGTAACATCCAAAGAGGGCCAAGCCGATAGAACTACAGACCTTACCAGCAAATCATACATAATATATCCTTTTAAGCAATTATCATTTTATAAAGCAGTATGCCTTGCGTCTTTCTATCTACTGCTTAACTGCTTAAATGAAGTATACAGTATATTTACCAATATATTTACGGGTAATGATACTGTAGTTCCCAATTTTTATTTTTACAACATCTCAAATTAAATATTTTGCTAATATTACATGTTTTGTTTACATACGCAACACTAACCCAAGTCCATTACTTCCAACTCGTACAGTATACTGTAGATGACTGTTTGAAAATTGCTAAAAAATGTTATTACCAAAAGAATCCCTTTTCACCTCACACATGCGAAGTTGCTATTATTTATTATTTCTCATTACCTTATAAAACCTAATACCCATTTCAATTCCATAATTGTGTTAAAATCAACAAAAAGATACCGTTTTATTCAGGAAAATTTCAATAAATTTGTTACTTGCAGCTAATAACAGATTGCTAAGACAGTATAATATTAGTGTAAATAAAAACATTCATTTATTAGCACTATCATCAGATAAAATATCTCAGTATAAAATCGGAGAATCGAAGAACAATGTTTCATTAAATTTCAAATATTCAAGCTACATCTATTAACTGTATCGCTAATACTGTACAGTCTATAATTACAATAATAAACCAAAATTTACAATATCCGTTTACATAATTCATTTAAATCGTTCAGAGTGAAATCAAGAAAAATGTAACCGTTGTAATAGAAATTTTTCAATAGGATTAATCAAATTAGAGACCAGTTATTAACCAATAAGTATCGAAAAAATCTGTTCATAAATTTGTAATGGCTGCCATCAATTATAGCAACACTCAGCAACAGTAACATGACTTGATCTATCATAATTACTATTACTACCTTGTTAATATTTGCTGATAAATACTGTTCCAAGTGAAATACAAAACGAAACGAAATTTTAAAAAAATTTGGTAAAGATGCCAATAGTTGCAGCAAATAATATCCAATAATTAACGAATTCTGAAGGGTAAAGTATAAAGCAGGATTTGCAAAATTACGAAAAATTAATATGACCACGGCAATTAATTATGGAATATAATAGCAATATTTTACATAACTATAGAAACAACCAGTAGCACAAGTCGATCAACTACAATTGTATAGATAAATCGACAACGAATGGTCAAACTTACAGCTTATAAATAGAACCAATCAGATATAATAGTATTAAAACTACAAGATTATTTTCTATGTGATTAACTATAAGGCGGTTAACGGTTGACAGTAATTGCTATATAATCGAGCATGAAAATGTGCCAATTTTTTTCCTATCACGCACACGCTGAAGTAAGAGTATTATCACACGCATGCAGATGATACTGTTACATCCACAGAATAAACTTTTTTAAGATACAATCAAATTATTGAGAGCGTATGACTAAAATTGTTAGCAAGGCCATGACTTTAAGATGCATTAGAAGCCTTCTTTTTTCTAGCACGCAATTTTTCATAAAATGGATCATTACTAATACTAGCTCTAATATAGTAGTGAAAAAAAGATTATTTTAGTGCTTATTAGTATAATCTTATTTCATTTTGGTTTTATTATTTATGCGCTTTATTCGTTACTTACTGAATAGATTTCATCCACTCATCTTTTTCAGTAACATTCGAAGCAGCAATACGATAAACACTATGATTACCTACAATATCATCAAGATATAGACTGTCAAGAAAATAGTCAACAACGGAAATTCTGTATTAGAAACAGTTGAATCACATACCCTCTACAACACGACCATCAGAATCAGTTTTGCAAGCCTTAATAACCCCCGAGGAAAAAATTTCAAAACAGAACTAAAATAATAACATTAATTTAGTATGGGATAACATTGAACATTGTAGTAAATTTACGAAAATAAATATTTTATTTACTTACGGGGCGCTTAGAATCCGGACAATCGCGAACATTTAGATTCTCTAAAGGTATAATACCGCGTGGTTCTTTATCCTGAAATATAAACGATATCCGTATAATACAATCAATATTATACAAAGTAGGGAAAAATTTTTTCATCATTATCACCGATTGTCTAAATTAATTCAATACTGGAGCTACTTGCTTGATTACTAGTACATCTAGTATTACAGAAATATATTTATTACTTGCGCGGCTCCTTACCGTTGTATTTCGAAAATAATATAGGCAATTATCCGTTAAAATAAACCATCTACGCCTCCATGACTTATAATTACCACCTATAAAGATAGTTAGCAGTAGAAAAGATATATGCCATTAAAATAGACTTATTGCTTACATTAGTTTTATTTAAGAACAAAAAATAGTAGAAATTTATTTATGAATGACAGAACGTAAAAGTACCTTCTTTCACAAGCCAACCCTCTCGATCAGGGTTAAAAAACGTATAAGTTAAATCACTTCCGTCATCTTCTGGTATTTTAAATGGTTTACTTTTAATATCTTCAAACAAAGTCTAATTTTAATGAAACCAAACAATAAATTCTTGTACAGATTCCAACTGTTTTTAAATAGTGGTTCTTTAATCACAGTAATAGAACGTAAACTTACGACTAATAGCTCTCTGGGAAGATCGCCACCGTTATTGATACCACGATTCATAGAAATAAATTGCTCAAGTGTCGTCTAGTACAGTGAACAGGAATTAATAAAATGTTGACAATAAAGCTCTCGGGACGCGTTGAAAATGATAAATGTATAGATTAATAACGTCATAAAATGTCCCCTACCTTTTCTTTGACACTTGGATTATGCAAGGTCGTATTGAGCATAATTAGTGAGAAGGACACTACATAACAAGTGTCTATAAGAGATTGAAGGTGATAGATTAATAATTACGACAGCAACCAGAGTAACTGATAGATTTAATTTGCTTTATTATATATAGTACTTTTATTACATATGGCAATAATACATAAAAGAGGCTATTTTTAAAATTTTAATTTTGATAGTTCCTACCAGAATTTGTAAATACGCCAGGATTACTAGTACAATAATGCTGGGCGAAGCATTCCATCATTCTATCAATCTTTTGAGCTTCCCCAGGTAGACGAAAGCTAGCCAATAATTGCCTACGAGAAGTAGTTAGATTTAAAGATAACAGAAATTTCTTCACCAAACAGTACAATAAAACTGTCACATATAAATCCCTTGACAAATGTTAACTAACCTTAATGCATCTACCAAGGACAAATTCGAAAAGACATGTATACGAACAAATTCATTCAGAACTTTTAAGTTGAATTCTTTGCTATAATAATAATATAATAATAATAATGTACTACTGTCAGTATGACAGATTCTTTACAACTAGATAATATAGATAAAACAATGAAATTATATCGCTGTGAGTAATTCCGTTAAGTTAATATTTACAATATACAGTATGACCGATAGTAACTTACTTCTCTCCCAAATACTCTCCAATCTGTATTTTACTAAGGCCCTCCATTTTACTTAAAAACTGCGCAATATCTTGACAGGTATGATTTAATAATCCAACAGATTCTAAATAATCGATACCCTACGTGTATATACCGATTTCATATTAGTATCAATTATTATGTATTAATATAGCCATTACGATATCAAATCTTTCTGACTTTTAAAAAGTCACCCAATAACAATTAATTCACTAGAACTTGGCCAAAATAACATTTCTATAACATGGCCAACTAATTTGTTGGGATTACCTTCGGTGCTGACATATTAAATTTTTTCCTTCCAATGTGTAATTCACTTGCTCTTGCACTATTTTTACTATCACTGTAGGTGAGTGACCGAATTCGATAATCCGTTAATATTCTTAATAATAGTAAGGTTATTCACTATAAATTGAATTTTCCTACATTGACTCATATACTGCATGATATTTGGCATACCTTTCCGTAAAAGTAGCTTCCAATACCTCCATATCTTTCGTAAGTTCGGAGATATCATTTTTAAGATCCTATTTTTTGAATGAAAAGATAATAGACAAACTTTATAAAGCACAGCTAAATACCAGAATGGGTAGTCATTAGCCTTGGTACCCATGAATAATGAGCCACAGTCAACTTGATTTTAGAAATGTGAAAATTCTTATTCAATAAAATTTATTCCAATATCAGGGAATAGTACAACTAATTCTAATAAACTATATCAAACAGATATAACTAGTGTAAACGAATCGGTCACGTAATTTAATCGTTTTTTAAAACTTTATATGGGTTAGTTCAATTCAGTAGAAGATAGCGAAAAGAATACCGCTAGATACAGAGTAAGTAGTATTGATTAAGAAATATCATTAGAAGTAATTCTATTCATGCACAGGTTATCATTGCTTGTAAGTGATGACACAAAATGGTTAATGTTGAATTTTTGTACTAAAAAATAGTGGTTCAGTAAAGAATTTACAAGAAATTATACAAGTATAAGATAAATCGAACGCAGGCTAATAACTGCTCACATGTATCATTCAATATCCATATTTCCGTTAATTAAATATCATTCAATTAAATACCGCTATATGTACAACACTAGTACGATAAATGGATCTCATCTATTTTAATTTACTACATTGAATTCTATAAATGTACTAACCATACAGTCATAAAGGAAACCAGTAAAGCACAATAAAAGTTATAAATTCAAAATGTGCATGATCTGTTCGATACTCCAAGATAAGCTCACAAGTATGAAAAAAAGCAAAGAAAATCCTAAACGTATGGGTATTGATCGACACTCAAAGGACGATCTGAAAAGTGTAATCTTAAATTAATTCCTTTCTAGTGATGGACGCCTATTTTTAATATTAACTAAACTATTGGATTAATGCACTTGTCATTGTAAAGATGATATTATATCGAATGATGAGTACGATTTAGAGGGGTTAAATGTTATTGCGTCCAAGTTAGACTTTAATTTTTTAGCATCTATAGCTATCATGATTACAGCAATTAGATTGCTGCTGGCTGTTGGAGGACATTTAAATTTATCATGTGTAAAACAGGTGCAACACACCTTAATTAACATTAGTTAAGACGTAACAAGTGAAGCTTTGTAAAATCATATCAATTCTATATTACTATTTTCATTAATTAGCAACGCCAATAAAGCGATATAGGAGTTCTATAGGTAAATAATTCAATTTAATCGCACCATGTTAAAAAATTTAAAGGAGAATATAACAACCAATCATTATTTTTTCTTTACGCTCATTTTTTAAAGTTTCCTGTATTCAATTTGCAGGTGACTACAAATAAATAGTCCTCCATGCTTTGATGATGGTAAATAATTTTTTATACTCCTTATAGAATAATTTAATTTAATCGCACCATGTTAAAAGGATTTAAAGTAGAATATAACAAACTTATCCATTTTTTTCTCTTTACACTCATTTTTTAAAGTTTCCTACATTCAATTTATAGACGACTATAAATAAACAGTCCTTCATGCTTTGATGATGGTAAATAATTTTTCATACTCCTTATAGAGTGAATCACTTCCGCTATGTACCAAAAAAAAGGCTGTATTTCTATTCTAGTTTCATTGGAATCCATGCGAAAAATTAAATTGACTTCAGTTTCATTAACATCTAACATGGTTCTACCATTGCCTTGCAAGCATACTAACGTCAATTCAAAAAGTTTCTGATTTGTAAATTAGTTCGATGTTATCAAGGGTAGCGAATGAGAAATGGACTTTGAAACTTGAAGGCATGATGTTGTAATCACTTCCAAGTACGACATTGAAAGTGCCATTAACGATTGTATAGTAAAATTGCTGTTGTTAGCAAAGAATAACATTCAAAGCAATACTTGTAGTATGAAAAGAATTTAAACGTAAAAAAAAAATCTTTTATTTTCGGTTGTGAATAGACAATAGAAGAAGAAGAGGAAGACAGCTATCTAAGAAATGGCCATACTCAAGACATGCATTTATAAAATGGTTTTAAAATGGTTTTAAAATGGTATGCTTCTAGAGCATTCAGGTTTCGAATCTCGATTAAACTGTGCAGCAAGGATTTGCTATGTATTTTAACCAATGATCTCAATAGCTATCTTGAACACGGATGTTATTCTCTTCTATACATAGATAGAATAAAAATTTGGTCCCCTTATTTTAACTCGAACTGAGATTATGCCCTAAGCAAATAACATGCATAAAAGAAGTATTTTTTTCACGACTCCATAACAGCTAAAGTAGCAACTATATTGCCAACAAATAGAATTGTCCAGTTCCCGTGACATTCAGTATATAAAATTGAATTACACCTATTTTTTAGATGATGGTTTAAGTGTTCTAGATAGCTGATTATGTCTATTTAAATCTCTTTTTAACTAATATACAGATAAATAATATTTTGAAAATATTTTGTCAATTCCTTAATACTATTACAAATTAACTTCGAAAGCGAGCATAGATGACATTTTAAGTCGAATATATCCTACTGTAGATTACCCTAATTATTGCATCTTTCAATACAACTGAAATTACAGAAACGATTGTATTCCTATTGGAATCTAAACTGGCCATTTAACTTATCCTTGATGCATCCAAGTAGATGCTAGTTAATTGTTTAATAGATCGAAATTTTACCGTTGTATCTTTGATGACTGTAATGCTATAATAAATACGATCAATAATAACTTTAATAAAGATTCACAGTCAATAAAGTAGCAGTAAACAATATTACGTCTGTAACCCATATTTCCAAAGTTATACTGTAACTTATGCATGTGTTAACGCATTCCATGTGTACGATAGTGTTACTAAATTAATCAATGAAATTCTTAAGATAGTTGCCTTTCTTTACGATAACAATCTTCAATCAAGATAGCTAGTGCTGTTTCGAATAGCAACGAAAACTAAATATACACTACTGTAATCAACGTAATAATAAATTGCGACATAAGACCACTACGTAGATTGAGTAGTCCATGGTAGTGAATACAGTCTATCCGAAATTAGGGATATAATATCGTACACAAGTATCTTAAACAAAAAGGCGATTACACCAATCGGTAAAAATGACCAAATCAAAACTACTTTGATATGACTATAACGCAAATCAATCGGTCAATACACAGTGGGAAAATAATCATGGAATCTTACCTGAATTTCTTTCTCTAATTTAGCCTTTAATTTGTGAATATGTTCTAACAATCTCTTATCCTTGTCATCTAATTCTACATGTTGTATAAATAGGAAAATAATGATAATATAAATAAAATCGAACAATGAATTGATAACAGCTTTAAATAACAAGTATTGACAAAGAAATTAAGTTGAACTACACGCACGCCATTTTTTCCCTCAGAATCAACATGATCCTTCTTCTATTTCGACAGTAGACTAACTTATCCTGACTTCTAGTTTACCACTCCTTCTATTCTGATTTACGACCCATCTATTGAAAATCTGTATTAAGGGGAAACAAACTATTCAAGAATCGACTGAAATCTTGACGAGAAGATAACTGAAGTTATGACTAAGCGAAAGGGGTACAAAAAATGAGAGAAAAAATACTAACACAAGTGTTTGAATAACCAAATTGAATAAGTAGCTGATATCAGATACATTAAAACCATCACTAGACTCTAGACATTTATCCTCTACTATATAGTATCGATCTCCATAATAATAAATTGCCAACGATGAACATCATAACGATTATCGTCCATTAGTATTTCTATTTACGAGGTACCAGAGTCACTTTATAATCACGATTGGAGAGTTACTGTTAATATCGTTTTAACTCCAATTTTCAATTCAATTTTATAAAAGGAGAACTCAATCCAAGTAGAGAACGAATATAGTACTCAATGTCTCCTCAATTCAATAACAACCAGACGAGATTGCTAGACCTTCACAACGTCCTTTTTTCTATCAATAGCTATAACTATTTCTAGTCTTCTCTAAAGTATTGATGATATGAATAGATCAATTATTGCAAGTCAACTAAGCTAAGCTAGTCTACTACTTCATTACTTCAATTAGGAGACGAAAAATCAACGTAAGTGAAGATAAAAGTATTCCAAAATGACTCTTCAAATCTAATAATGATCGGTTGATATTGATCGTTGCATATATTAGCTATGACTAGTTCACTAAGGCATGTTAATCTGCTAATTTAAAAATTCAATTTGTAGGCAAGAAATCACGGAGGCAAAAGTACAACTCAATGCCTCTTTAACTTGCTTGAAATGGCTAGATTTTGACTACGTCTCTTTCTTTATCAATACCATTCTTCCACTCTACCTGACCGTGATCGTGATATCCATAAGCTAAAACGCGTTTACTAAGGCATATTAGTCTACTATTACTTTATAAATTCAACTATATAGTCGAGAAATTAACCTTTAACGAAGACGAAAGAACTGTATTATAAATTGCCTCTTTAATGTCATGTTATTAATCGAATGAGATTGTAGGACTTTGACAACTTGTTTTTCTTCATCAATACAACTCTTTCACTACTCTTTGGCACTGATCAAGCAATACCTATGCTACTGTAAAGCAGATTACGAAGGCATATTCGTCTACTACTTTATAAATGTAATTTATAGACGAGAAATCAACCTGAATTAAACGAAGGCGAAAGTACGACAAAATGCAATCCAATACGAATGGAATGAGTTCGTTGGACTTTGACAACTTGTTTTTTCTTCATCAATACACACAGTTCCACGACTCCTTGGCATTCATCAAGGAATGTCTATGTTACTGTAGTCGGCTACTTTATAAATTCAATTCAACATATAGGTGAGCTATCAATCCTAATCAAACAAAGGCGAAAGTACGATGACAAAATGCAATGAAATCCTAATCTAATAAGAAGGTTCAATATTGAACAACTTGTTTTCTCCATCATTGCTAGGATAGGCATTCATCATGGAATGCCTATCCTAGAGTAAGGCATGTCTACGTTATCCATTTAGTTTATAGGACGAGAAATCAAGGTTCATGAAAGAAAGACGAAAATAGGATAAAATGCAATCCAATACAAATAGAATGAGATGGCTGGACTTTGACAACTTATTTTGATGAAGAAAAACAACTCTTCTCCTACTCTTGGCACTCATCAAGGAATGCCTATGCCACTGTCTAAACAGATTACGAAGGCATGCTAGTCTATTACTTAACTCAATTTAATTTGTAGGCGAGAAATGAATCCTCATTAAACGAAGACAAAGTACGATCAAATACAATCCAGTAACTAATAAAAAAAGATCGTTGGACTTTTGATAAGCTATTTTCCTTGATCCATACCGCCCCTTGGCAGTCATCAAGGCATGTTTAACCTACAGTAAGGTAGTCGACTTCATTAATTCAATTTGTAGACGAGAAATCAACCTTGATTAAAAGAAGACTGTTAACAGTACGATCCAATGCAATACGAATGGAATGAGACTGCTAGACTTGGCCAACTTGTTTTATCAAAATGACTCTTCCACTACTTCTACTATCACTGATGATCGTAAGCATCCGCTAGAACAAGTTGACTAAAGGTAAGTTAGTCTAGGATGATGATCAAAAGCTGATTAGGGTTGTTGATTTCTTTCCTTGATGAAGTTTATGCAGTACTTGCCTAAAACTCGTTGCGAATCGCCGTTGACGGCTGTAGTTACCACGGTTACGGTCTCCGTCATCTCGCTAATGAAGTCAGAATGATGGAGGAAAAACGATCAAGTCCAATAGAATGATGAGAAAATGAGACAAGCAACACCAACGATGGTAGAATACGATCCCAATCAGCCGACAAGAAAGCTACTCCAGATCTTGCTAAGCTGTTCACTGCAACATAGGCGTAATCCCATCCAAGTCAATTTTCCCCCAAAGCTAAAATCGATCTCAACAACAAAATCGATAGTGATAACCCAATCGTCGTTGTCTCTACCACATCGGTCTGGCGATCTACCTACGGCCTTATCCTACTCCTTCTCCTTCTCCTTCTTCGATGCTTTCCACTAACGCCTACTTCTTCTCTAGTGAAAAATCGATCCTAATCTTTCTACCTTACAGTAGTTTGCGCTGGATATACATCATTTATTCCAATATTCTCCTAACCATTAGCACGCTTTCTTTATATAGAGAAGAGCAAAGCAGCAAGCGGCATTAGTCAGCGCCGCCATCGAGGCTTGGCCTGGATAGACTATAGTGTCCATACAGTGCTTCCACTTGACAGCTTGAGTATGGAAAATGGACGAGGGGAAAGTAGGCTGACCAGCCATGTTGCCTCCCCTTCCGGTACCGTACCGGTACAGCACGGACCAGTACCGTACCGTACTGCAGCTTGGCACTTACAGTGTAAAGTATTGTGGTTGACTAAAAGGACTGTAGCCGAGTGAAGGCTGCAATGGATCCAGGATCATTGGTGACATTACTTTTGATAGTATACCATTACTCAGTTAGGAGAGTTAGCAAAAATAATGGCTAAACAGGACGTGGCCAAAAGGGATGCCTACTGTCTACTGTAATACAGTAGCCAAAAAAATGATCAGAGGTGACATCATTATACACAGTTACATCCAATCCTACAGACAGGCGGACGTACAGCTTACGGACTATTGCAGTTTTCTAATCATGGACTGGTCGATACCTCTAGCTGTCCATCACAATAAGTAGCGATTTAATTGGGATTTAATTCAATTTAATTTCCAGAATTAGAAATTATTTTTTGAAAATTTCCTATACAATAGAATCAAATCAATGAGCTGAATTTGCATAAAATTCAAGTGCATAGTTAGGCTAGTATTATACTGTAATTAAATCAACAAAATTATTCAATTATATTTCTAATTACAACTTAGAACTTTTATTATATTTAGATTATATTTCAATTCTATTTCTAATTACAACTTTTATTAGCCAGACTAACTTGAAAAGTGACTAGCAATTGCTTCATATAATTCTACTCGTAGACTGTAGCTTATTGCATACTTTTGCAATTCACGATAACTAGGTGTCGAAGTCAATTCTATTTCTAATTATAACTTTTATTAGCCAAACTAACTTGAAAAGTGACTAGCAATCGCTTCATACAATTTCTACTCGTAGACTGTAGCTTATTTCATACATTTGCAATTCACGATAACTAGGTGTCGAAGTCAATTATATTTCTAATTACAATTTTTATCAGCCAAACGAACTTGAAAAGTGACTAGCAATCGCTTCATACAATTTCTACTCGTAGACTGTAGCTTATTTCATACATTTGCAATTCACGATAACTAGGTGTCGAAGTCAATTATATTTCTAATTACAACTTTTATTAGCCAAACTAACTTGAAAAGTGACTAGCAATCGCTTCATACAATTTCTACTCGTAGACTGTAGCTTATTTCATACATTTGCAATTCACGATAACTAGGTGTCGAAGTCAATTATATTTCTAATTACAACTTTTATTAGCCAAACTAACTTGAAAAGTGACTAGCAATCGCTTCATACAATTCTACTCGTAGAATGTAGCTTATTTCATTTACATTTGCAATTCACGATAACTAGGTGTCGAAGTCAATTATATTTCTAATTACAACTTTTATTAGCCAAACTAACTTGAAAAGTGACTAGCAATCGCTTCATACAATTTCTACTCATAGACTGTAGCTTATTTCATACATTTGCAATTCACGATAACTAGGTGTCTAAGTAGAACCTCTAATATCCGGAGTCATATGGATAGGTTAATATGGAGACGACTCCGGATATTAGAAGTTCTTATAGTAAGTCATATATTTTAAAGTAATACCATACTTTTCATCGTGTACTACTATTGTTGAGCAAACGATAGAGAAAATCAATCAAAATTGAAATCAAAGGTTCAAGTATACTAGTAAATACACAAGACTGTAGTGTCGACTGGATTTTTTAATATTTCATCTTCATGTTACAAGTAATTTTTAATAATTATAATTGATCAATAAGAAACAAGCAGTCTTCACCTCAATCACTTTTACTATCATAGTTATCATTATTCGATACAATCATAGATGTCACTAGAATTAAACATCGGGCTAAACACCAAACGAGGATAGACCCAGCGTTAAACTTCAAGCAACTTACATACAGCTACTGTATAGTAGAACGTCAGTCTGACTTATAATAACCAGCTAATTAATTAATCTTTCTCCTTTTAAGAATGTTTATACCGAAGTACTCCGCTAACAATATAGAGAGAGAAAATAAAAATTAATTCGTTAATTAAATGGTCTGTGCTGCCTATTCATAGAACACATACTAGTATAAGAGTACATCAATTTAAACATACAGTCAGTTGGTACAGCATGCCCATAAAGTCATTGACTGCATAATGTCAACATTTATATACAAACGCATGTATAAATACATTATTATATATGTTATGAAGCACAATTGTACAGATATAGTACAGCATGCAGTATTCATCTTTTTACACGACATCACGCCATTTGTTTATTCGTATTTACTGGCTGGAATGAGATGGGTATTTTATCATGAAGAAATATTAACACAACATAACGTAATCAATTGCTGTCTAAAATACTATATTTATCAATAAATCCTGTTAAAATATTCTCATGAGTATACCACTGTATAATACTACAGTATTACCATCAGGTATGGACTGTAGTTTTCTTTAAATTTGCTTATAGCAATCGCGTTAATTAATTATTAATAACACAGCACATGCTTGTATGCAGTTGTCGCGTTATTTCTTTGCTTTCATTCTCTTTAAAAACGCTCTCTAGCTTCCATAACTGATTCACCAGTATTTCTACGTTGCAACTTCTTGATCTCTTCATGTAAAAAGTCTATAGATTGAAATAATAATTACTTTACACTAACCGACATCAAATATCATATAGTGTATAAAGTATTCAAATTTTTAAAAGTTGCACAAAAATACGGAGCATTCAAATACCAGATGAATCATTCTGAGTGGAGTTGGTATTATCAGTTACAGTCACAGATTGGCTATTGTTGGCCATTGTTAGACATTGACTCAAGGCGTATGGATCAACATCGTGCAACCTCGGTAGCCAATCTTTCACCCATTCGTGTTTCACCGGACAAACTATCCTGACGTAAACTCTACTAGTACATACTATTTCATGAAATATTATCCAATCAAGCATATCTTCCTTGCCATGAAGCTAATCATATAAAATGTTATAAATCAAAATCAAAAATGAAGCCCAACTATATCTATACGAGTTCTGCCAACCATTTTATTTGCAATAAGTTTTATACGAGTTAAAACTATCGTCATGACATACCGCTGATGACGGATGTATAGAAATAACGGTGCCATGACCATCCATGGTGCGAAAGCTACGACCAACCTCGCATCTGTAATCATAGAGATAATAATGTTGCGTAAATAGCTACAGTATCTTCTGTAGAGAGACAAACGAAAGTTAATATATCCTTAATAACAACAGTTGAAGTACTTTCTCGCAATATTGCAGAAATAGCCAGCGCATAAACAACGACGAAGTCGTTCATTAGATTTCCCTTGTGATGAAAGGTTTGGTTGATTTTCTTCCGTCTATGTTATAATTTCAATAAAATACTTTCGTTAAATTTTTACCCACTAGTCCAAAAAGAGTTATGATTAATTGTAAATAAGGTATGAAAATAAAACAGTAGAGTAAGTAATCTAAAACAGACAATAAATTTTTACCTGCATAATCGTTGTAAGTATTCGCCGTAACTGTTTATGGATAGAAGTAGCAGTTTTCAAAGCTCGCATGTGAATATAGTTATCTTTACACCATCTCGAAGGCGAAGTACTGGCAATCATTAAGTTTACAAATTATAAAAATTATACAGTAATAGCAATTAAAATATTCAAAGAATGAATAAAGAAGGGAATAAGATAAGTGATAGTCATACCTATCATGATAGCTACTATATACAGAAAGTAAAGTTGCAAAATCATTTTTTCCACCAGTCAAATCTGCCAGCGTTGTATGAGCATTGTTAGCCTCTTCCATCCTATCTTCTCGTCCTAGTATTCAATAACGGTTTACTCTAGCTTTTAAAACAAAAATATTTTGAAAATTTTGCCGACAAGACTTAATACCTGGTTTAACGAATACATTTTCTACAGACAGCATTGCTGCTATAGGTAGAAGGTAGTCGCAACAGTTATATTTCCATGATTCTACAAGCGCCTTAGCTAAATTTGGTGTAACTGGAAACTGAATAATTTTTCTTCCACTTTCGGTCACATACCCTTCTCTAATTAGCATGAAAAACCGAATTACCTTATATTGACCACATATCTACTCCTTATTCGTAATCAATATTATGCTCTTACAGCTACTATCGCAATACATACTTATTGATAGCTCCAATTACATATAATTGCCATAGTGCCCGCAAAAGCAAGCGTTCACTAGGTGGATCAAGGTAATGAAAGTGAAGAACATTATTTATATTCATGCATTTTAAGCTTAGAACAACTTTGCTTAAGTTTGCACGCTGAATTTCCGGGATGGTATCTTTTTTCATAACCTTTTCATATACATCTCTAGTTAATGATATGAAATAAAAAACAACTTGATTAAAATGATCATTATGTAAGCATAGGTTAATATGTATTCTCGCTCTACAGTATGACCTATAACAAAAAATCTGACAATAGATATATTTAAGGCATTAAATGTGCGTAGACAGTACATTGTAACATCACATAACCTTCGACAGGTGTAATCATCAGTGTATATATATATTCTATAGCAAATTATTAATTTTCCCTATTTTTATACTTTGAGTACAGTCTGTAGCACTTTCCGGACGAAGTTCTTCCAGCCCTCCCTTTTCGTTGGTCCGCTTCAGATCTATAAAATTTGAAAATGCCAAAAATACAGTTCAACTATTGTAGCCACAGAAAACTGTAGAAATCCCAATAGCGTGCAATATACACATTCATAAAAGTATCACTAAAACAATTTCCTACAATGTATAACTAGTTTACAAGCCTTTGGTGTGCGAAATTATTTAGGCTAAATAATTTTATCGAAAAATACAGGTAATTAACTGATCAAAAACATAGGATGACTATTTTTATTGTCAAAATTTGCGACATCTTAATCTGTATACCTTGAAATTAGTACTACTTCCAGACTCTCCATACCGTTAGATGCATTATAAGACAATTGCTTAACAAAGCCGCTATCAACGATATATCTTTCATCCAACGCAGTTTACATAATTGAATACAATGAAGATTAATATCATGCAATAACCTTCTATTTGATGCGCATATAAAGATGTAGGTAGACCAACACATCTTACATTCTACAGTTTCAATATCTTTATTATTCAAATACCTGATGCCATCAATAGTAAGTGATGTTCCAGCAATATTAGTAGCAACTATAATCTTACGTATCCACGTCTCACATTCATCGAACACTCTCTGCTGCAAATCTATGCAACATACATACCCAATACTTAGTTTATTGTGAAGAAATATTACGCATCTATTTTCATGCAAGTTACGCTACAGTATTTAGAATAAAATAATAGTTCTTTACCTGTTTGCATTGATCCATAGAGAGGCAAAATTAGCATAGCCTTTACGCGTTCGTCTTGAACATCGTATTGATAATTTACATTTTCCGCCTTTGCATACAACATATCACAAACTTTTTCAATTTCAGCTTGGCCAGTCAGAAAAACAAGAATATCGCCTGAAGGGCAAGTCATATGGATGTCCATAACCGTATCTACAGCCTAATAATTAGAAAAGAAATACATGAAAGGCGTAATGAGTATAATTATTAATGTGGACCAATAGCTAAAATTTTGTCACCAAGTTACGAAAATGCAAAGGCCAAAGAGCAATCGTAGTTACCTTTGATATGTAACCCGGATTATCTACATTCTTAACGGTAATATAATTACAATAAATTTCTTCAACAGGATAGATTTGTCCAGGTATATTAAATACTGGACAATTATTGAAAAATTCAGAGAACTGCTGATAATTAAGGGTCGCTGACATGATGATCACTTTAAGAGGGTTGCTACGTTTACTTGGGGTCGATTCTTCATCTGTTTCATCAGTACGCAAGAATAGTGCTTTTGATAAGCCAAACAGAATATCCTGTCAGAAATATGAAAAAAATTTTATTAAATTATACTCTAATCATAAAAAGATTGGGGTTATCATCAAAAATCCTTTATAAATTATGCTTGATCCACATTATAGCTCAAAACAAACTTTCATAGCGAATCAATACAACTAATTTAAGAGGAGTTAATTAAAAGTTTGAGCCTATGCTAAGTGCAAATTAACATTATGATCAAAGTTGTACAGGATCTTACCGTATCTAGGCTTCTTTCATGAGCTTCATCTAGAATTACGACACTGTATCGGCTTAGATATCGATCATCAAGAAATTCGCGCAGCAAGCATCCATCTGTCATATACTTGATCTTGGTTTCATCTGAAGTACAATTATCAAAACGAACCTGATAACCAACGGTAGACCCTACAAAGATCGTAAATTCAGCTGTATAAGTTTAAAATGTAGGACTTGAATTAGCAAAATTAACCGATACGTATCAACCCTCCCACCAGGGTATAAAGTGGAATGAATGAAATTAAGGTATTATCTATACGAATTAAACCATTTGCTCCATTTTAGCATGGAATTACTGTTTTAATCCATCTCACTACATTAACTAAACACCACTAATGCAGTATGACTGATTTAGGGAAGAGTAGGTATCTTATGATACATACATTAGTCTAATAACACGCTATCCCTCTGTAGTCATTGTATGACTACTGTATTTGCTCTATCATAACATCCATGCAAAGATCATCTTTACTCTACCTCGTACAGTTTATGCGTATGTAGGTAAAGCATTAGAGTGAAATTAACAACATCAGATCTGAAAGATAGTTCTAAAAATGATGCACACAGTCCTTTACACTCTCTGAGATACCTAGATCACATTTCATCTCTTCGGCAACTCTTGTAGCTACTGAAATAGCTGCAACCCGTCTGGGCTGAGATACTCCAATAACACCATGGCGACCATAACCATTCTCAAGGAGATACTGTGGTAGTTGAGTTGTTTTACCACTTCCAGTACTACCCACAATAACAACGGGATTAGAATTGTCGATGATCTGAAGAATCTGCTTGAGACATTTATAGATTGGCAGATTTTGTTTCATAGTTCGTTCTTTGCTGGCATTTACCGTAAGCTGTTCAAGAAATGGAGCAGCAAAAGTTAGGGCAGGAGCGATTGTAGTAGTGCAGTACAGTATAGAAAAGGGGCATGTCATGTATACTGAATTGGATAATAGGTTGATACAACACTGTGTGTTACAGTAATCAAACTGAGCCATTATGATAGTTTCAACTTGACGATATTTCTATACTTCAAGGTAGAAATCAAATGCTCAATCTGCTAAGAAACGCTCGTAAATTAGTAGATTTTGTCTCATAACCCGTTCTTTACGTGTATTGGATTAACTATTCATTCATATTAAGCATGATAAGGTAGAAAGAGACAATTTGTAAAGCAAGTTCCTGTTTAAATACTGACTTAGGTGCATCTTATAGAAAATTCTCCTGCTGTAGACATACGTATACTGTATATACGTATATCCATATTCCAGCTAGTGCTCTCTTTTGCTCGATGTAAAGTATATAAAGTAGGCATTTGCATAGCCTGGAAAGGTCTGATGGGAACAAATGTATATATAGATAATTAAATTTAGCGACCTTGGATACTAAATTCTTTTTACAGTACTACGCTTTGACGACTTGAAACAACAACTGAATGAATTCCTACCTATTCAAACTTGCTTAAGGGATAGTAGCCATAATCTGCCGAGTTAATATCAAAGTAAGTCAATGAAGATATTGACATCGTCAATTTATGTTTCTCTCCTTTTAGGCAACAATTCTTTTCTCGATCGTAGTTAATTATACTGTAGAACGAGGTTTATTGATTTGTTCACAAGCGCAAAGTACATTAGACAGATTATAGTAGTATTAACGATTTGATTTATGTTGTTAATATTGTTATAGGTTCATCGTTGAAGAGTGCAGCATCCAAAATAAGCGTTTTTAATCGGAAGCACAACAATTCGATTCTGTATGGCATATCTCTTGAATATAAGAATACGATATAACGGATTATTCTCAGGCATTGCAATGTCTAAATAATTATCATACCTACAGTATTTACCCTAGCGATACCATCAATCTCATTAACTAACAGAAACACCCTAATCTAATCAAATACTGTAAATATGGGCAGTGCTCTCTCGTTATCTAGTGATAACGAGAGCGGCGAAGAAAATAACGAGAATAATTACCGAGATGATGATTTAATTTATCAAAATATAAACGACGATAGATATAAATTTACCATGATCGACAAATTACAGTCGTCATTGATCCGATCATCCAGGCGAGGAGATATCCAAAAAGTTCAAAGAATACTCTCTAAAAATAGCCAAGATTTCCACATTAACATTAATACTACTGATGGTGCTGCTAATACTCCTTTAGTGATTGCAGCTAAAGAAGGCCATTTCGAAATTGTAAAGTACTTACTGCAAATGGGCGCTTGTGCCGAAGGGATACGAGAAAATTCGACTGGATGGACTCCGTTGTGGGTAGCTACTTTTTCTGGCCATTCTGAATGTGTTAGGTGAGATGCCTCCTTAATCCGATCGAAAGTAGTATAGAATAACTGTACGCATAGAACTGTTCTTTTCGGTATCCTTAAAGTAATATCGAATATGGTAAACTTTTACTTAATCTACAGTTCAATAGGCTTTTAGGATTGGGATTTAGTCATGCTAAGCTATTCTGTACATCCAATCATCAATCAGGTGTAAATATTACTCTATTAAGGTTAATGAAGCATTAAGACACTAAAAAGTGAAAGCAGTAAGAGATATTTTAAAATTATGTTATAATAACAAAGTCATCAATTGACACCTGTTGGAAAAGTACAAAACTTTTCAATACGGACTTTTAAAATGGTAATGAATATTTTATGTCTAGTATTATCGATAATAGGTATAATTAAATAAATAAACTAAAATACAGTATGAAAAGTTTCAAAATGGAAAAATATTCTATAGTAATACTCTTATTTGGTCATCATACGTATTGTAGAATCTTAATCCAAGCTGGTGCAAATATTGAAACAAACTCGCCCGATACCCCATTAATGCTTGCCGCAAGAGAGGGTCAAGCTGATTGCTTACAATTACTTATTCAAGCCGGAGCAAAACTCAATACCCATAATGCGAATAAACAAAACCCCCTTCACCTTGCATGCGAAGAATGTAATATAGAGTGTGTGGAAATTTTACTTAAACAAGGATTCGATGTTAACGCTGTCGATAAACTTCATAGAACTCCATTATATTTAACTTGCAGTAATTGTGATAGCCGTGCTATTGAGTGCATTCAATTACTACTTCGATACAACTTAGTTGTCGATATTGCAGATTGTCATGGTAGAACCCCGCTACATGTTAGTGCTAGCATAGGGGCATATGATGCGATCGTATTACTCCTAGAATTGGGTGCAGATCCCAAACGTATGGATAAATTTGGTAAGCGACCATCAAATTTAGCGTCAAGCCATCCACCAACCTTAAAGCTATTACATGATGCTGAAGGTATTCAATTCTCTTAACAATCTTTCAAGTAGTTTTAAATTTTTAGCTTGTATGTTATTGTCTAGTGAGCATACTAAGGTATGGCAATACGGTGCATTATTATCTTATTTAGACATACCGATGTCACTCATCAATTTTTGTCGCTTAAAAATTCGAAAGTTGGTAAAGAAGAGTGAAGATCGGATGAGCCAGTTACCAATACCGACTAAACTTATTCAATTTTTAAATTTTTCTTCGTGACATTGAAGGCCTATTCCACAGTACTATATTTATATCCATACTTACATTAAGAACTTATCCTAGCACAGGCTAGTAATGAAATGAGGTAATAGATTCGCTATAGATTCGCTATAGCCTAAGTACTAAGTAGCGTACTCTTAATAACTTATAAAGCTAAAAAAAAATTGGACTTTATCACTACAGATATCGTCGATTATCTTGCATATGTCCTGAAATAAAATTGAACTCAAGGCATTTTTTTAAACATTAGCTTTCATACTTTATTTCGAAGATATTACTACAATAACTTTGGTCATTCAAATTAGTAGCACTATAATTCTTAATCATAAAATTCAAAAATGTATGATTACAGTTGAAAATAGCGGATGAGCATGTGATAGATGCGAAGTTTTAAACATGTTGTGCTACTATAAACATAAACTATAAATGTAAATATCATCTATAGCTTATTTTTTTTCAGCGATTACAGAGCAGGCACTTTTTCGATATTACCACTTGCAACAAGCGTAAGAGGTGCACTAAATAGTCGTTTTGCGACCTATATCAACATCACAAAGTGTTCATGAACAGTGAGAAATGGAGTAAATATCTAAAAATAAAATAAATTCAAATAGTAGATAAAAACACACCTTAACGACATCTTCAACAGATGCTTTATCAACTTCGTTTAAAACATCAACGGGAGATTTATAGCTTCCAGTGTATCCAGCCTAATTCAATAAAGATTTGTGAAAAAAATGACAAACAATATCAGGTTGATATGGACGTAAATGAAAAGGGAATGTAAGGAGTTTATACAAATAACGAATACAACCACTTGCAAGTATATGTACGTGCATTACCTGCACTGCAAGATCTTGCATAATAGATGCAGGATTCTCATATGACATAGCTGCATATGCTTTTAGCTGATTTCTGCAACAAATTAAATCAAACCATTTTTTAATACATATTAATAGACCAGATTTTTTTACACCGTGTAAAATTTCTTGCTTACTTTGCTCTAGTCAATTCATCATTTGATATACCCTTCTCAGCGACACTGCGATACTGATTAACAATGGCCTTTAAAACCTGAAAGCATATGACAATATCAGAACTATACAGTCACATCTATGTGAACGTAGATTACAGACAGGCAAATCAAATCGCCAACAATATATCATACTTTATCAATATCGGCTGCGTTGGCAATTACATAACTACCAAGAAGTCCAGAATCTGAGTAATTTATATTCAAACTAGAGACCTAGTAAAAAAAAAAAATAGACATGTAAATAATTTCGAGCAATTATAATCTAGCTTTTAAATCTGTAACCGGTAAATAGAATCGTTATTATTAATACTGCACCAATTATCAGTACAATACTTATTTAATTTACTTACTGTGTATGGTGAAGTAGTGGCTTCGCTGACGCTTTTCGATAGTCTACAACATTATAAAGCGTACATAACTGTTAATAGCTAGGTTTAAGGGTTACACTTAACTTTATGATCCTTACCTTGAGGTCTCAGTATTGTTTCCATACTTAATTAATGGAGAACCGCCTAATATTCTCTATATTTAGAAAGCATCATTTAGGAATTCTATCCATTTTTACACTTTTACCGTATCATCATAATTTATCCTACCGTTAATAAACCAGCCGCTAGTATATCTTTGTCTTCCAAGCTATAGTACAACAACGAGCAATAATAGTTAGAAACAGTTGGTTTGACTGCAGTTGTTAACAAAACAGCAACTAACCCGACACCTTCGGTAACAACTGCTGCATTGACCAACGGTGAGTCCGCCCACCAGCGAGCATCACCTAATATTGGAAAGATATCATATGAGTCAATTATAAAGCTCAATATAGAGTGGATTTTATAGCATCAAAGGAGAACAGATATCACTTGAAAAGTTATGAGTTACCTCCAACGTAGAAAGACTTTTGCTTTTCACCAGGTCTTTTGGCAGAAATACCTTCAAAGGATGATGATGCAATCTGTACGAATTCGTCGTGGTTTACGCCTATAGAATGATATCCAAGAAAAAGATTTAGTCCGATGATAGATAGTTGTAATGACAACACAAAGCAATTTCAACAATTGCACTATTAACCTAATCCAACAAGAGTCATTGCAGGCCCAGTAAAGCACTCTTGAGCGAAGCTTTGGAGCTATCACGATCAAAAAATCGACAAGAATTAAGTAATAATCTAAAGGGCATTCCATTCTATATTAAAGGCAACAATTATAAGGAGTAGTCATTACCACATCAGAAAATAGTGAATTTGCTCGGAATGATGGGCAATAAATAGAATTGGCAAGTGGCCCTCTAAATGATATTCATCAGTAGAAGACACATTGAGAACATCATCTCATGTATTCGTATACAATATGGGTACAATTCTATACAGTCCATAATAGAATGAACCTTAGCAACTGTATGTTGTTGCGAAAGTTTCCGTTCATACCTGTATGCTACCTGATGAACAGCTTCCATGATGCCTGAAATAAATAGTTGTAAGATGAGTACCATAACTAATCTGACACACCTAGCAATTGTTTCAAAGTTAGGAGTAAACGTGGTAAAATCACATTGATAATGACCTGCATGAATATCAGTGTCTTTAGCAGCTAAATCCGTAAAAAGGTGATCTTTTCTATCATTGACCTGTAGAGAAGGCAGGCGAAATCAGGATGACTAGTTAAAAAATGGATGTAACATTTCATAAAATAGTAAACATTGGTCGTTGATATTTACCTCCCATCTATAGAAACAAGGATCTTTGACTGTACTGGCGATGATACTCAAGACAGGTTGACTGATGATAAAAAAAAAAAAATAGTTTTATAATGTAAGAAGAATTGGACAGAATATCGTATGTGCTATATAGTAGAATTTGGTAAGTGCTCCTTCTTAACGTCTTACGTATACAACTTGTAAGAAAGAATAGATTCAAGAAATTGTACTCTACACATCTATTTATAGCTAAGAGTAAGTATAATCAAGAAAAGAGAAAGATATACTGTATTGGTTAAAAATGGATCAACGCCAAGTTGCAAACATTTCAAGATATTTTTAGCACAGTCTAACAATAAGCTTGACTATAGTACAGTATATCCCATTTATTCACAGAAGGAATCAATTGATATTTACAGTACACTATTTGGCTATCCATTTATTAATGGCATTGACGTTGAAATTGCGTCCAAAGTCTCCATTTACAGTCTACCCATTACTCAGCAGTTGTGGATGAGAGAATCAAAAATGAACTCTGCTGCAATACTTACACTCGATCTCTTAGAAAATCAGAGGAAATGATCAAGTGCTCCCGTGTATTTTTGGCCCTAGATATAAATGATTATTGGATAAGTGATGGCGATGATGAGGTATTCTAACTCATGGTAAATTGCTACGTAGTGAGATGGAATGAAGATTGATTAAAATAGCCATTGTCCTATTCCATACTGTAAGTTAGCTCCTAAAAGTTCCGCCTCTCTGGTGATTTTCAATGCAGAATTTTCTTTGTTAGCCTAATGATATACACATGAAACCGGTGTCAAAATCAACTCCAATTTCAGATAGAATGATGCATGACAATTTGCAATGATGGCTTACCAAGAAAGCGCAGATCTTCATAACATGCGAAGCTCCTAAGGTGTTGAATCGTTCGTAACGACTGCCTGCATTGACATAGAGAGCAATTCGTGTAGTCGACGAGTAATCTTCAATGGAAGCAACGGTCATGCCATTCTCCAAACGTGTAATCTATCATCAGGGATGTGATATTCAGTAGTAGAAAAGAGTTTTTTGAACTTGACTAATGATACTATGGATGAAAATATTGCCCTAGTCCATTGTAACATACGGCGTCTCTCCGACTAGAACTATCTATACCATCGGTAGGATGGTGTGCAAATGAAATCGACCCCGCTTGGAACGCTGACTGTGACTAGGGGCTTACTATGACTTTTACAAAGACTAACCTGGGCTGGTTGTGGTTGTTTTCGTTCAATGGGTTTCCATTCTCGTTTTGGTGTTTCAGACAGGGGAACAGCAGCCATTGAGTACAACCTGGACTAAAATAAGAGAGAAAGAGTGTCATTTCAAAGTTGTATCATCGACTTGGCATCGCCATTGGCGTGCAAACGGTGAACAGGCCCAAAGCACTACTGTAGTGAGCAGTTTTTTTCCATACGCTACCAAGTATACTGTATACTGGTATGAGCAAAAAAGGGACCAGCCAAGTTGAATAGGTTCCCCAAGTGTCTTTTTCCTTCACTCGGACAGCAAATTGAAGAGTGCATTGATTCAAAGCATGATTCATTTTTGTCTACTTACGTTGCGAATAGAAGATGCAACTCTAGGCAGGATGTGCGATCCATGGCAGGTTTTACCGATTCTACTTAAATGAGACATGGCTGGACCTTCGTAGAAGGAAGAAAGTGGCTTGCCGAGAGTGTAAGAGGGACTATCACGGCGGCGTCGTCCATTCGCCTGTCTGTCCAAGGTAGTTGCATCACGTTCATGGAGTACAGTGTACAGTGTACAGTACCATCGTGCCGCATGGAAAAAGTACAGTACTGTACAGTGTATAGTACTGTACTGTACTGTTGTGTGTAAAATCGGGTGTGCGCTGTGCAGTCCATGATGTAGTCCATCTGTCCATCTGTATTGATCAACCAGCCTCGCTAAAAAAGTAATGGGGCATGAGTACAGTACACAGTACAGTACACAGTACTGTACTGTACAGTATGCCACTGCATCGTGACCCTTTTGCTGGCCACTGTACGGGGAACTCAGTACAGTACAGTAGTAACGCGTCCATTTCACGATGTAGTCCATCTGTCTATCCGTACTGATCAACCACCCAGCCTTGTACAGTATGTCACATTGCCACAGCATCCGTGACCCCTTTACTGGCTACTGTACTGTACTGTACGGGGAACTCAGTACAGTTCGGAGGAACTCGTCCATTTCATGATGTAGTCCATCTGTCCATCCGCACTGTATGCCACTGCATCGTGACCCTTTTGCTGGTCAACTGTACTGTAGGGGGAACTCACTACAGTAGTAACTGGTCCATTTCATGATGTAGTCCATCTGTCTATCCGTACCGATCCAGCATCCAACCTTGTAGGCCACGGCATCCGTGACCCCTTTACTGGCTACTGTAGACTGTACTGTACACTGTACAGTACGGGGAACTCAGTACAGTTCGGAGGAACTGTTCCATTTCATGATGTAGTCCATCTGTCCACCCGTACTGTATGCCACTGCATCGTGACCCTTGTGCTGGTCAACTGTACTATTTCATGATGTAGTCCATCTGTCTATCCGTACCGATCCAGCATCCAACCTTGTAGGCCACGGCATCCGTGGCCCCTTTACTGGCTACTGTAGACTGTACTGTAGACTGTACAGTACGGGGAACTCAGTACAGTTCGGAGGAACTGTTCCATTTCATGGTGTAGTCCATCTGTCCACCCGTACTGTATGCCACTTCATTGTCACCCTCTTGCTGGCTACTGTACGGGGAACTCGGTACTGTACACTGTACACTAGGAACTCGTCCATTTCATGATGTAGTCCGCCTGTCCATCCGTATTGATCAACCACCGAACATTCCTATAAAGGTCAAGAGTAAATAGGCAGTGGGGTTAGGGGCAATGAGGAGTTTCTGTCGATGATTTTTCTGCTTTACTTTACTCTACTTTTCTAACTTATGAGCCACACTATTTTCTGCTAAGAGAACAGCTGCAATTGCATTGACTGTACTAAAAGTAGATACCATAGTGCATCAAGTCATGATGGAGTATAAATCATTTATTAGCTCACAGCTGGGTGCAGTGGTGTAGTCAGTAGTCCACTCCACGGGACAGACAATCGTGCTGCTCTACTGGAGTAATGGAGACGACAGTGATGATGTATTGCCTTTCTTGCACTTTTTGTATCCACTTACTATAGTCTCTATTTCAAATGGATATAAAATTGAAAGCCATTGATCAATTCTTCTACAGTATAGTACAGTCATTGGCTGCCAAATAAAGTACAGCATTTTGCAGGGGCAACGAAAACGAGCACGATATCGACGACCTAGGAGGTAGCTGCAGATTGTTGCCTAGGGTGATGATAAACGTTAGTTTGTCCATGCAATACTGTCTATTCCTACGCTGTAATCGAGCTCTCGTCATAGTTTCTACTCGCTTTCATAAGATCCAACTGGGCAGAGCTTGCCATGACAGTAAGAAGCAACCTGCCAGAGAAAGTCTTCCGATATCGACTCGTGCAAAGTAATAAGCTTGACGACAGCTAGGCTGTGTCAAGAAAGCCATCGTAAAGTATCTCAAGACTCGAGTAGACTATCATTGTGACTAATCAATAGGCTATAACATAGCTATCATGATATCCAAAAGAAAATTAGCAATCGACTCTTACTCTATCAAAACGAGTGGTAAAGCCTAAGCGAGGCGAGGCGGCATACGAGTAGACTACTCCATCGATCGATTTGGATGTCCATAACGACATCAGATCGATCAATGTCATCCAATGACTGCCTTACTTAAACACTTGTTAACCAACCTACTGTCCATCCTACTCCATATTAGCCTCTAGAATCAATGTCTTTTGCCGGTATGTCAACAAACCATCGATCCAAAGTTATATTTACTCTCTCGTGGAGGATAGCCAATCTGCTCTGCAAATTGCCAACTCCCCCACTATCGCAAATCGTCCACTACTTTTGATACGACTGGATGGCCTCTTCCAGACACTCTATAGCCAATACACTCACTCTCCATTGCAACATAATTGAGAACTCATGACGTAAATCAATCGGCCCACCCAATCCAAATAACGGCCCCAGTCCGTACTTGCCTTTCTATCCTCGATCTATTGCAGCCTTTTGGCCATTTTCCATCGTTGTACAACTTCTTTCCTTGCCTATTTTCCTCTTTTTTCCTCTTCTTTCCTTCTTTGCCCAAGTTACGTACACAACTAGCAATTGGCTAGTTCGTACACTTGGTATTGAATTCAGTTTGGATGGTTGATTGGAGAAGAAGAAGAAGAAGAAAAATTGTTGTTGGACTCCATTGAAAGTGGTAAGTAGGAGACGATAGTCCAATAAAATGGAAATACTAAATACAGTTTGCTATCCATCAAGGAGAAGATTGGCGGTTTTTGCCTCTGTGCTAGGGTATCATTTCTAGTTTGACAAGAAGAGAATGAAATACAGTCATACAATCAAGTGGAGATCAATCGATTATTACTCCAACTTTGAGAGTGTGATGGATTGATCATCCATTTACCCTTTCCATTTAATTAGTAATCGTCAATAAAATGAAATCTTGATCTTAGGCATGATATTGAAAATATCAAGTTGTTGCTCATTCAATTGATTGATCATTTCTTCTCTAAAGGTAAGAGGATTAAAACCATGGAATTTGCCAAATCGCTGCTGCAGCCTATATTGCCTTCAAGAAATAATCATGCTTACTCCAATTCTTTGGATCATAAAGGTATCGTTAATGTAAAATGAATGGTGCTAGTTTATGGATAGACGACGTGAACTCAACAAGGATGAACATCATTTTCAAGACTATATCCCAACGATAGCTCAATCGATTAAATTGTATTATTCCAAATATCCTAGCGTAGTTGAAAGTAAAACCATAATAGGATAGATAGCTCGTTAAAGTAGAAGAATCATCCGTTCTTAAGTAGACATTCCGCTTAACTCATCCAGTCCTTTGCCACGTAGAAGAATCCCATCTCCATACAGTGTCAAAATATTATCCATCAAGATCCTCATTTCAATTGCAATTCAACAACTGGCAGGCAAATTAGTTCAATCTCTTGAATAAACGTTGACAATGTTAACGCTATCATGGAAAATCAGTATCATAACATTCCCCTCCAAAAACAGTTATCCACTACATTGCCGACGGCTAGACACCGTTGATATCCAATGATAGTCGTATAATAGTTTATCCAAAGCGGCGACTTTTACTACTCGGTCCATATTCCCATTTCATTGAAGAATCCTTCCATGTCGGCAAGGATTACAACACAATGAACCACCCAATATCGCTAAACTAAACCAATCAATACAAGAAAAATTTCAACGACCGATTTTACTCATTCATTCTACCATGTTTTTAATTCGTCGCCATTCAACACAAATTAGTAATGATGATCCAATTGAGTTATAGGAAAATAATTTGATTGAGTTATAGGAACATCATTTCAATGCCTGCCCCCCTCTCAATAGCAAAATGAATACGACGAGCATTTCGCTCTCATGAACCTCTTTTAAAACTTGATGACAATATAACACCCCTAAAAATGTAATGGCCTTTTTGGGGGGGGGGGGAAAGCTCCATGTTATGAACGCGTTTTTTATCACCTAATGTCGCAGATAGTGTACGAGTAATCAAGCAATGCTCCATGGCTTTAATAAACCTTACAAGAAAACAGAATGCCTTGTATTCTACAGTATAGAAGGAAATGTTGAACTTATACACTACTTTATTTTGAGGGATAGCAAGTTGGATAACATTGGAAAAACTCCATTTTAGAAACGCTTTTTTGATCACCTAATGTCGCAGATAGTGTACGAGTAGTCAAGCAATACTCCATGGCTTTAATAAACCTTGACAAGAAAAGAGAAGAAAAGGTTGAACTTGTACTTTATTTTGGGGGATAGCAACTTGGATAACATTCTCCAAGTGTAAGATATTGCTACGTCTACAATCAACACATCGACTAGGCAATCTAGTAAACTAGAACATGATATTGCCCACGATGTGTAAAAATAGAGTCATGAAATAGGAAATGATGAACGCTGTGCGTTGAAATCTTTCTCAGTTTATGATCGCTGAGATGATCTCATCTCCACCACCAAGACATAAATCATGTCTTGGTGATAGACGACTGCCCCCCCCCCAAAAAAAGAAGAAACTTTTCCTGCTATGAAAACAACGTAGACAGCTCTATTCCATGCATATCAATTTCCATTCTTGCTATTACTATCGCCATGCCGTTGAATTTTGATTCAACGGACTCTTTCAAAATCAATTCCCTGTGAAAAATATCCCAAGAAGTAAGAGAATAACAGTAGCCCAATACAGAAGGATAACCATCATAATCGACTACAGCAATACACATCTTCCAACTACTCTACTTCAACTATCAACAATAAAAACACTACGGGCTATCCATGGCCAATAAATAAAAAATTGAATGACATTAAAATTAGAATATCAATTAGAATAGTCGTCAAGGCCAGCATTATCTATTCTACAGAAATGTAATTCTGTTTGACGATGAAGAACGGAAGCACTGATGGAAAGTGTACTCTTATGATCCACCCTTTGCATCAATCAATCAATCAATGTCGTCTAAGCTAATTTTTTTCTCCTTTCCTTTCCATTGGATGGGGATAGCTTACGTTGATCTCTAACGTAGAGAGAAGTGGATAGTAGCTTTGGGGCTCCATTCTTAAAGTGGTCGATTTTTTTTCCAGTCAAGGATGATTTGAAATAGTTTTCAGTTGGATATTTTATTCATTATCGTGTTCAATTTGAGATTAAATGATGGCATCGTGCTCATAAACGAACATTCTTTCTCGTTTTGAACTGAAATTATCATTTCCGTTTTACTTTCTCCTATCCCTAGAACAAGATTGTTCTCAGTTTGATATTTGATAGCATCGTGCTCATAAACGAACATTCTTTCTCGTTTTGAACTGAAATTATCATTTCCGTTTTACTTTCTCCTATCCCTAGAACATGATTGATCTAGTTATAATAATAATTAAATTAATTGACATGACGATGTAAATACGATTCAATGTTGGATAGAAGATCCATGTTAATGGAGGGATGTACAGTCTATTGCCTACTGTGGCAAAATTGGCTTTCAATGGATTAAATGAACTTATCCATTTTACTCTACTACAATAGTATCCTCGCCAGTGAACAGCCACTTTTAAGCAAGAATTTTTTCTCCTACAAGTCCTTAAATTGAATCTACTTTGACATAGGTTAGAAGGACAGTCAAGAATCGATAAACACAGTACAGTAGATGATCTACCCGTAGGGAATAGAAAAATCGACGGTCTAATTAGTCTTATGACGGAATGAAAATTGAATTCATTCCCCAAAAATAATAAAATTCACTCCTCTAATATCAATCTGTCATTCTGTGAACATACTCTTCCATCATCGACATACAAGAACAGTCAAGAATCGATTCACTAGAAATTGATTTATCATCCATGTAAAAAAGGAATGGGCAGCCTGTTCAATACTAAAACAGAATTAAAATACTACTCATTAAAAGATTGATTTCATGGTGAACATACGCGTACTTTTACATAGACGATAGACTAGCAAAAAGTCCATTTACTCTACCATATTCAATTTGATATATCATCAATGTAAAAGTAGTCAATACGACAATAAAATGGAAAATCGATTTCATTCAAAATTGATTCCATGGTCAATAAATCGATACTTTTACATATCAGGTATAGTAGCCAAGAATCAAATTACTGCTGTATTCCATGGACATATCATCGATGTAAAAGGGGTAATCTGCTCAATCCGATCATAGAATTGAAATTCTATCTCATTCAAAGTTGATTTTAACCTAAACATACGGATCCTTTTTTTTTAACATAGCCGGTACACTAGTTAAGAATGGATTGACAATCCTATTTAATGGATCCATATATAAGAGAAATCGAAAACCGATTCAATTCATTTAAAATCCATTCTATCTCGTAAAGATACTTTGAAATGGCCGGTAGGATAGTCAAAAATCGAGTAATGAAGGATAGCACAACCTAAATGCCATGGCTACGTCTGGTGTTTTTTTTTTTTATTTATCATTTCTTTTATACAAATTGAATGGTAGTAAAAGCCATGCTGAACTGTGGATTATCACGAGATAGGCATAGATACACTACATATGTCTATCATCATGACATTGAATTAGGGACATATTGAAAATGTACATAAAGTCCAGCTAGATGATTTCAAAATCGGATCAATATGTACCTTTCTGCAAGAATTAAATAAACATGTCATGTTATGACCACTATAGAAAGCCCATCAACAGACTGTTCGATCTTCAGCAAACTTGAATTACTCCATTGAATTCAGCGATCTTCAGCAAACTTCAATTACTCCATTGAATTTGCTGATCCTGTTCGTGTCTATATGTTCTATACAAGTCTACGACTCCCATTTCCATTAGTGAAGCAGAAGGAAAGTTAATTTACGGTAACAAACATTTGACGCAATGCTACATAATACGTATGTTAAAATAGTTCATGAGCATACGATGGCAGAATCGATTTGTTAAGGGATACTAATATGAAAAGGAAACTACTACAGCCATTTGGTTAACTACTTTCTGTAAAGACTGTAGATTGAGCGGGTGTCCTTTTTGATGGCCAAAAAATCAGTGGCTTACAATAATTAGAATTAAAGGCCTATTTCAACATACGTCTAGGAGAAATTTCGTTACTCTATTCTATGTAGACTTGCCTTACTGTCCAGTCGATGACGATCAATATCCATCATAAACTCGTGGTTAACATAACATATTGCACAGTACGTTATTTATTTATTGAACGCCTTGATGAAATTCTGCATACGATTTCTACTACTTGTGCAATGGCTGAGTTGAATAAATGGATATAGCCAATGATAATAAAATAATAATTTACTGCCATTGATGCCATAATCCACCATGGGATTATGGCTATAATTACATCCTGTCTCTTACAGACTACCAAAAGTACAAGATAATTGACTAATATGAATCGCAAATCTGATTAGCATTCAATACCAAGCAATCGCTTTCATAAATAGAATTGATCATTCATTCCTATTTTTCTTCCAATGAACAAATAGGTCTACATATCCAGTGGAAGTAGGCAACTGTTTACTTGTACTTTGTATGCAGTACTTAATCCCTTCAGTAGTTGGACCCTCAATTTTTTTTTAAATATCTACGTAGTCTACTAACTACAAGTAGAAAATTATTTGATCCTAATTGATCAACATTCCATAACTAAGTAATCCTCTTTAATTCGGTAAATCATTCATCTTCATATTCTTCAGACTTACTAAAATATCTACAAACCAACCGCAAACAAATCATTAGCAGACGATGGTCTACTTGTACTTGATCAATCGTAGCCTACTAACTACAAGTAGAAAATTATTTTGATCGTAATTGATCGACATTCAATAACTAAGTAATCCTCTCTAATTCGGTAGATCATTCATCTTCATTTTCTTCAGACTTACTAAAATATCTACAAACCAACGACAAGCAAATCATTAGCAGACGATTGCCTACTTGTACTTGATCAACATTTAAAATCAAGCAATCTCTTTAACGTAATGTGTCCGTTCATCTCCATTTTACGACAAGTGTATAAAAAAAATTGTCGACGCACTTAAACTAGAAGTAGGCAACCGTTGGCTAGGGGCCATCAAGATCGATCTAATATGGACGATAATACTGCACATTTATAAATACAGTAAATAACTACGCAAAGTCAATCAAAAATTATCATTATATTAACGGATTGATACAGTATCGTGTTGAAATTCATTAATAAATAACAACTCTTTAAATAATGCCTATCTACCGTACTCTATCCTTCTTATGGTGTAAGAAATTTTTAAAACTCAACACTCAGCAAACTGTCGATGCGAATAAAATAATAACTCCTGTAGAAATCTACCTACTGCTTTATACTGTAAAAGACGGTAGTTAAATTATAAAATGTTTTATTCGTTACTCTTATTCTAATCTTTCCTTAGTATAATCAACAGTAGCCAATTAAAAGAGTAATAATTGTATGTCTCTGTTTTAACACCATGTTCAACTAACACTTTCTGCAGTGATTTTAATACGCTGCTGTACTATAAAAATTATCGCCTCTCTTAGCCAATTCTGTTATAAAAAAAAAATAAAAATTACATCTTATTAGTCGACATACCTTACTCTATTGATAGAATTATGTAATGATAATATTTAAAAACGATATTATAATTTGATATCAATAATATCTTTTGGCCTCTCAATTACATCATTTTATATATTATTTATACAGTACCGTCAAGTGGATTTATTGCTGAATCCTTTGCTGATTTGCAACAAAATGGTTTTACAATGAGTAATAGCTCACTTATGCCACGGAGGAAATCAGCTCAGCTCAAGCCTAAATATGATGACGAGAGATATGAACCAACACCTGGTGGTCCATTTTCGGCATTAATTCCTAATATGTGGCCTCAAGAAATTTTAATGAAAACAAATTTGGTAAATACATGATTTATCTTAAAATTAAAAACAACAAAATTAGAATCAGAAATCTCTTCATTATCATAGGCTTATTAATTTCGGAGTACATTATCGTATTGTCGTATACTGTATAGTGCTTATAGAAGAAAAATTTCTCTATAACTTTAACTTTAATTAATAAACTATATGTAATGGTGCAGTTATTTGTACAACATATAGTGTAATATGCCATGGTTGATGATAGCGTAGCAGTAGAACTCATAGCAACTTAAGTTTGAAAATCTTTACGTGATATGAAATTTAATATATGCTACCGTCTCCATAGAGTGAGGAAGGTTATTCACCGCCCGATTTTTCTTATGATGAATTTGGATTTCTTGTAGAAAATAAAGGTAAATGATACAGGGGTCGCTCTCGAATAAAGCTTCTTGTAAATATTGTACTTCATTGATACCAGTATGGCCTATAATTTTTATTTCTTCAACGGTAGTTACATCGCCAATAAGCAATCACGTCGGTATTTTAGATAATATTTGCAACTTTTTACCCTTTTTGCGTTACATAACAGGTCTGGAACCAACAAGAAGTTCTCTTGCTAATGAAGATTCATCATTAAAGCTACGATGGCAAGCATATTTAGAATTTACACAAAATGGCCAACTAGAGGCGCTTACATGGGATAAGGTACATTATTGCTCAAGTATTTCCAGAAAAATTATAATAATTGAAAAATACTCTCATTCTTATGGAATAATTCTAATATCGAATATTGTTGCACTAATCTACAGATAGATCCCATGCTCCCTCGCTCCGATAAATTGCACTCATTACTGAAAGAAGGAATTCCACATTCTTATAGGCAGCAGGTACATTACTATTTAATAACATTGTTCTTTTAATGCTATACTTAGATACTAATCAATTTTCGTTACGAAATTTAAAAATAGTTATGGATGAGAATATCAGGAGCTTTGAAGAAGAAACAATCTAATGATATATCATACCAGGTTAAACCCAACTTTACTGCAATAGCTGTGTATCCTTTTAGGTCAATTGAATGTAAATATAATCATAAATTATCCTATTGAAATTCGATAGGAAATTATTCGTGCGACGTCCGATAGTACAGCTCTCTCTTCAAAGCAGATCGAAAAGGTAATGGGGAACAACATTACTAATCTCGATTCGCTTTATAAGCTATATCTAATTCATGAAAAAATAAACTACCGTATTCTTAATGGTAGAACAATTGTAGATTATATAGATAAATACTTTAAAATAGAATCAACAAAATGAACAGTATTGCACAAACAGCTTTATTCAAAGTTATTTCGACATCTAACTTACAAACACTTTATTTTTAATCAATTGCAGGACCTCTTAAGAACTATGCCAACAAATGCCTGCTTTAATAGCGTATATAGTCCAGGAATTACAAAACTTAGGAGGATTTTGAAAGGCATCGCGTGGTTATATCCCGATATTGGATATTGCCAAGGCACAGGAATGGTAAGACTCTTCAAGGTTTTATGTTTGCATCTTTCGTTGTCAGAGAAACCCTTGCCAAAGCATACCGAGCAATATTGTATCAATTCACTAAATACTAAATAGGTTGCAGCTTCTTTCCTACTATTTCTTGAAGAAGAAGACGCTTTTTGGCTGCTAGCTACAGTTATGGAGGATTTAATGCCTTCTTCCTATTATTCAAGCACATTAATTGGAGTACAGGTATTATTAGAAATTTCTCCTCAGAAAATAATCATTTGCAAATCTCTATTTACTCCTACTTCATCTCATAAATCTATACTTCCGTAATGAAATTTGTGTTGTCTTGTTTTGTTAATGAACCTCTGTAGGCTGATCAAAGAGTTTTGCGTAAGCTTGTAACAGAAAAATTACCTGAACTGGATATAGCTCTTAAAAACAATGATATCGGTATAATTACAATTATCATTACGTAAACTAACCATATGGTCATATGATTATCATATATAATTATTTAAGTACTTTCTGTAACCTTTTATAATAACAATGCTATACTGTTCATTTCGTCTTAGAATTATCTCTGATTTGCTTACATTGGTTCCTGACCGCATTTGCCAGTGTAGTACAGACTAGAGTACGTAGCACTATTTAAAATATCTGTAGGATTTATTAAGTATCTAATCCTAACAGTCTGCAGTTTACTCTAAATACATTGAACCTTATATGTGTAGGTCCTTTTGCGCCTTTGGGATTTATATCTTTATGAGGGCTCCATAGCTCTGTTTAAGTTTACACTTGGTATGCTACATTTAAGAGTAAGTATTTTACAGCTTATTCTTACTAATCTACTTAGCTATGCGACTTCATATCCACTAATCTGCTGTTTTACTTCATCAAATGGTTATAGCAAAAAGATTTACTATCTTTAGACAATTCTGCTGAGATATTCAACATGCTTTCTGACATTCCATTAGACGTAGACGATGTTGAAAAGCTGATAGAAGTAAATACGCCTTTTATGCTTTAATGATGCGCTAAATTTGATATTAAGTTAATAGCAATTTGGTATTTTAACAGACTTGCTGACTTAAATAATATTTTGATGTAATCATGCAAGTCGCAACACTAAAATTATGTATTTTATTTATTTACTTTATCAGGCTTCTTATACAATCGCAGGTGATCTATCAGTAGATACTATTGAGATCAGCCGTCGAAAGTTTCTAGATTTACTTGTTGCTGAATTAGGATCATTACTTACGAACGACGACGGGGAAACATTATCGAAATCGGTTAGCGTGTAAACAAGTATTCTGGAGATTCAGTATGCTTTTGGTTGTTAATTGTTTGATAATTATATGCAACGCATTAGCAAATGAAACAACGAAATATTGAGGATTACAGAAGAAGAAAAAACGGTTTCTTGGGTGACATATTATGTATAAATGATTAACATACTTTTATTATTGCAAGTAAATATCTTTTCGATTTTAATTTCTAATCTTACAATTTTCTTACATCTACTTAGCAAACTGTCTTACAAGAAAAAAGCAATCAGCAAACTGGGCTAAAACGAAAAACGTCAGGCAAACTGGTATTGTAGCATCCTAACTTAAGAATATCTCTAAAACGACCAATCAGAGATGAAGTTATTTTAATACTTTTAATAATGTTTCTAATACTAAGAATTAGTAGCAAATCTACGAGAATGTATCATGCAAGTTGCTAGGCATTTTCAGGCTGCAAAATCGAAAAAGGTTGGTGTAAAATAAATTTTAGAACGTTATCGTTATACTATCAAATTTTAAGCTATTTCTTGCTCATTCTATGACCCTTTTCTCAGAAATATTAACTCAAAATTAGTGTCATATCTATATCATTCATTGCCTTTTTATCCAATCTTGTTTGATTTGCTATAAAGGCACTAGTCCCGGACTACTCAGTAGAAAGCCACAGGCGTGATTACGAACAGTTTGCTACTGTATCAAGGTGAGCATCTGTTAAACACGAACTGATGTATCATACTTTGCTACAAATGGAAAAGTTATTTAATTATACTACAAAATTTTATAGGAACCGACTTCGTCGTGCTAGAGCCATACTAGATTTTGACGGACATGATGATAATGAATTAGGCTTCAGAAAAAACGATATCATAACAGTGAGCATTCAAGCTAACAGATAATTACGGTTGAATTTTGTCGTTACAAGGGTAACCTATTGATTTTAATATAAAAAAAACTACAGATAATTTCACAATCGGATGATCACTGCTGGGTTGGAGAGCTGAACGGTTTAAAAGGTAATGGAATAGCTGTAAATAATATGCTGCTTTAAAAACATTTTCAATTTCTTTCCACGTTATATTTAAAATAATATGAATTCTTTTTTCAGGCTGGTTTCCTGCTAAATTTGTTGAACTCCTTGATGAAAGAAGTAAAGAGGTTTGGGCAGGATTAGTTAACAAGACGATCATTTATTTAAATTGCAGGCACACTATTTGCAGCAATTAACTTTTTTATTTTATAATTTTTAGTATAATGCTGCTGGTGATGACAAAATTACCGATGTTATCGTTCCATTAGTACGTGGCAGGTAAATTATTTATAATACAACTGATGTCATCAAATATTATTACGCGTAGATATGACAGATTAATTAATTGTAGGTAATTTCCAAAGTAAACATCACATTTATGCAATTCTTTTGATCTCCTGTACATGATTTACGAAGTCTAAACGATTTTATGCTCACATTTACAGATTATGTGATGCTCTCTTAGCGGTCTTTCAGCATGGAATAACTAAGCCGTCTGTCCTAGGAGCAAAATGTCACCCATGGGCTTTTATAGAAGAGGTATGCTTAACCTTCTGAAATAAATACTGCAAATGTTAATATTATAGGTTCGTTTTAGTAAGTTTTCCCTTAATAGTATTCATGTATTAGTATAATTCAAGGTTAAGCTTTAAAGTATTCCTTGCGTTTAAACCTCTGATTATATTAGGTTTTTATGTAGAATATAAATTTTTATGTTATCTATATATGACTTCATTTTGTAGGCTAGCATTAAAGAAATAGAAAGAGATTACCACTCGGTCTTTTCTCGCCTTGTATTATGTAAAACATATAAGTAAGTAATCAAAATCGACTACGTCATGGAGTATTCTCACAGATTTTTTCAATTTAAAGTTTCTACCTCTGGTAATGTTGCATTAATAACCCAAAATTTCATTATTCAGGCTAGATGAAGACGGCAGAGTATTAACTCCTGAAGAGATATTATACCGGGTAAATAGTTCCGAATTATTACATTTAATAGAAACATTAACTTTCTTCATTCTTGCAATCTATTCGAGGAGTCATTGTGAGAAGTTATTCATATCACGCACATCATGTTTCAAGAATTTTTAAATAAAGATTCGACTATTTTACTGTAATTCTCTAGTTGTTATTAGAAATACACATGATAGATTCAATATTTGTTGATATTATGTCAATTTCATGCTTTATAGGCTGTACATTCCGTAAATATAACACACGATCAATTGCACGCGAGTATGGATATGAAGGTATCGTCTACTGTAGTACTACTAGATGTGGATATTACGTATATCATTATAGGACAATATAAAAGTTCCTTACAATGTTGAGTGATTATAATTTGTTTATTTTTGGGGACAAATCTTAGTTTCGATCTCTCATCTGCATCGGACTAAAGTAAGAAATGTTTGATATTACTTTACTGTTCATTTCCGTAAAATATGTCAGCTAATTTTAATATAATAATTTGAATGTAGCGAGCAAGTTTTGCATCTATGGCTAGAAATTCTTTGTTCTTGTGAAGAAGTAGTAGCGAAATGGTATACAAAAATATTACTTTACTAGCATAATCTATAGAATATTACAATAAATAATATTCATCTATTACTTGCTGTTGTATTATCACGACAAAGGTACGAAGCCGCATCATTTCTACGTAGTCCTGGATGGATACAAATTAAGTGTGAATTAAGGTACGTCAATTTTGTTCCAAACAGTATTACTAAATCTAAGGAAGCTATTTGTTTTATTCTATGACGTAATCTTTTTAACAAAGTTTCATCTTGTTTTGTAGAGTTTTATCGAATTTCTCTTTCAACTTATCCGCAGATTACGAAGTTTCGAAAGATGTAAATATTAATTGTTATGTACACCTAACTTTTTGACCTTAATCAGTTAATGGAAATACTGTACCACTCTTTTATCACTGTTCCTTAGCATATTCTTCTTTATTCTAGACTAATGTTCCAATGAAACAGAATCTCTGCGATATGTTGTTAAAACATCACCTTTTTAGCTGGGATTTGTAAATTCTTGGTTACCTCATTTTCTTTACGCTTTGCTAAACTAAATCTGAATTTAATTATTTTTTTCTTATACGCTCATAACATATGAGCAACATTATTCAAGGAAACAAATATGCAGTAAGTAAAAAATTTGAAGATTAGTATACAGTTTACACGATAAAGGACGACGTCATGTAGCTACTTGATGTCAACCATACATGACTACTACGGCTGTTTTAATATACAAATATGAATATTGGTAGGCATTAACCAAAGGCCTATATTTTGCTGGCCGGTTATATATTTGACACGATATGTCTGTACAATGTTATTAAAACAGCTTGTACAATGATGCAATCGTTGGATTGCTTGAAATACATATAAAATGAAATTCTAGACAAATTTACGTAGAATTTAGGCATATTATACTATATGATAAGGTTTATATTTATTTAAATATCGAATTAAATAGACAGTATATCAACGTAACGCTACTCAGAATAGAGTATCGATTATAGTAAATTTAGTTAAGTTTCGAGATAACAAAATCGTTAAAGTATTTTTGAAGATTTCTTTGAAATACTGTACACAGATGAAAGCTTATTTTAAATTGCTATATTAGAATGCTCCAAAGAAAATGTCAATGTTTATATTACAGCGATATTATTAAATCGAATTTATCATTATCGGATAGTTGTTCAGAGATTTATGTTAATCTTAACAATAATAAAACAATAAAGTACATATATACTCGTATACCAAAATATTGCCTTCCGAAAACTCTGATTTACTGAGATTTTTGCTATCTTGAAGAAGTTTTATTGCAATGGTCCTGTCCGAGTACAAAATTTACGTCAAGTTTAGCGATACACATGAGCAATTTGCACTACATGCATGTTATCAAAAATTACCTCTACTTTGAGTTTAGCATATTTTGCATACATGTACCTGTAGAAATATCTGGGCTAGATTTGCAATTCGAGGATTACTCGATGAAGCATAACTCTCCATATATCCTATAATAGATTCTATTACTATTTCTTTATACCGATAAAAGTGAAATATAAATTGCAATAATTAGCTAATACTGAGTGATCAATTTAGTGCTTAAGTGCTCTATCTATTTGATATGAAAAGGATACCATAAGTATTATCACCTACGGTTTCAATAGACTTACTGCTCTTGGTTTCTGGACATACTAGATAATATAAAGTTGAAATTGCATTGATAACTGTTTCTTCGTTTTCACTAGAAATAAAAATAGACAGGATTCAAGACGGAATTGTAGTATTACAGTAGAACTACGTCTGTTGACGATATATATAGTATAGGTTTAGTTTACTTTACCTTGATAAGCAATTAGTTATTAAGGATAGTCCATCGTTGGCTATTATAATATCGCGATTTTCTTTATCTGATCAAAGTATAAGCATATTCAGTATTACATTTACAATTTAGTTACAATAGAACAGCTTCAGCGGCTGTAACCAGGAGATTATCCAAGAATTTACTAATTTATTAGATTATGGATAACAAGTCTACATCTGAGATTATTTCGATATCTACCATCTGGTAATGTAAATGCATAAGACTTGCAAGTACTTCAAATTTTATCAACAAGTCTTGGGTATTAAAGATTTAACGTTACCTAAGCAAAGATTACAAAGTCCGCCAATACCAAATTGAATAAGTTTGTCATTCGATTCTGTTAGCATGTCTGAATTAATCAAGAGAAAAATGATAATTAGCAGGGTAGTTATCTCGTTTGTAAGGATACATGCATTCTACATAGGTATTTCGCAACCAGCTATTCAAGTATATAGTAGCATATACATAACTGATGCTTAGATAGTGAATGGTTTACAGGACTTACGACATTCAGTATGATAGAGTTAAGGTCAAATATTAACAAGATAGGAAGTACATTTACAAGAGCTACAAATTTTAAATGTAATTTCTAAATTACGTCCACCATACATTCATACGTAAGTAAATATTGTAATTACATTATCAACACGTTGAGCAGGTTTTCGATCTGAATAGTCAAATGATGATGTATTATGACCGTAAAGGAGATGTTATATTTATAGCTCCATATACGTAGGAACATGTAAAGTAGTCGCTATTGCGTACTTCAGTACTTACCTATAAATAAATCAGTTACATTGAGTTGCCTTAAGTAGTCATAATTGATTGGATCATATGCAAAATTAGCTAGGTTAGCTAGGATTTGTTCCCTGGATTCTATATTAATCATAAACAAAGTAAAATAATGTCATCATTACGACCCTTCATCAAATTAATGGACAATATTCGATTTGAAACTATCCGATAGGAGAAGTTCCTTTAAAGTTGTTTTGCAAATGCTTGAACAAGCATTAGACAGAGAGATCAAATAAATTAGATAGCTTTTATATTACGATTTTTCTTTAATTATATTAGTAGAATCTACTCTATCGAATTATCCAATACGATGAGTTATATTAAGATTATTTTGCAACCACTTTCAACATATCGGCTATAGAGGTTCTATAGAGCTTTTTCTTTGCAGTAGAGAAGACGAAAGCATTCCATAGTTTCTCTATTACGATTCTTCTGTGATTACTAGAATCTATTCTATCCAACTATCCACTACGATGAGTTGTATTATAATTACTTTGCAACCCACTTTAAGTGTATCAGCTATAGAAGTTTCATAGAGGTTATTTCACAATAGAGAAGGTGTTTTAAAAACATTAGATAGCATCTATATTACAATTCTTCGTTCATTAATAGAATCTATTTTATCGAATGATCCAATACGAGGAGTTTTACTAAAACTATTGTACAATTACTTCCAAAATAATAGCAAGAGAAGGAAAGTTGCCTAGAGCTTCTATTGCAGCAGAGACGTTGAAAACAATTGGATAGCTTCTATGTTGTGATTTTTCATTTTAATTGATAAAAACTGTCCAATCAAATCATCCAATACGACCAGTTCTATGCAATTTACTTTTATCAATACTTTCAAAAGCATTAGCTAGAGAAGATTTCCTAGACGAATTGTATACTTATAATTTGTTCGCTTGTATACGACTATTTTCACATACCATCTTTATGTGTATCTTGAAATTCAGTCACAAGAGCTTGTAAGTATTCGAATCTACCTCGGCCAAATCGGCCAGTTTTTTCTTCAATTCGTTTTGCATTTGTAAACATGATTATCGTGGTCCAATAGGTTGCACCTTGAGCAAATTGACTAATTTAGTTCCATTTCCATCATGAGAATAAATGGCTGGCAGTTGCCTAGATACTTCTTTTAAGCAAGTGATAAATACTCCGTCTCACTTTTACCTATAGGAGTATGTGCTTATATTCTGATAGTACAGTATAGCCTGGCAGAGCTATTTGATACAGTATACTATCTATGAGCTTAGTCTGCGAGTACTTGGCAAAGTATGAATGAGTGGATAAGACTGTGTAAAATTAGTGTCCTATTATTGTCTTCTTTTCTGTCCAAATAGAGTGTCTAATACTGAAGAAAGCTACCACTCTTTGTATGACAATTATTTTGCACAGTAACCAAGTTGGATAGAATTACCTTCGTTTTAGCTCAGTTGAAATCAAAATTTAACAGTCCTGGAGAGAACAGTGTTGTGTATACCTTATGTCCAATTTCGCTAGATTTTATTTACGATCAAGTTTAATGAAGAGTCAGTTTTTCATTCTTTCGACATCGCTATAACATCGTAGTTCTATAAACTGCTTATACAATATATCAATTTCGATCTACTTTACTGAATTTGTATGGACAGTATCACTAGCATGCGCTACATAACAGTCTGTTCGTTGTTCCTAATCGCAAATCGAGTGTTGATGGTACTCTCATACTGTACGTCGATTGGGATTCAATTCTAATGAATTTGTATGGCAATTTTCATTGGTATGCGCTATATCATCGTTATATCGGACGGAACTGAGAAGTGGACGACAATGAACTCTCTTCATACGGTCCACCCATTTGGATAGACTATAGTGGATTTGTATGCACACTTTGACTTGTTTCCGAATATTCCCTACAGAACTATTCAGGCACTTTGTCCTGGGTAATAATTCAATATTGACATAACATGGGAAAATGGAGTATGGAGCTATAGAGGGGGAAAAAAATGCCAAGAAGATATGGAATGGCTTGTTATAATCGTAAAATTGTTCTCTTTCCTCCTTCATCTTATCCTTCAAGGAGATTGAGAAATAATTTCATTCATGATCAATAATTGATCCAAATGAATCAGTGTGTGTGGTCAAGCATTAACTGAATCGTTTCAAATTCACAAAATATCCACGAATTGTAAGCGATGAAAGCTCACAACAGGCTAATTCCATCATTGGTAGAAAGATATGAATGGAATCCAATAACTGCTATTCCATTCATGATCAGCAGTTATTGGATTCCATTTATGGACAGTTTGGCACTGCCCATTATGATAGTTGATTGATTTCAAACATGTAGAAGGAAAGGGACAGGTGATATAGGCAGGTATGCTATAGCCTACTAGAAAGGTGCATACTTAGTGGCCAAGATCGAAGCCTAAGGAAAATACATTGCAATCGTTAATAGGTCAAGAACTTATTCTTATGTGAGAAATAAATTAATTGAAGGGCTATACCATATCGTACTTGAAAGGTAAATACTTATAGCCAAGGTTTAAAAATAGGATACATTCATAACCGGTGAAAGACCAAGAATGGCCTAAATCTTGTTGATGCTTTACAATTGAATTCATAGACTACAATATCACATCTTGCTTGAAAGGTGAATATTTATAGCCAATGTATAAAAAAGGAACACTCTAGAACCGGTAAAAGATCAATGGCAATCTAGATCTTAATGATACGGTAGAATGGATCGACTGCTATATCATGTCTTACTTGAAAGATGAGTAATTATGGCCAAGCTATAAAAAATAGAATATATTTACAGTCGGAAAAGGTCAATAATACTAGCCTAAATCTTATTTATGCTTAGGTCATGTCTTACCTGAAAGGTAAATAATTATATCCAAGATATAAAAAAGGAATACTGCATATTTATAGTCGGTAAAAGATCAAGAATAGCCTAGATCACAATGATCCTCTACAATTGATTAACTGCTAGATCATGTCTTACTTGAAAGGTGAATAGCAACGCTTAAGATATAAAAATAATAATATATTCATAGCCGGTAACATGCCAATAACAGTCTAGATCTTATTGAAGCTTTGCAAATGAATTTTATCGACTGCTATAGTATCCATTGCTGGAAAGGTGAATATCTGCGCCCCAATTTAAAGAAATGATACTTTAGAACATGTAAAAGTAGTGTATCCTGTCGTCGAACAAACGATCATACTAGACTGTGAGACTAGTACTATTACTATAACTAAATTCGTAAGAAAGGTTTATCTAAGCTCAAGTTATTGCGTTAATACTGGCGTAAAAGTGATTAGCCTTTGCAGATAGATATCTTCTTATTACATTCTAAAAGATTAATGTCAACTTAGATCTGATTCAAGCGTTAGAAATGAACTTATTGACTGAGATACGATGTCTTAATAAAAGATGTGAATGCCGCTGGCTAAGATGTAAAAATACATACATTATAACCAATTAAAGATTAATAGCCGTCTCGATCTTATTCAAGCGTTAAAAACGAATTTATTAACCCATACGCCATGTCTTACTAGAAATGTGAATAACTATGGCTGAGATGTAAAAAGAAAAGCAATAGCTTACAACCGGTAAAAGGTCAATAACAGCCGCAACCCTATTCATCCGCTAGAAATGAATTTATAGACGGACATTTCATTAACCTAGACAATTCGTCATTAAACATCAATAAAGTAGAAGGAAATTGCCAGGTGATAAACTAAGTTATGATATCAATATTATACTAGTAAGATATACTAAATGATAGAGTCATCAATACTGAGAATCAATACACCTTTATTAAAATTATAATGAGATCATCCAATAACAACTGTTTTGCTAACATTTTACATTCATGATTGAACAATTTTTTCTTCATTTTTAACTTATTAAATTACAAAAGTATCCCTTAATACGTTAATAATAGACGTAGCATATCATATAAAAATGATCTGGATAATTACCGATCTGAACGAGCTAAATTTATATTTACGATCCATATTATCTATCTGCCAATAAATTTACACCTTTTTCTATTACTAACTCGTAAAGGATAGCCGAATTTACGTTCTTATATCTTACCATACTATGACCATGATATAACCATATAGTTTGAAATAGCGACACGCATTTTCTACTCTAAATTGCACCGGTCAACCTTATTAAATCATGATATCACACTCTCGATCTAAAAAAAGAAGTACTATTCAAATATTGTCCTCAGGCTTAAACGTCTTAAAATAACAATTCATTGTTATAAAGATATTAGATTAAAAGCTTCAATTATGCAATATAATGATCAAATGTCTTATTGTATATAAATTAATTATAAATATTTTAATTGTTTGACCAGAAGACTACATAGTGATGACTGAAAATATATCTTAAAAGCGATAAAATCAATTCTAGACTTTTTGACCTAAAAAAGTCAATCGATGATAGAACATGCACGATATTTTCTTCCAACTTTGCGACAGCCTCGTTAAATAATAAATTCGAATTATATACATATATCCTAATCAATGAACTAAAATAATACACGATAATGACAAAAATTTTAGAACGATAATGAAATTATAAACATCAATCTCAAACTTTAACGTTAATATTTTCATATAAAAAGTTAATCAATGAGCATACTGTATATAAGAGAGTATCCTCTCTAACCCTAAACAAATTTCATACTATCATTTTCGCACTTTACAGGCAGTGTATGCTAAATTTTCTGATGCTAATTTAACAAAAGAAGCTCCGCCGTAATTAACTTATCATGAACTATGAACATCTAGAATACAGTAAGTATCGACATAAATTAGATGTGACTGAAAGCCTCTTCAAATTGATAAATCAACTACGTTCAATTTGCTTCTATTTATCAATCCTTTCCATTCAAAAAAATAGCAACCGCAAATAATGATAATAGGAACAATTTTTAAAACTTGTAAAATATTTTATATATTAAAAGGTAAGAATTTAGCTACCAACATTGGTAATGCAATAACTCATAATGCGATGTTATCTAACTCAGAAGAAAATTAACAGCTTAAAATATAAAACATATCTAAAATGCTTTATTCTCATGCCCATTATCTCCAAAAATGATACAGAATAAGGCATTTGATACACTATACCGCAAGACTTAATTAAGCAATAAAGAAAGAGTCTGAATCCAATGGCAACACTACAATAAAATTCTGTTTCTTAAAATGAATAACAAAGTTCAGGAATTTTTATTATGAATTGTAATTAAAATTATCCAAAAGAATGCTTATGAAAACAATCCGTTATGTGGGAAAACGGCCATCGATATTTTGGAATATTTATTTAATTCTACCTACGCCTCTATTCCATTATAGTAATTAAAAAATTGCCTTATAGTTTCAGATAGAATATATTATGCAATCAGACAAAAACAAAATAGAAAATTTTATACTTGACGATTAAAATGGATAGTATGATGTCGAATTACAGTTAATGCAAATATCGATAATCAACTTTAGAATATAGAGCTTTTATTTATTGTATATTATTATGAATTAGAGCGACACGTTATACTATCCATAAAGACGAATCAATTATAAATGATCAAGACTTTAGAATATATCTATCTATCTCTCAATTCCTTATATTATTCATGACTACGATGCTATACAGAGTAATGACGATAATTGTCCACGATTCAATCAAAATAAGGAAAGCTCCTGAAGAGAAAATAAATATAAAATAACGATTAACTTTAAAAATTATAGCGGTATATTAATTAATAGATTTAACAATAACAACATGAAATCAAGTACATCGAATATCCTTGATTTTAATAATATCTGCCAATTATTTTATATGTTCTTAGTTAAAAATCAGCAATGATAACCAATATCTTACCTTAACATTTTAAGTGAATCGATTATCGTCTTAAAATAATTGCGTTAACATCATCGTATTATATGTAGCTTATATTTTAGCTTATTTTATTTCTATACACCTGCCAGAAATTAAGCAGATGTTACACCGTCATTTTTTTCAATTTAATATAGGCAATATAACGCAATTTACGACTCAAAACGATAGAACTCATTTACAATTCCTAAGAACGATCGTCAACATCCTTCCAAATAGATCATGCCTAATTATTTATTACATTAGTTATTTAACCACTTTAGATAACATAATAGCAAGAAATGCAACTTGTCAACAGCCATGTGGAAAAATTTCCAACACCATCCATAAATTCAACACTTATCTGTATTGGAGAGAATAATATTAAAATGAATTACGTTGATCTTAAGTCAATATTGAACTTTAAATCCACAATGATGATTCCCTTCTTTCCTGCCAGGCAATCCCGATCATAAAGTATAAATATCCCGTAAAACTTGAACACCTCTGTTGTTGCCTCAACATCTTCCATTTGAATCAATTTAATTACCTTACTACATCAATCCAGACCGAAAACTTCTCATCGATATAAACCATCACAATATTTTAATTTATTTTGTCCCATTCATTGCTAACATTGATTGATATCCAGTAAACTACCGGTCTAATAAATTACCTTTTACCCTTTCTATTATCATAATTATTAACCAGCTATCGACGATCTAATGGCAGCATTACCATCCGCATTTAAATCGTCATTAAGTTATCTACCGGTACCGATATTCACTCCTAGTAATCCACCATTACTTGCACCAACACAACCAACTAACAACCTAGGCCCATTACAATTAACAAATTCTTTACGTAATACTATAACACCAGCCCATCAACTTTCAACGTTACCGCCGACATCGCTAACTTCACTGCCATCATCGACTAATGCAATCGGATCTCAGCCTCATCAACAAGAAACCATCTTAAACAATAATCATCATGGTCTTAGCGTTGGTAATTGTAATAATTCTCCTACTAATAGCCACGATAATGTGGTCAAAAATATTGCCATATATTCCGCAAAACAGTTAAGTAAGCTCAAACGATTTCTAACCACTTTACGGCAATTTGGATCGGATATTTCACCTGAAGTTGGCGAAAAAGTACGTGGTATTATTCTCGATTTAGTTAATGCTGCTCTTAGTGTAGACGAATTTCAGCATAAATTACAGGATATCACCAATTTTCCAATCCGTCAATTTGTTGCACAATTCCTTCGATCTACTATACCATTACTTCGTCAAGAATTATCAGAATGTGCTCAATTAAGCATCCGACCTTCACTACCTTCGCTAAATTCGATTTATCCAACTCCTCCAACTACTCCTTACTATCATCACCGTCACCCATCGTCCCCTTTAGATTTCTATAATAGAAATTGGCCAAGCGGACACGCTGACTGTAAGTTAATGATGTATGGTCAAAATATTCCTACTCCAGCTCGTGTAGATCTTAAACGAAAAGGTCAGGATTAAGTTATGCTTTTATCGTCCTTGATAGCTATCCGTACTTATGCTACACATCTGTCTTGCTATAACTTTAATTTCAAAGGTTTTATATCTGTTGCAGAATATAATGAATCTCTAGCGGAAAGATTGGATAGTGAGAATTATCGGAAAAAAGGGAAAAATGATTCAGAAAATAATTTAATGCTTGATCAAGTTTTGGAGAAAATTACTCCTATGGCGCCCTATTTTCATGAGAATAGCAAAATTAATCCAGCATCAGCAGCCATCCTTTATGAGCCACAAAAATCGATTAACCGAACTAATAGCGATAAACAAGAAATACAAATATTAGCTGCTGCTGCGAATAAAAATGTTAAAGGTATAAGTTCAACGCTACGATAATACATTACAAGCGTAACTCAAGTTAGATTGTTAAAATCTTTGCAACATTACAATAATTATAGGAGCTGAAGTCAGCGAATTAGGAGATTTCTTACAATCGATGAAAGGTGTTGTGAGGAAAGCCGAAGGACTTCTAACAAAATTAAATCAACAATCGAATAAAAATGATCAGATAGAAGGTAAAGCGAAAAACAAGCAAGATTCTGACAAATATGAGGAAGAAGTGCAGCAAAAAGAAGAGTTAGAGCGATCACATTTAAATTCTCGGAATAGCGAGAAAAATGGTAATAATAAGGTTAGTGCCGACATATTGGGTATTGTGTTAGCTAAATGAATTGCAATATATTAATTTTCAAATCTTGTTATACATTAAACTCTTAAATTAGTATACAAATAAAATTTCGACATAGCAACTTACAGCAAAGACTATACCAACGTTTTAAAACCAGAATTTATTGTCATGCTAAATTTCTCATCAGAGCTTTTATTCTTTATACAATTTCAGGATGATCAAGATCGAAGTTCAGCATTTTCTCAAGTTAAAAATCAATCTGGATGCTGGCATTGTGGAAAAAAAGCTAGTGAAACATGCGGTGGTTGCAAGATTGCTCGATATTGCAGCGTAAGTTGCCAACATAAAGATTGGAATGTTCGTCATCATGTTGTTTGCTGGCAGTTACTGACACGCCATCCAAAGACAGATCCTAGTCTAGCTGCAGCTGATACATGCTATAAAGATACACGATTAGAGCCAAGGTGCAGTAAAGAAATTGCTGCTCAGAATTTAAAAAATTGTAGTGGAAAATCGCGAAAATCATAACCTACTCGTACGAGCATCATAATTTACCATTCAAATGATTAATTATCACATAACCAATGGCAGCAATAGATTTATCGTTGCCTATTGATTTGCAGAAGTTATATATAATTAATATCCAATAAAAACTGTACATAGTCATAGGAATGGCAGTCATTTCAGCTCCTATAATACAGAATTGAATGCATTTCTGCATCAAGCATAGGATATGCTATCCTGAAATTTTATCGTATTGGAATTAATATTCCTGTAGTTTATCATTAAAACTAGTGATAATAAAATTATGAAGTATTACGGGCATACTCGTATATTATATAACCAATAGCCAATCGTCATTATTAATATGGATTTCTAGGAGATCTAGAACTCTATGATATTAATAATGAGTAAGATTACATCTCTAAAAATCATTTGAAGCATCCATATTAAAGTAGCAGTTCAATAAACATTTTATTATCAAGAAGATAATTTGTTTGAAATGCATTTACCAATAAAATGTACTCTAGATATTTTGGTTGACCACGAAAAGATCATTCTGCAATCGATATTGAAATGTCTTCACACATATGAACTGTAATCTACGTTACATTATTGTGATGGAGAGTGTAAAAAGTGTATATTAAGTGCATGGACAAATAAGTAAAATATGCTCTTTATATTTTAGCTGACAAAGTAAAAATCATTCTGCAGTCGAAAATATCCTTCACGCAAATGGACTTTAGTCTACGTTCCATTATTATAATGAAGTGTAAAAATGCGCTATACGAGTATATAATTAGTTAAGGAGCAGATGACTTAATTCTCAGATGCGTTCCAGGCAGGATTTAAAATTGAGCAACTCTTTATTCACGTTCAGGCATATCTATCTCGTCATAATCGAGATGGCAATTACAAAATAACTTAGTTTGTTATGCAAGCTTTAAAGGTTACTTTACTTTACTGTTGATAACTCTACAGCATAACTGCAATATTTCTCTACTGCTTGTCAGTGCACCTTTATATAGAATACCATCGAGAGTTTGATGATTCAGAATGAGTAAATTGAGCAGTTATAGAGATCTATGTCATAGCATATGATGATAACCAATCGTAAAAGTCGTAGATACTATCATCATCTAAATACGATAACCTATATTTGTATCTAGTAAGAAAGACTGTGAATAGTGTCTTTACTTAAGGACATTATCCCTAGAATACCTAAAATTTTAAAATATGCTAGAATGACTGTATAACTTTAAATAGTAACGGCTATCGTAAAGAATATCTACTCGTACGGGATATTAGCTCGTTATTAATTATTTACGAAGTAATTCGTGATTATCAGATATTGATAGCCTATAATTATTTGTAGAATCCTTTTCTGCAGTTTAAATATGCCTTCTCACAAGTCGAATGAACTATTTGATGTTTACCTTCATCATTTCATGCCTTTCCTATCTTATTATACGACTTTATGTTATAGAAATAATTGTCGTCAAGGACCAATGATTTCATTTTCTGTGACTTATTATACATACAAATAGCTTCCTTGAGCTTATTTTGACTCTTATACACATCTCCCATGTTACGATATAATATAGTAACATGACGATGATTACAACCAAAAAGAAGTAACCAAATTTTGAGTGACTTGTTAAACATAGAAAGAGCTCCCTTATGATTACCCTGATGATAATAGATCAAACCAATGCTATGATATGATTTAGCAACATCAGGATGATTATGATCAAGAATTGATAATCTAATTTGGAGTGACTTCTCAAACATAGAAAGAGCCTCTTTATGATTACCCTGATGATAATAGATTAAATCAATGCTATGATATGATTTAGCAACATCTACATGATTATGATCAAAAATCGGTAATTGAATTTGGAGTGACTTGTTAACCATGGAAAGAGCCTCTTTATGATTACCCTGATGATAATAGATTAAGCCAATTTTATGATATAATGCGGCTATATTAGGATAATTGTGATCAAAAATGGATAATCGAATTTGGAGTGACTTCTCAAACATACAAAGAGCCTCTATATAATTACTCTGATCACAATAAATCAAACCAATATTATATATAATATGATGTAGCAACATATTGTAGCCAAGAATTATCAATTGAATCTTAAGTGATTTTTTATACATAAAAATTGCCTTCTCACGTTTACTTTGACTAGAATACACAAAGATGATTATGATCAAAACTAATAATTTTCGAGATCAATAGTCTTTTCTACTATCGTTTTAATTTTATCCAATACTTGGGTACAATAAGACATCGCATCATTAAATTTGGCGGATTGATAACTTTGTCTATCCTTTTCGTGTAGAGATTTGATAAATCGACCATCCATTTTTAATATCTGAAGCGAAACAGATGGCTCCTCTATTAATCAATCTTGGCGCAATGTAGAATAAAATCTAAGTTTATTAGTGATCGTTTCCAGAGCTAGAGTTATAATGATAAAGCCTTCAGTAATCATGGTGAAGATATTACAAGTGCGCATGTTGCAATAGCAATAAGCATGATGGTATTATTAAGTAAATAAATATAACTATCATATCAGCAGAGGAAGGCAAGAAAATTTGATAGATTATAGCACTACAGTCACGAAAATTCAAATTTAGAAATAACAGATATTAGTAGAAGATTCTATAAATTCTCCTTGTGAAACATATTCAAACAAAATAAGCTGCCAGCTGGACTAAAATACAGGCAATCATGTTAACATGAGAAATTTCCAGTTATCGTAACTTTATAAATTGGATATAATGTCTGCAACTCATCAATTTTAATTTTCTTGATTGGCATTAGACTGCTATCTACTATATAAAGATAAAGATTAAGCATATTGTATTCTCCATAGTTCATACTGTAAGAAATATGCTACATTTGCAATTAAGCTAGTTTCTAAAATGAGTGTGAAAAGGATATCTCGAAGAATTAATTTATTTAATGTTATATCACAAAATATAAGCATATTATACAATGCAGTAATCTACACATATTCGCATTTGGAGAATAGCTATATCGAAACTAGTGTGATCTACAGTACTTATCATGAAAAATTCGCTACATAATTAATACCTTTTAGGTAGGGCTAAGCTGGTGTAGTAAGAAGTGAGATGGATGTAACTGCAGATGTACGATTTTAGCCATTTATGCTGTACTAGGACTCTTATTTCGATTGTCATAGTAAATAGTGAGCTTAGTATGCAACATGCATGTAAATCGTACTCTAATTATGTTTGCTCCCGTTATACTATAGTAATCTTGAGGATATCAATGAGTTAAGTATGTTGCTATCGACTACATCTGCAGTCGATTAAAAGATGTGCAAAATATCGCGCAAGCCAATTCAGGCTATAGAATATACCGAAAAGAAAATGTAGATCTTCAGAACAACTTCTACATTAGGACTTTACTGTGCAATTACTATCTAACTCCACTCCTCTCAACATTCTTCGAAAGCTTGTAATATCTACTAGTACAAGCATTTAATGTTATTTATTTATTGTATGCCAATGCAGGCCGCACAATCTAACGAACTACTAGTGGATGTAGAGCCCAGCATAATTTCTGCACATGGACTCTACTGTAAAAGTTCTACCCAAACCATGCTATCAGTTGATTCTTCCCAACATCCTTCGATAGCTAGTAATTTCTACTAATCTTAGTGTTTAATATCATCTATTTATTGTATACCAATTCACACTGCATAATCTAACGAAGAGAAAATGTACAGCTCCAGTATAATTCCTGTGCTAGGACTCTACTGACGAGTACTACCTGATCCTTGCTATCGATTGACTCTTCGTAACATTCTTAGAAAGCTTACAATTTCTACTAGTCCTAGCATTGAATATTATCTATTAATTACATACAAATGTATCCTGCATAATATAACGAAGAGAAAATATAGAGCTCAAACATAATTTCTGCACTAGGACCCTACTATAACGGTACTACCCAAACGTTGTTATTGACAGACTCTTCCCAACATCCTTGGAAAGCTTACAATTTCTACCAGTCCTAGCATTGAATATTTATTAACTCTTTACTTAGATATAATAATCCATCAACGATGAAAACTATTATCAACTGTTGCTAAGCAACTAACCGACAATGGCAGTCTCAATGTGATCACGTGGTTCAAACGAAGGCAACGCGCAATCTCTATAGCACTGTTTTTAGCTTCGTCGCCATAGTTACACTCGAAGTTTCCTAGCAGAAATCGATAAATGCCGTTATTTCATCTACTATTGATTACAGGATCGAATATTACAGGCATATATACGAGTAGATATAGAGATACCAAACCAGTATACGCCTATTAAACTATGCAACATTAACGAGCGTGATATGCTGTAGCAACTAAGAGGACAAGAACTAAAGAATTATTTTATATATCAACGTTACAATTGTTAATAGTAGCAAAAAATTTGGATTCAATTTTTGTTATTACACATACGAAAACTACTACAAGTCGTATTAGGTTACAGCTTTTGACAAGTAGAATAAAGTCAGAAATCGACGAACATATATAGTCATGTCGAACGACAACGATAACGTCGATGTTCGCTTGGAATGGATATCCGAGTACGTCCTACGTACTCTCAAAGTTAAATACGAAAAATGGCAGAAAATGTATACTATCGATGAAAATAAGAATATAATACAGCAAGTTTTGGACAAATCCGATCAGATGATTTTAGTTTTTTATAGCAATTCAGCTGGAGCACTGTGTGTCTCTTTGGAGTTTCCTAGTACCTTGAAGCAAAAAGCGGTTTATTTCATCAAAAAAGCTCGCGAGCCTATACCAAAAGAAAATTTCAAGGCTGCTTTAAACTATGGTGATCTATCAAATTCGCCTTTGGAACAATTGTCAGCGCTTGTCGATGAGGTATATTGTTCAAGTAGACATTTAAATTTTAGTCGATCATTTTGAACACCACAATGTAAACTTCACGATATTTTTTTATTCGTATAGAGAAAATTAGTTCTATATTATATGATTAATTAATTTTGACATAAGCTTACGCAAAAATTAACGGATATAGAATAGTGTTATACCTGTACAGTATAGATTAAAATCATTTCGTTTCCAACTTTGTTAAATTATTATCGCAAATAATACGTCAATATTACGATGCAAAGTGGCAATGCCGCATAACCTTAAAATTAGAAAATAATTATTTCAATATTTAGAAAATTAGACAAATTTTTACTGTTTGTAATAGCGAAATTATTTATCTTTTATTAAAATAGTTATAATAACTCATTAATCAATAGATAATCATTAAATGGTTGATTATTTCAAATATTAATTATTAGGCTCTATGGTAACTTTAAATTTTCTATAGATATTACGGTGTTAGCTTTCAAAACTACATCCATCCGTATTTAACAATTAAAAGAACATAAACTATTCGATGTAATGACCCTTAACAGCATCATATATGTACTTTATAATAACAGGTTCTTGTGCCCATCTTGACCAATTCTAAAAATCATGAACAATGGCCAAGTGTTGTCTCCCAAGATGTACTTAGGCATGTCCATTCATTAAAGAGTAATGTCTATGTTATTGCTGGTCAAGTTAAAGGTAAAACGCTTTTACCACTTCCAGTTGGATCTGAACGCATGATTGAAGAATCAGATGACAAGTAAAACTCATTTAATGAATTTCAACAATTTCTAAATTTAATTACTATTAATTTATTTATGATTATGAACACTGATTCAATATTGTTGTGGTAAACTTGAAATTATTACCAATTTAAAAACCAATGGTAATAGCAAAAAATACAAATTTATTTTTATGGATAAATAGAGAGGAAACATGGAGCCGTGGCCTAGTCCATGCCATTGAATCAGCAGTTATTGAATGGTCGCATCAAATTCGAGATGTCTTGAAAAGAGATTCTGCACAACCGCTGTTGGAAGGTTTAAATCCTTTACCATTTACTGAAATTGTCTTTTGGAAAGCAAAATGTGCAAATTTAGAATGTATCTACGAGCAGGTATTGTCATTAATGTGAATCTATATGAAACATTTCGTACACCTGACACAAATAGATATGAATTTGAAATATTTTAATTTCTACGATAGCTACGAGATCCAAAAGTTCGTAAAATGGCTGAATTGCTCGAGAAAACACAAAGTAGCTATTTCCCTTCATTTAAGAAAACATTTCAAGATGTCGTAACAGGTAATTCTATTGATGAAAATTCTTTAATTTACTTACTTAAACTGAAATGAAATTAATTTATACATAAAATAGGTTTAAATGAGGCAAGAGATATTTCTATTCATTTAAAGCCCCTAAAGCCATTACTAGAAGACCTGGAACAAACAGAATTTGATGCTATTAAGAAATCAATTCCACCACTTTTCCATACTATTGGATTAATTTGGGCCAATTCAAAATATTACAGTACACCTGCAAGAATTATTGTATTGTTACAAGAATTATCCAACATGATTATCGAACTGGTAAATAATAAATAACTTTATCATTATAATAGGTTTTCGATACTATCAATCATACCGATCTTCGCTTATCATTCTAATATAATTTTCTCTTGTAAATTTATTCTAGGCTCGCAATTTCTTGGATGCTTCTGAGCTATTTAAGGGAGAAATTGAAGAAACTATCGGCCGCGTGACGAAAACGATCAATATCTGCCGCTATTATAGGCAGCACTTCGATGAAACCAAAGCAAATATCTCCAAATTTTTTAAAGGAGTTGGAACCAACGTTCGGGAATGGGAATTCTCACCTACTCTGATTTTTACTCGATACCAAAAATTTGTTGAACGACTACAACATGTCCAGGTAATTTTATTACGCTATAATTTTAGGGAGAGAAACTTGTAAATTTCTAATGTGATAATCCCGTTATAATATGAGTAAATTGAGTATATTGCATCAAAATTTAATGAACTTTTACTATGAACTGACAATAGGAAATTATGGAAACAGCTTTAGACTTTTATAAGCTCGAAAAAGTTGAACTTGGCGGAATTAAAGGAAAAACTCTAAGTCAACAAGTAGTACAAATATTCAATGAATTTTCTGAATACATGCAAGTTTTTACCAATACCACATATGATACATTAGATATCAATAATGAGGTTTGTAAAAATTAACAGCTAAAGTCAAACGTAGACTGATTCCAAATTCGTTATCAGCCGATTATATCTGGCCATTATACTAAAAATTATTATTTTAATGCTACTATCAATGGCAGGATTTTGTTAACGATTACGAGTCATTCAAGAGAAAAGTCTACGATTTAGATCGACGACTTGGTTCTATCGTGTGCCAAGGTTTTGAAGATTGCTCTGGTGTTGAAGCTATTTTTAAGGTATACTCTATTTCACAATAGCCTAAGATCATTATAGAATGTTAAATAACTGTAGACCAGAAGGATTGGCCTTGTAAAATAACTTAAATCTACTGCGATAATAGAGCTAACGTAGCTTACCTATATTCCTAATTGATATCCTTTTTACCCATATTGTAGCTGATCAATTGCTTTGGTTCTCTGCTCAATCGGCCAGTTATTAAAACTGATTTCGAGCATAAATACGCCATTCTTCTAACCCTTTTCAATAAGGAGCTGGATAACGCTAAAAAAATATATGATATACAAATTGCATCTGAGAAAAATAAAGAGGGTTCAGCACCGATAAATAAAAATATGCCAAATGTAGCCGGAAATTTGCAATGGGCTCGTGAAATTCGTCACCGTATTTCAGTACCTATGGCAAGTTTAAAACAACTAGATCATCAGTAAGTTATGCAAGAATTGCATATCTTTATTGCGTTTTACTAGGCGCCTATGTAACTTACAGGCATGTTTTACGCTACATCTCTATTGCCTCTGTATCATCATTGCTCAAATTACTGCCATCCCTTTTAGAAATATTCAAGATACTCCAGAAGCACAAGAAATATTCAGGAAATACGAAGAAATGATCGAACTACTTCAAAAGTAAGTTAGAACTGGCCATTTCAATCTCGTGCAACATATAAAACTTTATGAAAGTATTATTAAACTTCTATACTAAGCAGGCTTCAATATTGCACTATTAACAGTTTCCAGCTAACTCTAAAATCATATATTTACATATAAACTACTGCTATAACTTAATACCTAAAACTATGATTTATGTGGACTAGGTATGAGGGTAAAAAATTTGAAGCTTGGTCAGAAGTTGTCGGCGATGAAGCCAAATATAACCTTGAACGTTCTCTAATCGTTCGCAACGAAGCAACAAATCTTATTGCTGTCAATTTTGACCCTCAGGTATCAAAATGTCAACATTTGATGTTATCCAATTAGGCTTTTCGATCAGGAAATAATCTAAGCTAAGCAATAAGCGAGAAATCAGTATAATTAATATATTTATTTAATTACCAATTAATTAGTTGGTAGCTGTCCTACGTGAAGTTAAATACCTGGAGATGAGAGATAAAGAAACAATACCAGGCAGTGCTGCAGAAATCTACTCTAAAAATGAAACTTTCCGTCAGTACTTGGGCAGTTTAGATTTAATCGTTATGTGGTACAATAAAGTACGAGAAACTGTACTTGAAGTTGAATTCCCACTAATTGAAGATCGATTGAAAGAAATTGATGAGCAGTTATTAAAGGCTGAAACCGAATTAAACTGGAATAGCGAAGGTACAAAACAGAACTTTACAAACTTCATGCTAGTATGATGGTAGCAGATCTCTACCAGAGTTAGATGTAGTTTTATGATCTACATGAGCAATTACTGATATTTGTTAATATTCTTTGTTATTAGTCGATAGTTCAATTCAGTTTTGTTTTGGTTGCTTAATTTATATACGAGTATAATATATGAATAAATTTTAAGCTTTAATTAATTAATTAACAGTAAATAATGACATCAGCGATAATCAATTCTCGGTATTTTTTTAGGTATTTGGGAGTATATTAAATCAACACGGGAGAAAGTTCACGATTTAGAGAAAAGAGTGCAGAAAGCTAAAGATAACGTGGAAGCTATGTCTAAAGATATGGCTAAATGGGCCGTATCGCCTTTATATGAAAGGAAAGATGACAAGAAAGACGCCTTATTAAATGTCGAGGTAATATTCCATTAGATAAAAACGCGCATTAATTACTTGATATTGGATCATACATATGAGGGCATGTATCAAATAAAACAATTAATATGTCATATTTTTTATTACCTACAACGTCTAGGATCGTGAAATGCAACTTAATAATCGCTATAATCTCATCAAGCAATCCGGAGAACGATTGCATAACCTTCTTAAGGTATTATTCGATCGAAGAAATTGTAATACATACTATATATATATATCTTTATTCCTAGTTCATGACGGTCAATTTACGCTAGAAGCTTATTCCATTGCTATCCTTTAATAGCATTTAGACTATCCAGTTCGAATATTATAATTTCTATTTGAAATTACTGCTCTACCATGAAAAAACTGAATCCAATATATCTTAGGGATTAATAGAACTGGTGGTCCAGCAATAATAAATTCATTTCTTTCATTTTTATATTGATTTCAGGAAAATTATGAATTATTCGAAGCCAATGAAGATTCAGATATTTGGCGAGCTTATGTCGACTACTTAGATGACATGATTGTAGATGGATTCTTTAATGCTATCCATTGCTCACTATCCTATATGCTAGACAATACTGATCCTAAAATCAATACAGCTCCATTACTAGAAGCTCGATTAGATCTTAGTGCTCCTGATATGATTTTTACACCACCATTGGATATTGGTGCACATAACAGTTTCTACGATCTTGTTGAAAGTTTACTTAGTGATGTTTATCGACAAGCATCTCTTGTATCACGCTTAGCTAAGCATAATGGTATGGATCACTACCAAAGCGATCTAGAAGATATGTTGGAATTATCAGAAATGCGACAAGAATTAATGGATCGAATTCAAAATATCATGAATAAAGCTTGCGAGTATCGCAATTCATTTGATACTTATTCCTACTTATGGGTGGATGATCGCCATGAATTTATGCGACAATTCCTATTATATAATCATGTCTTAACTCCGGAAGAAATTGAACAACACGCTGAAGATGGTGTACCAGAATGTCCACCGACATTAGAACAATTTAAAGAACAAATTGATACCTATGAGCGTATTTATAACGAAGTCGATGATGTCGACGGTACATCCATTTTTGATACTTGGTTCCGTGTCGATATTCGCCCATTTAAGCAATCTTTATTAAATACGGTGAAACGTTGGAGTTATATGTTCAAGCAACATTTAATTGATCATGTTACCAACAGTTTAGCTGAATTAGAGAACTTCATTAAATCAACCGATACTGGATTAACCCTTCAAATTGAAGAAGGTGATTATGATGGTCTTGTCGCTGTTATGGGCCATTTATTAGCTGTACGTGATCGTACATCAGCAACAGATGAATTATTTGAGCCCTTGAAAGCAACCATTGATTTATTGAAAACTTATGAGCAAGAAATGTCGGAAGAAGTCCATAATCAACTCCGTGAATTACCGGAAAAGTGGAATAATACTAAAAAGATTTCAGTTACTGTTAAACAAAGTGTTGCACCATTACAGGCAGCTGAAGTAGCCATTATACGCCGCAAATGTGGCCAATTTGAAGTTAAACAACATGAATTCCGTGAATGGTTCAGAGCTTATGCTCCATTCCGTTTCGATTGTGAAGATCCTTATGATCGTTTAGATTCCGCTCATCTAGAAACCCATACACTAGAAGAAGAAATGAATCAATTAGCTCAATCAGCAAGCTTATTTGAAGTTAATGTACCAGATTATAAGCAATTGAAAGCATGCCGACGTGAAATTCGCTTATTAAAGACGCTATGGGATATGATTAGTATGGTTATGAGTGATATTGATGATTGGAAAACCACGTATTGGTCGGAGATTAATGTTGAAAGTATGGATGCAGATTGTAAGAAATTTGCTAAAGAAATACGTGAATTAGATCGTGAAATTCGTTCATGGGATGCTTATAATGGTTTAAGTTCAACAGTGAAAAATATGATGACCTCTTTACGTGCAGTTAGTGAATTGCAAAATTCAGCAATACGTGAACGCCATTGGCAACAACTTATGGCTGCAACACAAGTTAAATTTGTCATGGATAATAGTACTACATTAGCTGATTTGTTAGCCTTAAATTTGCATAAATATGAAGATGAAGTTCGCAATATTGTGGATAAAGCTATTAAAGAATTAAGCATGGAAAAGATCCTCAAAGAATTGGATGTAACATGGTCAACTATGGAATTTGAATATGAACAACATGCACGTACACAAACACCCTTATTACGTTCGAGTGAAGAATTAATTGAGACATTAGAAGATAATCAAGTCCAATTGCAAAATTTAATTACTTCCAAGCATATCTCACACTTTTTAGAAGAGGTTTCATCATGGCAAAAGAAATTATCAACAGCCGATGGTGTTATATCCATTTGGTTTGAAGTCCAACGTACTTGGTCGCATTTAGAGAGTATTTTTATTGGGACAGAAGATATTCGTAAGCAATTACCTGAAGATTCTAAACGTTTTGATGGAATTGATGCTGATTTTAAAGATTTAATGGCTGATGCACAAAAAACACCTAATGTTGTTGAAGCAACCAATAAACCTGGTCTCTTCAACCTATTAGAAGATATCCAAGGCAGATTATCCTTATGTGAGAAAGCATTAGCAGAATATTTAGAAACGAAACGATTAGCGTTTCCACGTTTTTACTTTGTCTCATCGGCTGATTTGTTGGATATTCTCTCTAATGGTAATCGTCCATCGGAAGTGGCACGCCATTTATCCAAATTATTCGACAGTATTGCAAGGCTGAAATTTGAAGAAGATGAAAATGGTGAATTAACTAAAGTTGCTATCGGTATGTTTAGTAAAGATGGTGAATATGTCGATTTTAATACCTCATGCTCATGTACTGGCCAAGTTGAAACATGGTTAAATCGATTATTGGATACTATGCGCTCCACAATTAAACATCAATTAACTGAAGCTGTTGTCACATATGAAGAGAAAGCTCGTGATCAATGGATCTTTGATTATCCAGCTCAAGTTGCCTTAACTGGTACACAAGTATGGTGGACAACAGAAGTCAATATTGCCTTTAGTCGTTTGGAAGAAGGCTACGAAAATGCTTTAAAAGATTATAATAAGAAACAAATTGCTCAATTAAATTCACTCATTACCATGTTATTAGGTGATTTATCCAAAGGAGAGCGACAAAAAATTATGACTATTTGTACCATTGATGTCCATGCTCGTGATGTAGTCGGGAAATTAATCCAGCAAAAAGTAGAAAATGCTCAAGCTTTCGTTTGGTTATGCCAATTAAGACATCGTTGGGATGATGATAAGAAAGATTGTTTCGCTAATATTTGCGATGCCCAATTTTGTTATTCCTATGAATACCTTGGCAATCAACCACGTCTAGTCATTACGCCATTAACAGATCGTTGCTATATTACATTAACGCAATCTTTGCATTTAACTATGAGTGGCGCTCCAGCTGGGCCAGCAGGTACTGGTAAAACAGAAACTACCAAAGATCTTGGTCGTGCATTAGGTTGTATGGTTTATGTCTTTAATTGCTCGGAGCAAATGGATTATAAATCCATAGGCAATATTTATAAAGGTTTAGCGCAAACAGGTGCATGGGGTTGCTTCGATGAATTTAATCGTATCTCTATTGAAGTATTATCGGTAGTAGCAGTCCAAGTGAAATCGATCCAAGATGCTATCCGTGATAGAAAAGAACGCTTTGTATTCCAAGGTGAAGAAATCTCCTTAACACCTACTGTGGGCATCTTTATCACCATGAATCCAGGCTATGCTGGTCGTACTGAATTACCAGAAAATTTGAAAGCATTATTCCGTCCATGTGCTATGGTAGTACCTGATTTTGAATTAATTTGTGAAATTATGTTGGTAGCAGAAGGTTTCTTAGATGCACGATTATTAGCACGTAAATTTATTACTTTATATACCCTATGTCGTGAATTATTATCTAAGCAAGATCATTACGATTGGGGTTTACGTGCTATTAAATCGGTCTTAGTAGTGGCTGGATCATTAAAACGTAGTGATCGCCAACGACCTGAAGATCAAGTTTTAATGCGTGCTTTACGTGATTTTAACACACCTAAAATTGTCACCGATGATTTACCGGTTTTCCTTGGCTTAATTAGCGATCTCTTCCCATCTCTGGATGTCCCACGTAAGCGCGATCTTGAATTAGAAGCTATCGTCAAGACATCAACACAACAACTTAATTTACAACCTGAAGATAGTTTCATCTTGAAAGTAGTCCAATTAGATGAATTATTAGCTGTACGCCATTCTGTTTTTGTTATTGGTGCTGCTGGCACAGGAAAAACACAAATTTTACGCACTTTGCATAAAACCTATCAAAATCAAAAGCGTAAACCAGTCTGGCATGATATGAATCCGAAAGCAGTCACTACCGATGAATTATTCGGCTGTATTAATTCAGCAACACGGGAATGGAAAGATGGCTTATTTTCAGTTTCTATGCGTGATTTAGCCAATCTATCCGGTGACGGACCCAAATGGATTGTCTTAGATGGTGATATTGATCCAATGTGGATCGAATCGTTAAATACAGTTATGGACGATAATAAAGTATTAACATTAGCTAGTAATGAAAGAATCCCGTTAACACCTTCTATGCGATTATTATTTGAAATTGGACACTTGAAATATGCAACACCAGCCACCGTTTCACGTGCTGGAATCTTATATGTTAATCCAACAGATTTAGGATGGAGTCCTTATGTTACAAGTTGGATTGATACACGTGAAGTTCAATCGGAAAAAGCGAATTTAATCATCTTATTTGATAAATATGTTCCAACTTGTTTGGATACATTAAGAAATCGTTTCAAGAAGATTACCCCTGTGGCCGATATTAGTATGGTGCAAACACTATGCTATCTGTTAGAAGTTTTATTAACGGAAGATAATGTCCCTCCAGATAGTCCCAAAGAACATTATGAAATCTATTTTGTATTTGCTGCTGTGTGGGCATTTGGTGGTGCTATGTTCCAAGATCAATTGGTCGATTATCGTGTTGAATTTAGTAAATGGTGGGTAAGTGAATTTAAAACCATTAAATTTCCATCGGCTGCCACGGTATTTGATTATCAAGTCGATCGTGAAACGAAAAAATTTGTACCATGGGCTGAAAAAGTACCTAAATTTGAATTTGATCCTGAATTGCCATTGCAATCGGCTTTAGTCCATACTGCTGAAACGATTCGTGTTCGCCATTTTACTCGATTATTAATGCAACGTGGTCGTCCAGTTTTACTCGTAGGTAATGCTGGCACAGGGAAATCTGTCTTGGTCAATAATGTCCTACAAAGTCTTGGTGATGATTACCAATTGACATTTATCCCCTTTAATCATTATACTACCTCAGCCATGTTACAAGGTATCTTGGAGAAACCATTAGAAAAGAAAGCTGGACGTAATTATGGCCCACCTGGCACGAAAAAAATGGTCTACTATGTGGATGATTTAAATATGCCCGAAGTTGATACTTATGGCACTGTTTCACCGCATACTTTAATACGACAACATTTAGATTATAAACATTGGTATGATCGCAATAAGTTATTGCTGAAAGATATCCATAATTGCCAATATATTGCTTGTATGAATCCAACTGCTGGTAGCTTTACTGTTAATCCACGCTTACAACGCCATTTCTGTGTCTTTGCATTAAGTTTCCCTGGCTCCGATGCATTGCATACCATCTATAATAGTATCATGCAAGCTCATCTTGATTCTTTTACCTTCCCATCGAGTATCTATAAAATTTCACAAAATCTGGTCAATGCTGCTATTTCACTCCATCATAAAGTGACAAGCCATTTCTTACCAACAGCTATAAAATTTCATTATACCTTCAATTTACGCGACTTATCCAATATCTTCCAAGGTATCTTATTTTCAACACCAGACTGTATCCGTGTCCAAACGGATCTAGTACGCATATGGATGCATGAAAGTTATCGTGTCTATAGTGATAAATTAGTCGATGATAAAGATTTAGAATATTTCGATCGATTAGTTGCGGATATGGTGAGGAAAAATTTCGATGATATCGATGAAGAACCCTTAGCAGTTCGACCATTACTCTATAGCCATTTCTCAGGTGGTATTGGCGATCTCAAGTATATGCCTATCCAAGATTGGCATTCTATCAATAAGATATTAGAAGAAGCATTAGATAGTTATAACGAAATGAATGCTGTTATGAATCTTGTCTTATTTGAAGATGCTATGCAACATGTCTGTCGTATTAATCGTATCCTCGAATCGCCACGCGGTAATGCACTCTTAGTTGGTGTTGGTGGTAGTGGTAAGCAAAGTTTAGCAAGATTAGCATCCTTTATAAGTAGTTTAGATGTCTTCCAAATTACATTACGAAAAGGTTATGCTATTGCTGATCTCAAGTTAGATTTAGCTAGTCTATGTACTAAAGCAGGCTTGAAAAATATTGGTACAGTCTTCCTCTTGACTGATGCACAAATACCAGATGAGCAATTTTTAGTCTTAATTAACGATCTTTTAGCCTCGGGTGAAATTCCTGAGCTTTATCCTGATGATGAAGTGGATAACATTATTGGTAGTTTACGCGCTGAAGTACGCGGTAGTGGTATGCAAGATACCAAAGAAAATTGTTGGAAATTCTTTATTGATCGTGTAAGGCAAAATCTGAAAGTAGTCTTATGCTTTTCACCAGTGGGTTCAACATTACGTGTCCGAGCTAGAAAATTCCCCGCTGTTGTCAATTGTACCTCCATCGATTGGTTCCATGAATGGCCAGAAGAAGCATTAATCCGTGTTAGCAAGCGCTTCTTAGATGAAGTGGACATCTTAGATACTGATATCAAAGATTCCATTAGTCAATTTATGGCCTATGTCCATACAAGTGTTAACGAAATGAGTAAAGTTTACTTGACGAATGAACGCCGCTATAATTATACTACACCAAAAAGTTTCTTGGAACAAATTAAGCTATATCGCAATTTACTCAAGAAAAAAAGTAAAGAATTAACCAGTAAAATGGAACGTCTGGAAAATGGTTTATTAAAATTAGAAAGCACTTCATCACAAGTCGATGATTTAAAAGCCAAATTAGCATCACAAGAAGTTGAATTAAAGCAGAAAAATGAAGATGCTGATAAATTAATCCAAAAAGTCGGTATTGAAACTGAAAAAGTCAGTAAAGAGAAAGAAATTGCTGATGAAGAAGAAAAGAAAGTTGCTTTAATTGCACAAGAAGTTGCCGAAAAGCAAAAATCATGTGAAGAAGATCTTCTTAAAGCAGAGCCTGCTTTAGTCGCTGCAAAAGAAGCATTAAATACATTAAATAAAGCCAATTTAACCGAATTGAAATCATTTGGTCAGCCACCTGAAGCAGTTAAAAATGTCACTGCTGCTGTTATGGTCTTATTAGCAACACCCAATAAAATACCAAAAGATCGAAGTTGGCGACAAGCTAAATTAATGATGAGTCGTGTGGATACATTCTTAGAGACATTAATTAATTTCGATAAAGAACATATCGATGATTCCAACTTGAAAGCATTACAACCCTACTTAAATAATCCCGAATTTAATCCTGATTTTATACGCAATAAATCGTTAGCTGCTGGTGGCTTATGCTCATGGGTTAAAAATACCGTCGTATTTTATAACGTTTATTGTGAAGTCGAGCCAAAACGTATTGCATTAGAGCAAGCTAATGCTGAATTAGCAGCTGCACAAGAGAAATTAGCCAATATCAAGGTTAAAATTAACATCTTAGATGATAATTTATCACGTTTAACAGCTGAATTTGAGAAAGCTACTTCTGAAAAATTAAAATGTCAACAAGAAGCAGATACAACAGCTAAAACTATTACACTAGCCAATCGCTTAGTTGGAGGTTTATCATCGGAGAAAATACGTTGGAATGAATCGGTTGTTAATTTAAAACATCAAGAAATAACTTTGCCTGGCGATGTCCTCTTAACCGCTGCATTTATATCTTATGTTGGTTGCTTTACACGCAATTATCGTGCTGATTTAACTGGCCATAAATGGATACCATTTCTACAACAGCAAAAAGTGCCCATACCAATTACGGAAGACTTAGATCCGCTAACATTATTAACCGATGATGCCACTGTTGCTGGTTGGAATAATGAAGGCTTACCAAGTGATCGTATGTCAACTGAGAATGCAACCATCTTAGCCAATGCTGAACGCTGGCCATTAATGATTGATCCACAATTACAAGGTATTAAATGGATTAAAAATCGTTATGGTGAAGAATTGCGTGTTGTACGCCTTGGACAACGTAATTATTTAGATATTATTGAACGTGCTGTCTCCAATGGTGATATCGTCTTGATTGAAAATCTGGATGAAATTATCGATCCTGTTCTTGATCCATTACTCGGTCGAAATACCATCAAGAAAGGTAAATTTATCAAGATTGGTGATAAAGAAGTGGAATATCATCCAGATTTCCGCTTAATCTTACAAACTAAATTAGCCAATCCACATTATAAGCCTGAATTACAAGCACAAGCAACATTAATTAATTTCACCGTTACACGCGATGGCTTAGAAGATCAATTACTAGCTGAAGTTGTCAGTAAAGAAAGGCCTGATTTAGAAAAATCAAAAGCTGATTTAACGAAATTACAAAATGATTTCAAGATACGTTTGAAAGAATTAGAAGATTCATTATTATCACGTTTATCAGCTGCTGAAGGCAATTTCTTAGGTGATTATTCATTAGTGGAGAACTTAGAAGTAACTAAACGAACTGCATCAGAAATTGAAGTCAAAGTGACAGAATCCAAAGCAACTGAAATTGAAATCAATCAAGCTCGTGAACATTATCGTCCAGCAGCTGCACGTGCATCATTACTCTATTTCATCCTCAACGATCTACATAAGATCAATCCTATCTATCAATTCTCATTAAAAGCATTCAATGCTGTCTTTAATAAGGCCATTGATCGTGCTGAAGTCGCGGACGATGTTAAAGTTAGAGTAGCTAATTTAATCGATATTATTACTTACTCGGTGTATGCTTATACAAGTCGTGGATTATTCGAAAGTGATAAGTTGATCTTTGCAGCTCAAGTTACCTTCCAAGTATTACTCATGAATAAAGAAATATGGGCTAATGAATTAGATTTCCTATTACGTTTCCCAGTGGTGCAAAATATTATCAGCCCAGTCGATTTTCTATCTCATCATGCTTGGGGTGGTATTAAAGCATTGGCATCCATGGATGAATTTAGAAATTTAGATCGTGATATCGAAGGTTCTGCAAAACGATGGAAAAAATTTGTTGAAAGTGAATGCCCTGAAAAGGAGAAATTCCCACAAGAATGGAAAACAAAATCATCATTACAAAAGTTGTGCATGTTACGTGCATTGCGACCGGATCGTATGACTTATGCTATTAGCAATTTTGTGGAAGAAAAATTAGGCCATAAATATGTTGAAAATAGACAAATTGAATTCTCTAGATCATTTGAAGAAAGTAGCCCAGCAACACCAATCTTTTTCATCTTATCACCTGGTGTTGATCCATTAAAAGATGTCGAAGCATTAGGTAAAAAATTAGGCTATACTATTAGTGCTGGCTCCTTGCATAATATATCACTTGGACAAGGTCAAGAAATTGTCGCTGAACAAAGTCTTGATTTAGCTGCACGTGAAGGTCATTGGGTTATTTTGCAAAATATCCATTTAGTAGCTAAATGGTTGCCAACATTAGAGAAGAAAATTGAAACTTATAGTGAAGGAAGTCATGAAAATTATCGTGTCTTTATGTCAGCTGAGCCTGCTCCAACACCAGAATCTCATATTATACCACAAGGTCTATTGCAAGCATCGATTAAAATTACCAATGAACCACCGACTGGAATGCAAGCCAACTTATACAAAGCATTGGACAACTTTAATCAAGATACCCTGGAAATATGTACACGTGAGAGTGAATTTAAATCAATCTTATTTGCACTCTGTTATTTCCATGCTGTTGTAGCTGAACGACGTAAATTTGGACCACAAGGATGGAATCGGCCATATCCATTCAATACTGGTGACTTAACTATCAGTGTCAACGTCTTGTATAATTACTTAGAAGCAAATACTAAAGTTCCATGGACTGATTTGCGCTATTTATTCGGTGAAATTATGTATGGTGGCCATATTACTGACGATTGGGATCGACGTCTATGTAAGACCTATCTTGAAGAGTTTATGAGAGCCGACTTATTAGATGGTGAATTACAGTTTGCACCAGGTTTCCCTGTACCACCAAATAGCGATTATAAAGGCTATCATTTGTACATTTCTGAAATGTTACCACCTGAAAGCCCATATCTATATGGTCTCCATCCAAATGCTGAAATTGGTTTCTTAACAACAACATCAAATAGTCTTTTCCGAACTGTCTTGGAAATGCAACCACGCGATGCTGGTGCTGGTGGCGGTGCAGCGTCTACACGCGAAGAGAAAGTCAAGCAAACATTAGATGAAATTATCGAGAAGTTACCTGAAGAATTTAATGTATCTGAAATGATGGCACGTATAGAAGATCGTTCACCATATACTGTTGTAGCCTTCCAAGAATGTGAAAGAATGAATATATTAACATCAGAAATACGACGATCATTAAAAGAATTAGATCTTGGCTTAAAGGGTGAATTAACAATATCAGCTGATATGGAGAATTTACAAAATTCACTCTTCCTGGATAAAGTACCTGATAGCTGGACTAAGCGTGCATATCCATCACTGTCAGGATTAGCTGCTTGGTATAGTAATTTGTTATTGCGTATTAAAGAATTGGAAAATTGGACAACTGATTTTGCATTACCAAATGTTGTCTGGTTGGCTGGTTTTTTCAATCCTCAATCATTTTTAACCGCTATTATGCAATCTATGGCTAGGAAAAATGAATGGCCACTTGATAAAATGTGTATTCAGTGTGATGTTACAAAGAAAAGCAAAGAAGATTTCAATAGTCCGCCTCGTGAAGGTGCCTATATTCATGGTTTATTCATGGAAGGTGCCCGCTGGGATGTACAATCTGGTGTTATACAAGATTCTAAACTAAAGGAATTAACTCCATCAATGCCAGTAATATTTTTGCGTGCTATTACTGTTGATCGTCAAGAAACAAGAAATATCTATGAGTGTCCAGTATATAAAACTCGACAACGTGGCCCAACATTTGTCTGGACATTTAATCTTAAGACGAAAGAAAATTCATCGAAATGGATATTAGCAGGAGTTGCTTTACTGTTGAGCACTTAAAATATAATTGCATGACTCATGAAGTTGGTTCGAACTACATTTAATACTATGTACGCGTATGATTTATTACATGTTTGCATATAATCATCATGTAAGTCATTCGAACAACAACTTTTCGTTCTTGTCATTTTCCTAATAGCCAACTCGTATCTACTGTACTGAGTTCCCCTAACTGTAATATACTAATTAATCTACAAGTATATCAATGATACAATTATATTTATACAACAATACAATCTAGTGGATAATTAGCTAGACTACTATGCTTTTGTCTAGGCTATTAAGGTTGTTTGAGTCTTTTTCTGCTTGCATATATTTTATGACAGTTCGGTAAACGAACATTTATTTGGAAGATTTGATATCAAATTATCACTCATGTAACTTGACGAATTCGAAACTTGCAATGCAATGCATCGGTATCCGTTGCATTACACGCATCTTTGAATACCACATAAAATTCTCGATATCATATAGGCAAATATTGCTACTTAGTTTATTAAATAAAAAATTCTCGATAAAATCATTCATTTATTATAAATTCGTATAAAAATAATTATAAACTTTTTTAATAAGTCATGTTAGATGCATTATTATATAATTGTGTCTCAGTATGATGATAATAAATATTTAAATTTTAAATTTTAAAAGCTAGATTTCAATTTTTTCTGCGAATAGATACGTGCTAATGACTTTATATTTCCATATTATAAAAACTTCCACAATATGTACTTGGTTACCATCTGAGCCCAAAAAGCTACCTGCCTTCGATCGGAACGAAATACATCTTGGTTAACAGCTTTTCCATAAGAGAAAATACTCTCTTGTTCCTAGAAAAGCAAATGATAATTACAATACTACATGACCATTATGCTTAATCCAATGTATAGCATCATAAATAGCATCACAGTATGGGAGAGTATAAACGTTGGTAGATCGAAATCTAATTATTTTATTCAAATCAATCATATATCGCTCTCAGCTAAAATTATGAATATCAAGCACTGGAACTTACGGCTTTCATAAGCTCTTGTAAGTTAGATTCACTTGTTACAACTGCTATTTGAGCTTCCAAATCGCGGTAGGTGGATCGATAACCTATGAATTAAAATTACGAATGCTTACCATGTATAATACAAAGACCTCATTAATCCTTGCATATTTACCAAAATTTGAGGAACCAATCAAAGTCATTGAAGGCAGTTGTTCTTGTTGATAATAATACCACAAACCTAAAATGATAGATTTATGTACTGATAAATGATTAAGTTTACTATTTCTGGCGCGCTGTATAGCACAATTATGTCATTTTAATAGCTAATTATATTATAAATAAAATACCCATACGCAAATCTCAGCGATGGGACATGTTGCCGTAGTATACAGCATTATAATATTTTACCTTTGACATGAAAGGTCCAACCTTGACGTTCGTATTCTAACAATTTTATACGCTGATCTTGATTTTCGCTCACGATACGTTGATAGAATTGTTTAGCAATATACGTATATGAATCCGGAATATAGCCTGCAATACCACTTGCACCATAGAATCCATTAGCCTAACAAAGTGCCCCAAAAATATTCTGGAATTTATCAACTGCTTTAGCCTACAAATAGTATTTTTTATAAATGATGGTCTATCCTACCTCAGGTGCAGCCGTTAAAATCTTATAGTCGCCTTTAGATTTAGTAAGTATTGTTGCTAAATATTTTTCTATTAGGTTAAAGTATCCAGATGCTAAGAGCAATGTAGAGTCTTTCCGTAGTGATCCAAATAACCTTTGAGTGGCCTCCTCATCAAACCTTACTTCAAACGGCCCCATTTGAATCAGAGGGAATATAACAGTATTTGATTTCGATAAATTATTATTCTTTATAGAATCTTTATATTTGTGTAACAGTTGATGAATATCGCTTCTCATAGCATTAATAAATTCTTGACTACTATCGTTATTTTCGTATGGATGAACGTTTATATCTTCTAACATTTTTGTTGTATCATCTGGTTGTAACTGTAAAGAATATTTACTGACAACCGTTATTAAATCTTGAAAAAAATTTGCAAATTCTGGATTATCTTCAATAACTATATATCGATCTTGACGATTTACAAAATAAGAATCACTCAGATTGGCCCTAAGAGAATGGAAAAATATCATGAAATTAGAATTGGTTAGCAAACATTTTACTGCTATAATCCAACGTTTTAACATGTTTCTATTATACTTATATTAATTATTGCAATACGAATGATTACTAATTACCCGCTGATGATGACATCATTATCGAAAAGATAGACTTTCAAATGAGATAAACCAATGGTTTCATTAAATCTTTCCGGTACAATAGCTTTTAAAGGACCACGTAAGTGCGGAGTATGGAATAAGGCCACATTAACACTGCTATGCGACTCATTTATTAATGGTAATAGCATCTTGCGAGAATTCTGTTTTCCACGCGATCCTCTAGTATAATCGAGTAGAATGTTAATATCTAATGGTTTATTAAGTTGTATACTAGATCTTGAAACTTGCTGTAATTCGTCAACCTAAATAAATTTTAACCAATAACAATAAGATTTACTATAGGATTAGCTCACGGTTGTTAGTAGTGTATAATAAAATGCTATTATTCACTCTTTTATTCTTAAAAAGCAAACGATAATATCCATACCATTCGTTGTTCCAAAGATCCATTTCCAATGTACAACGAAGCTAACGTAATTCTCTTTTTGGCCGTTTTTATTTTGGACTGTAATACATATAAGAAAGGTATCCATTATAACTGTGTTTGATGTGATAATAAATTACTATTTCATTCAACATAGTAGTTTAAATGATGATGAAAATTTGACTGATTTTATTAACATCTGTTCTATCTATATTTCCAATATATAACGGTACTAATCCTAACGAATTATGCAACATCGAGGCATCTATTGTAATAAAATTGATGGTATTATAAATCATGATTTAATCTAATACAGTAGTTTGGTAACGATGAAAATCTGTCTGCTTTTAATACTATCCATTCAAGTCTGCATTGCTTCAGAATGACATTTATCCTATTGCATCATGTTGCAACAATTTATGTATCACATTATCAGGATAATAAAAAATGATATGGCCAGTTATGCCAAATAGAGTGTAGTAAAACAGTGTACTCTACAGGTATGCCGTGGATTAATGATTAATTAATTATATAATTATGTGTATGCAAAGCTGAGTAAGCCATTTGATGTAAACCATACTTCATGATTTGGTGTGGGAAACTTTGTACGTTAGGAAAGGACCCTAAATTAGAGATTGTATCTATGTATTGATGACATACATATCAATTGCCAATTGGTCTAAATTTAGGGTATGCAATTAGCTGACACATAGAGGTAAAAAGAAAACTTCGAATGCTAGCCTACTGTCCAAGTATTAAGTAAATGCATTTCATTGATCAACTGGTCTTAATTTGGTGCTTGCGATTCGCTGGCAATATGCTTCGATACTATCCTCGTACACGAAACGATATTGTGTATATGCATAAGATTTACATCGCTCTTATCCAAGTACATTGATGGTTTAAGGTGAGTAAATCAATAGTGTAGTCTTTTATAAAAGAAAGCAGGTTGCAGATCGTACAAGTACTACTTCAATCCATCATCCTAACTATGCAACTTGTAAATTGCTGATTGCGAATTAGCTAGCTGATAATATGTATGAATATTAGGATGATGAAAGTTCAAGATCTTTATCCGTGAGTACATGATAAGAACGTAGGCCATTCAATACAGCTCTTGCTGGTAGATTTTAGCTATGTCAAGCAATGCCCAATACCGTATGCTGACGATTACATTATTATTATAAAGTAAAATATGTTTAACAGTACGTTTTACACAATTTGCTTACGTACCAGTAATTCTTGATAGAAATCTGTGGGCTGGTGTAGAAATCGAATTTTATCACCATCAGCATAAAATTGAGGTCCTAAATCTTGTAATAGATCACTAATTGCTGTGATAGCCTGACCGCTATAATGATGGCGTTTTCTCAATAGGTTCAAGCAGGTTACATGTCGATTAGTTATTATTTTATACCGATTTAAGACGTTGCTTAGACATGGCCTTAGCAGAGCCATATTGGAAATGGATGCCTGGATTGGTGGAGCAGGAGCTGATGGAGCTTACAGTACTCATTGTCCTTACAGTACTCAGTACTGTGATGATGTACTGTAACAATGTACTGTACTCTTTTGACTGTATAGATTCCATACTGAACTCAGTATACAGTTCTCAACAGTACTCTTGTGAAGTATGTATAGACTCAGAATAAGGATTGTATACTACTTAGCAATTACAATATAGCCTTTATTATGAACTTTCATACTGTATTCGGTATAGTGTATAGCTACATGCTTGCGCTAGTGATTTTTATATGAGACAACGAAACACCTCTGTTTCTCCACTTGGCGAAATCACTACTCTACTAATATCTAGTCGTAAGCAGCTCTATGGTATTCATTTATAAGTTCACAATTGCCTAATGGCAATTTATTAAGAATTTAAAGTAGCAATCCATGGTTTCAGAACATAGTTAGGGACGAGTAAAAGAAAGAAAGGGCGGGACGGACGGAAAGCGGCCGTTTCGCATAGAGATCGAAGTAGACTTGTCACTGTTCTGGTCATTTTACTGTACGGTATTACTAAAACTGTGCACTGTACTGCGCTCAGTATAGGGGTACTAGGACCACTAGAACTAGTTCTCTTCTAGTGGTCCATGTTACGTCACAATGTTACCATGGAAACTCCATACTGTGCTTTGAGTGTGCTAGTTTACTGTCTGATGCCACTGGCTTTTACCATTTAAGTACAATCAATACTAAACCACACCTATAACAGGACACACTATAGAGGATAGTGTAAGAAGAGCTGCAGTCCAGCTGGCTTAGGGATATCATAACATGAATTAGGATGCTGCCTTCCTCGCTCAATAGTTAATATACTCATTGTCATCAAAGATAGCAATCATGGAAAGTCAAGATAATCATGGCAAACAAATTGCAACATATCAAAATCATCAGCCAAGATATAATTGTATCCTTACTTACTAAAATGAATCATCGTTCATCAATATAATCCGTGATTCAAGCTAAAATGATACTAGAATAGTGTATGGTTGCTAAGGGTAACTACGTCTACCAAGCTGTTATTTCATTTTTTTTATTTTTAATCTCTATCCAATAGTTTACATATCTAAAATTAAGTATTACAAAATATGAACTATTATGGTAGTATTGTGAATGTTGGTAATTTGTTTTTAATGAAAATCATGTTTAGAGTATTATATGATAGCGAGGATTGTAGAGGTAGAAAGTATATCCGGTTAAGATATATAACACTTCATTAGCCATCTGTTCCTTCTATGGCCTATTAAGCTGACACGACAAAGGCCATCAATACTGTAATTGTTATTAATGGCTTTATCTTTCCTCATCATAAGACAATCCCTATATTAAAATATCATCTACTAGATAATTCCATTTTTCTGTCCTGTTAATCTATCAAGGATAATTATCAATTAATGACCGAAAAGTGAAATTAACTGTAGACCGATCAGATTAAATCATGCGCTACAATATTGGATCTGCTTGCTCAATTTGCCCCACTTATCATATCATAACAAATATCTTATCTACCACTAATTTTTTTTACCTTCTTTTCTCTATAATTTACCTTTGCATGTATTATCGTCCTTCAGTAAAGGCATAACAGGCTCTGTATTCGTAATAGAAATAAATCATCAAGCTCTTCCCCCATCCAAGATAACCAAAATACAACTTGAACTCAATAGTTCCTTCATAGCAGATAAAAATACTATTTTAAATTTAGTACTACTTTTTGTAGCAATTTCCTTTTTTTAAAGCTATTTCTTTAGCCAATCATAATATTGAGATTTATTCCTTAGTTTATGATAAAGAAAAGCCAGAAGCTTAATCTACTGATCTTATCTAGCAAATTTATGTTGTTGTTGATAATTATCTTATCATTTTATTTAATCAATCTAAGAATTATCACGAGTTTCATCTCCATTCAAGATATGTACTATAACCTTTGAGATAGATGATCATTTCCTTTCGAATTTTAACAATATTTTTAGCAGCATCCACAAAACAGTTCTCGAACCAATTACAATCCGAAATAGTAATAATTTAGGGGAAAATTTACTGTTATTTTTTACCTGTACATGTGAGACATTTTAATCAAGCACAACCTAAAACATAAGCATAATATTCATTTATGTCTATGATTACAAAAATATATAAGCTAGAGGTAGATATACGACTGGACAAACTTAAATATCTTAACTGATAATAATCTTATCGTTTTATTTAATCTACCCAAGGGTACTTTTATTATCAATTTGTAATCTCAGGTAAAATTAGTTTTATAATTTATTAGCAACACCAATATTCTTAACTTTCATATCTTATTGATCGATATAAATTGTCATAATAAACATCAAGAAGAGATTACCTATATCAGAATTAAAGCAAAACTTATTGCGTCTTCCTTTTGTAGTACTATTTCGTAACGCACGACGCAATGCGTACATGATATAGCTCTAGCCTCAGGGATAATTTCAATCTTTTTTATCAGATATTTAAATACATTAAATCACAATTAATCACGCTCGCTGCATTTTCAAATCACAGCTAATTATTGCTATATGAGATCATTTCTCTGCTCAGCTTGAATAATCTCTTGTTTTTAAGAATAAGGCACAGACAAATATATGTATACAGTACATACTATATATATGGATATAATTCATGATTAGTTGACTATAATTCCCGTTATTGTCAACCTTTAATGTTTTAAAAGAGATTATTTAGGGTATTAAAAATTTCGTATTCGTTAGTTATCTTCTTGACCTTATATAAAACAGTGGAAAGCGTTAATCAAATTAAAAAGCTGCAAGGTCGTATCGGAAATTTAAATAGTGAACTACAAAGCTTCACTAAAATGACAATTGATATGTCAGATAATGAGGATGAAAGTGATGACTATGCATATCGTGAAGTAGAGTTACAGAAAAGACCAGTTATTAATAAAGGTATGATAGTAGTTACCAAGAGTATATTTATTTAAGGCGTAAATTTTTATTATAGTCAATAGCAAAGCGATATCTGATGCTATTTACAGCATTTAACTATGTAGATATTTACTTATATGCTAGGAATAAGCTCTGTACAATTTATGTCGTAATTAGCAGTAGCAACAACCTTCGTATGAATTTTAGCAGTTAAACTTATTAATATCTGTTATGTACATATAATTTAAATAAATTGTTTAGAAAAAGAAGCCAAGGAAATGAACCGATTTGCCGGCGTATTCTCATCGAAAATTGGTAACTGTATATATCATAATTTTCTCATTTGTTGTATGATTCTAGTCCGAAATAATAGACTAACATCGAATCGGCGATAAATATATGCAATGTACTAACCACTGTCAATCTATCTCTACAATATAAAAGTACTAATGCAAGATAAGAAACCTTTAAAATTAAAATTCTACGATAAACAAATGAGATATGAGCAACTGCGAGAAACCGTCAGACAAGTAAGCAATTAGAACTGGAAACTACGTATTATATTACTTTTAGGACTAATGTAAATTTTTTTGCATATAAGCTATTTATGTCCTATTTCATAATTTTACAATAACAGAGAGCATATAATAGAGAAGAGCGACCCGAAAAGCCTAAATTAGTCGAGGTAACAACTATATAAAATTAGGAACTGCTGTAATATAAAAAATTTTCGTATTTTATTAGAACCTCAGAGATCTGAAAGGCGAACCGCTCTGAAATAATAATTTTTAATTTTTGTATATAGCTTCAATCTTATCCAGGATATGATTCTCATCATGTAACTCGTTTACCAGAAAATATTTCTGTATCAAGTCAGCTAAGACGAATATCAGAAGCTCAGGATGATTTAAAAAAGAAGGTAATCTAGACGGCGCATACTTGAGATAGACACCATCATAATAATACCATCTATAAAGCTATTAACAAGTTGTCAAATATGTACATTCAAATATTATTTTTTTATTTAATTATTCGGTATCTAGCCCCGTTATAGAGCTGAATTCGTAAAATGTTTTCATTCCGAAATATCAGAAGCTATTATGCAGGTAGTATATAGCGTATATAAAGATTTCTTCCACATTAATCTTTTTTGTATCAATACAAAGTGCTAAACGTGACTCAATATTGCCTTTTCTGCTCTGATTATAATAATGTAGCACAAAATGATAACATTTTTCACTATTTCTTATTTATCATAGGATACATTCTGGTGGTTTTTTCTTTATCGATATCAGGTACTTTAAGATAATTTATCATCCTACCAGTTGTAATCCATATAAACAAATTTTGGAGTTAATTTTCATGTTTACTTTGGATAAACTATGACAGTGCTGACTGCGTATTCATTTCATTTTTTCGATATCTTTATTATAGCCTAGTAAATACACACAGGACAAAATTTTTAACCGAATTGCTTATAATTACGTCAAATTATTAACCTTTGCCAGAAATCCTCTATATAGAGATGTTTTCCTTCAGGTATACCACGTCTTTGTTTTAAAAAGATTTTGTATAAAAATTTACTACAACATTTATCCTACAGTTTTAATTGAACAAGGTGTATGAATACAATGGCCGTTTATTTGTGCCAAAATAACTTTGGAGACAATTTTGCTTTTAGAATAGTGCTAACTTAAAAATTTATAGTCAATATGCACATTAAACGTAAAGGGTTTACTGGCCAAGCCTTTTAACGTTCACATTATATACTGGATCAATGTTGTTCATACTTGTTTCATGATTATCATTAGTTTATAAACTTGATGATATATCTTGGGAGTTACCATTAGCGCTAAGTTACTTTGTTACTTTTTCTTTCTAGTCCTATCCAGATTTAGTATGCCAAACTATTTATAGTACATTTTGTGAAGCCTTTCCAACGTCTTGGCGTCAATACAACGAAAACTTTAAAACAGAATTAACAAATCTAGTAACACTGTGGATGACAGGTAATAATATATTACAGAATAAGGCAAGCCTGCCTTATGCTATTTCCTATTGCGAATTAATTACTATTACGTGCGTTTTCAATATAAAAGATATTTTAGTATTATTATCAACTGTTACTAAAAGATTACGTAATTACCAGTAAATTAATTGCAAAGGTAGAAATTTTTATAATCTATTACTATAATATCAACAGTTATATTTTAATAGGTTTCAACTATACCTGAGCTTGCAATGTTAAGTATTGATTGCCATTGAATTTTCTATAGCTAATTGGCTGTTTTTTGTTTCCTAATAGGAAATAAACCCTACCCTCGATCATGGAGTAAATGGCCTTATAGTAGATTAGAGCCAGCCATTGTTCAGAAAAGAGAAGCTCAAGCGAAACAAGAAAAAGGTATATCGTAAAGTTACAATTTTTACGAAAAATAGTTTTCCTTTACTACTTCTTTAATCCGTATTTTTTACGGTACTATTCTAATCCCTATTGCACTATATTTAATCTAGTCCCAGCCTTAAACTTTAACATTATTCATAAAATATCGCAATCGAATGGTACGAATAGCAATCAAGAAAGTAGCAAAGAATCATCTGAGCAAAACTCACAAGGTGAATTTTAATTACTAATACCTAGTTTTGTTGCTTGATTAATATATAGACTTCATTAATCGATTAACATGTTTAAGTTCGTTTATGTAATAGTATTTACAATTATTCTATCTTTAAAACAAATTAATAGATGGAAAACGAAGCCGACAAGGTAGCATGTCATCTTTTCCTGGTAATATAACTCCTTTACCATCAAATCGTCGACTACGGAACGATGGTACAAGAATTATTGTTGGAACTAAAAATAACCCTAAGAAAATTATCAAATTAAATCCTAATTTTAGAAGACACCGAAGCCAAGTAAGATAATGATACGGTTCGGTTTTACTTGAAATTAGATTAAGGAGCTACGTTATAATTTCTGTTAGTCACATCCAGCAACGAAAGGCCCTGAATTCGAAAAATCGATCTTTAATATTCATGGCCATAGCCCCTTAGTAGAACAATATATGAGAATGAAACAATTACGAAAATCCAATCATCCTGTAGTTTATATCCATCGAACTGATATTAATAAATTGCCACCCGTCGATGCATTAACTTACCAAGACGTAATTAAAGACTCCAGAAATACGGCACATGCCATCGAGAAACATTTCGAAAAGTAAGTAAATCACAGGTTGATATCGTTATAGTATTTAGAATATACTACTATCAGAGTTGAACCTTATAATTTAAAATTACTTTATGACGACGCGTAAAAAGAAGATTTTCATATCATGTATTACACATTTAAAGACATTAATTTTTGTTACGTATTTATCGATTCTTGAATAGCAGACATCGTTTTGATAGAATACTGTTCTTATTAATACTACTGCATGAAGTTAAAAGCTTAGTACAGTAGCAAGTATTACGTGATGTCATTTTGAGATTCATTTTTTGCTATTTTATTGATTTATCCGTACTAAACTTTGATATTTTTACTATCTGTGTAGATTTACAAAATCAATTGAACAAGATCAGACTACTTTCGCTCTGGAACAGCACCATGAATATCTCAATTATAGAAAGTAATGTCACTTTTTTAGCTATACATTCCTGAATAATTCTTATTCTATCTTTACCATACAGTATATACTAAAGTATACGAGTATAAATCAACAAGTCTTAAATGATGTGATAGAAGGATAATCATAACTCAAGATTGTTATTCAATCACCTAGACGACAAGAAATACTCTTAGAACAGCCTCGTGAAATTAAAAGGCTTAGCGATGTATTGAAATTAGAAGCCGCGGTAAGATAATTGATTTTTCAATTTGACTAAGCAAACATACCATCATTGTTACTAACTTCATTTGATGACTTTTAATTTAGCAACGAGATTATATTGGTTATGGCAAGCATTCATCATCGGTACTTCGTGCTGCATTAGAAGCTATTAACTTGGATGAAGTTCAAGAATAAATGCTGTAATTATAAATATCGAGTGAGATATATCTAGTACAGATTACACGTTGTACATTAAAATTACCTGAGTAGCTGTTACAGGTTTTACGCTAATTTCAAGTTTTCTATTAAATGTTTATAATTAAATTATAAACATATTCACCTTCAAAACTGTCTATACAATGTTGTTATCATAAGTCACTAATGTTGCTATCATTTTAAATATTGCTTTTATCGCCATATGATAGAATAATTTGTGTCAATCCTTCATTCCGGATTTGCGGTGTAATATATTTTTGCGATTACAGTAATTGGATGTAATATTTTTCCAAGTGCTTAAAATTGCTTTTTAATTGAACATTTTTTTGACGCTAAAATAGGCGTTACGTGTATTTAAGATGGTGCTAGATGCTAAAAATGCTTTACTATCTCTAAATATCAATCAAGTTTACAACCAACATATGGCATTTTTATAGTTAACAGTAATATTTATTATGATATGTCGATAAACCAAATTTAAGGCATTCCAATACAAAGTAGCTCAAAGCGCAATTTGTTAAGAAATATAAACATTGTACTAAACTATAACCAACAATTTCCACGCAATCAGGAAAGCTTTAGGCATGACAATTAAAAAAGTAACTAGAAACTGGCCTTTCATTTATCTTCTTTCCTTCTATATTACTTTATATTAGAAAAATGAGCCTTAAATCACTATGACAAGGAATACATCTGTTAGGAATAGAATTACAAAATCATGACTGGATCCATGCGCATTTGCGTGCTTCCTAGCCATTCTAAGAGATGAGCTAGGCTACCAATATTAACCCATATGCTCGAACTTAAATACATCTCTATGCAGACATTGATCAACTGAAAAATAATCCAAGAGTATATATAAGAGCTCTATTAACAGGCAACAATAGCTAATTCATGAGATATAGTTAACTTATTAGTAAATTTAGAGACAGCTTTTACAAATAATTTTTGCAAAATGTAATGAAAATTCAAACGGGTAAAATTACATACAACGTCGACATGACAGTGTGCAATGGAAACAGGTATACTACTGAAAGCGTAAAATATGGCATACTACCTAAATCATTTTCTACTTTTATCATAATGATTTTCATCAATACTGTAGCAAATTTACCGACATTTCTACATACCTTGTTAGCAAATCAGCCTTTTGATGCTTATTCAATGCCCATCGCCTTGACAACATAGGCAACAGCATCACTGCAATTAAAGATCTTTTCGGCATCGGCGTCCGTAATTTCTATACCTATTATTAACAATTAAGATGGCGTACTTAGCATATTATAGCATGGCTGAAAAAACCAATGCTACATATCTACATACACATTGAAGGCAAATGTAATCTATCAGTGAAAGTGTAACGTCTCCATCATTTTACGACGATTAAATGATCATGTCAACTCGCAGATAGTAGCCAAGTAAAAATATACCGGTACCCATGCTAAAGTAAAGTGTACCATTTGATTTCTTTTCTTAGCTAATACTAAGTATAAATTATTAATATTAATACTGCTTTTGAATATACTTTAACATAGGCATATTTTGCAGGACTACCAGTAAATAAAGTAAAGGAAAATAAATTTAAGGTATAACTTATTCGATCGTAACCCCGAAAGTAGTGACATTGTTATTACCATAGCCAGCTGATGTATGAGAATATTAGTAATAAAGATATTGATACAAATTACTGTATAGTATCATCAATCTTAAAATACAAAAAGAACTAAAGGGTGATTATGTGGTACGCTGGAGTTAATATACTCAGTTTGGTTTATTAGTTACGGGGGTATAAATTCAAAAAGTTCTAGTAATTTGTAATATGTAAGATACACATACCAAATTCATCTTCGAACGCCATCACAATTTCAACGGTATCTAAACTGTCCAATCCCATGTCATTAATAAAATGGGCATCCATACTTAACTGTGATTGAAAAGTAAGAGAAAATTTTGAGTTGCTTTGACGATCATAAGTAAAATCATAAACAGAAATGATTGTTGACATTATTTTTTAGAGCAATCCAAGTCGAGACTCTACAAATACAATTTAGGTATTCTATGGCCTTGAACATGATGTGAAACATGATCCATTTTAATACGATAGTAACAGTAAAGGGAAATGATTGTATAATCAATAATCGATGGTTCTAGTGAAAAGTTCACATTGCTTGGATAGCGATATTATTCAACCATAAGCAGAAGTGAATCTTGGTAGCCTTTCGAACTATCTAGGCGTTTCATGGCCTTGAATAGGGTGTGAATATAATATAACTATAAGGAAGTACTGTTTAATGATGATAATAGCAAAGAAAAATGATTTTATAATCAGTCTTGCATAGAAAAGTCTGAATTACGTTGACGATGTTCTACACTAATCAACGGTACGTAGAAATGAATCTTGATAGTACGCACAGGAGGAGAGCCATTCGAACCAAGCTATCTAGTTCATTATTGACGTTGAACCTAATTTGTATACTTTGACATCTCTAAGGAATTACTCTTGTAGGATAGGAATGGCAATAAAAAAATGATAACCTATTCAATCAACTAACTAATAGAATAGACTGCCGGTAAAAATTTGGAATGAACGCATAGTCCAGTAAGATGCTGCAGCGTGGGAGATGGCATTAGTATTTTTTTCTCCAAAGGAGAGAAAGGAATGAAGTCATGCTTCAAATTCATATGATGATAGTTAAAATAAGCTAGTGAAAGACAATTTATTTATGCCAGTATCATCTATTTCGATCGTTTTTAATCATCCCTATGAATAGAATACGATCGAAGGAAAGGAATAGCAGGCGTATGGCCAGGTAGAGCGGCATCACGCATGCAATCCTTTACCTGCATCGTACACTTGGTACCGTCTCAGTACAGACTACCATCAACTGTAGCAAAACTCAATTTTTCTATTCGTCTATTGTAGATGAATGAAATGAAAGAGCTAAAAGTATTTCATTTATCGATGCCCATGGAAGATGCATCTGTATTCTTACTGCATTAATACCTTGCTCGTGTCTACTTTATCGAATGATCGGAGAACTTCCAAGACACGATGTTCAATTTCCTCCTTGTTGGGGCCATGGTGATCAGCATAAAATCGAACAGACGGCTTGACTAAAGACAGGTATACAGCACCTAGTAAATTGTGATCTTTAGCCATAGGAGTGATTAATTGAACTCTTGGATTACTGATGATTGTCGTCAAGGTCCGACTGCAATAAGATCGAGCTACTCTTGGCAATATTCTTAAACTATTTCGCAACATACTGTTGGCCGCCATGTTGTTGAGCTTGCTGGACTGTCTTTTCAAATCGACTAGTGACCCGCTGGATGGGGGTGAAGTGAGCGTGGACGAACGTGGCGACCAGTACCACGATCAGCGCTTGACATTGTACTGTACTGTACCGTTACGGTGGTCCTTGTAGACAGTGTGTAGTACTGTAGACTACAGTACAATCTATGGTCTGCAGACTGCTGGAGTACTGTACCGTACTGTGCAATACGAAACGAACCGATGTAAAATAGATGTCACTCATTTAAAGTCTATTTCAAGTATAGTACAAGTATTTTTTACGACATATATTTTACACATTACTGGGTCAGCAATATTGAAGTGGACCGAGTGCGAAGCGATATAGGCAAGCGAAAACAACTTTCAAAACGACTATACGCCCGATGCAATGCACTGAGTGTAGTAGGTAACAGTACTGGATATCGGGGCTGTTTCAGTATGAAGATAGCACGTTGTCCATGCTTTCGTCACCAACATGGTCTACTGTGGACTCTATTTGTTTTGCTTGTTTGTTTTATTGGCTTAAGCAGGAGGATTTAGTTATTCCATTTTATTCTTTCTTCTTTCCTGAGTTAGTCAAGTCAGTATCGCCTGTATCTACTGATCTTATGGATGCGATGCCGTCGTAGACAGTTCTATCACTATTTCCTTTTCTCTTCTGTGAACCACAGATAGAAATCGAAAATATGTTTCCTATCCTGAGATGTCTTTTGAGCAGTTTTGACAGTATCCTATCATACCGTGGGATGGTGCTGTCCAAAGTGCCAGTAATCCAGGGTCCACATCATGGTACATATTAAGGATTTATGAGAAGAAATACAGTACAATTCTGTAAAAAAAAGCCATACGTCATCACTCACTCACGCCACAAAGAGTGCAGTATATTGATTCCACTGTCCACTGCACGGTATACAGTTAATGTTTGTCGGCAAAAGAACTGGTGTCAAATCAATGTCAATAGCTATCCTAGTAAAATCAAGTATCGTCCAACCCTTGATTTGATCAAGTTGAATCATACCTTAAAGCTAGGGTCTCATGATTTGATTTGGATTGAATTTTTAGATTTTGCCGGCTTGATTTGATGTGATCAGATGAATCATGCCTTAAAGCTGGATGTAATATCTCTCTTACTTCACTTATATTTCATCAATTGCTAGAATTAGCAAAACACTATCTTAGCTCACAAGATTACTATTACTTTCTACATAGTACTTAGGACTTATAACTAGAGTGTTACTTAGCTAGTTAATACTTGAGGAATCTTAAAATTGCATTACACTAGGCTTTCATGATTTCATCACTTTGAATCATGCCTTAAAGCTGGGTGTAAGATCTCTCTTACTTCACTTCACTTCTACTTCATCAATTAACTAGAATTAACAAAGCACTATCTTAGCTCACAAGATTACTATTACTTTCTATAGTACTGTACTTATAACTAGAGTGTTACTTAGCTAGTTAATACTTGAGGAATCTTAAAATTGACGCGGCACTACACTAAGGTTTCATGAATTGATTTGGATTGAATTTTCAGATTTCACCGGCTTGCTTTGATTTGATTTTACCGGTAAGATTTAGCAGACCATGTTACTGTTTAGTACTGCGTACCATGACAACTTAGTGGCAGTTACCAGAAGTACCCAAGTTGAGGCAAATGAATACCCGATGTTTCAAGTTTGTAAATCGCAGATTACCATAGTGCAAACTAGCATGTGATCTGAAGAGTAAACAGTACCATAAGAAGAAGAAATAGACATGACAGTCGGATTAGAATGTGTTCCGCCTCATATCACCTTATTCTAAACACTTCATTACGCCAATATGCCGATGCTCAATTCTGTGGTGGATTCATTTTCTCAACTGTAGTTATACGCTACCCGTTCTATCAACGAATCATTCTATGATTATGCAATGCAATACCTGCTATGCTTTGCAGGCTGACACTTGTCAAAGAAGTAAACCCTCATTACTTCTAATTTAATCTGACAGTATTCTAAACTGTATTGCTTAAGCAGGTGGTATGTCAACAGTATCTGCATGTTCTCTACCGTCACAGCGACTTCTGATAGAAATAGTCAAATTAATAACTAAGTGACGAACCGATATAGATAGCATTCATCGACTGATCAGGTATAATAATGTCGAGGAGCTACAACAGAAGCTATCTGTAGTTGTAGGATAGTTATCGATAGCTTATAAATAGTCAAACAAACTAAGTGATTAACAGATAGAGATAGCATCCATCTACAGATCACGCATAAGAACATTAAGGAGCTACAACAGAAGCATCTGTAACAGTGGGATATTTGTGGATAGCTTATATAATAATAGTCAGAAGTCAAGGACTCCAAAGAGAAAAGCATTTTCCCTTTTAGGACTCTCTGCTTAAGTTATTTAATTAACACACTAACTTCTTAGCTGCTATAAGTACCTACATATTAAACACTATCCTTATGCTATTATCATTGCAATGATTGTACAGAACGGTATGAAATTAGAACTGTTTCAACTGCTTAATCCTTATTACAGTACTCCCAATCTAACCTGACAAAATACTCTAGAATAGACATGAATTTGCATGTTGCCTAAAATTGGCCCAATGACTTCCCTAACAATTTTAGTGTATACGCGTAAAAAGGTAATTGACTGGGAATAGCCTCTACAACTGTCTTCTTGGTTTTGACTAAATTACTGCTAATGCGCCATATTGCACTCTACTGTATTGCGCTTAGTAAGCACCTTTTTTAGCAAAGAATTAATTCACAAGGCTAATGGAAATTCTGATCATATCTTACCCATCGATTCTGTTTAGCTGTTACTGCAGAAGACAGTCGACAGTCAAGAGCATAGATATGTGAGTTAGAGCTTCTATTAAATTATTAATATCTGCATTATTATGATCATTCAGCTACTTACTACTAATCAGACATTGGTAAAATCAACTTTATTGCCTTTGAAATGAGACTACACGTATTTCCAGAATCCTACAGCCTACTGGTATACCTATCAATGAGAATATGGTTTTCTTGAGCACCTCGTGGAAACTACTGTCGCACTTTCAATATCCTTACGCTATTTTTCATCCATTACTTCCTATGAATATTTTACCATGCCCAAGGCATGTGCACTCTAGACTACCTAAATGGCTACTGTGGAGCCACATTAAGTATCTAAAAAAGTGCTTCGATTTTTTGTTAACTTTACTTGATCACTTACATCAGTTCTCTACAAGCGAATACCTATACATGTCTAAAGCGATAATATGTCCCCTATGAACAGTTACTTACTCATAACCTCACAATCGAAAATATTATACTGTACAAGCTAATCTATTTTACGACAGCATTATAGCCAAGAATTACCAATATACTCGTATTATCATCAATTAGACAAGATAGAAAAAATATCTACAATTATTCCATCATCTCAGCATGGAAGTGTCACTTTCCGCACCATTTATGCGACATCTTTAACCTCTATTTGCATGAAGAAATCGACCGTTCGTCATCATCCTGACAGTATTGTACCCATGCAGCTACTTAATTACTTAAAGTTATTTTAATTATAATACAATTTATGTAGACTATAATAATATTTATCAATTAATAGGCAATATTAATCAATTGTCTACTCCATCTTTATCTAAAACATTTTTTCTTCTACTCTATATCACTGGACAAAACATGTGAAATAACTCATTAACTTTAATTCTATTCTACGAGTAATTACTATGGTTTAAGACAAGATTGAATCGAGTAACGATAATAATTTAAATAGTCTACTCTATCTAATGTACAATATTCTTGTCTGCATCATGAGATAAAAACAGGTGAAACATCTCACTGATTTCAGTTTTACTCCACGAATAATTGCGTCATTATTATAATAAAAACATATAGTAGACTGAATGAAGTGACAATCTTAGTATATAGAATCATCATTCCACTATTTTTAGTTTACTGAAATTAGCATGTATGTCAAAAGAAAAAAGCTGTTTACCGTTTGTAGCAGATGATAGACATATTCCCAATTTCCAATAAATCTATATAAAGAAAATTTTAATAACTTTAAATCGTCTCCTCTGTCTTAATCTACGATATTTTCCTCTTCCGAGACAAAAACATGTGAAAGACTCATTGATTGCAGTTTTACTCCACGAATAATCACACCATTATTATGATTAAATTAAAACGTAGACTGAATAAAGTTTCAATCTTAGTATATAAAATCATCATACCAACATTTTTAGTTTACTGAAATTAGCGTGCATGTTAAAAGAAATAAAAAATGTTTAGCGTGTGTAACAGATAACAGATATGTTCGCCAATGTTTATTAAATTGATACAGGAAAATATTACGTTAAGTGTAAAGGCATTTTTCCCTAGTTAACAAGCTACCTGCTTGGCTGTAATAAAGGACATACATAGCACTTGGTAAAATAAAGCTATCTTTTCATCATCTTCAGTTTACTAAAATTAGAATAGATAACTATAGAAAGAAAAATAGATAGCGCTTGTAACAGATGATAAATAATATGGATAGATATACGTACCAATATTCTCTTGACTCTATATCAAGATGATAGGATTAGGCTGGACTTCCTATTTAAAGTAGTCTTGACGGATACCGAGATATTAATAGCAAAGTAAACGGATGATATTGATTTAGAAAACAATAGTCTCAGCTACTATTTTTATGTTTTATGAAAGTTAGTGGGAGGAGGATACGGTAATTTAATTTACCTTCAATCTCTTATGTAATTTCCTCAATTGAAGAATCAATCATTGTTGTGTGTCTCCAAGATGGCGGTAATATCCGAAGGATATTTTTAAATCTCTGACACATTTACTAAATAAAGAAAACAACACAGTCAACTGCATTCAAGGCAAGGTCAATACCTTCTATAGTAATC